GAAAATCTCAGAAAACCCCAGAATGCAAAGAGAAAGCAAGTTCCAAAGTTTTTTTAGGGTTTTTTTGAAAGCAAATTTCAATGAAGTTTCATTTTAACTTTTTTTAAATTTAATTTCAAATGCATTGTGTTCTCGAATTCTGTTTCAAAAGTTCAAAAAAGTCCAACGTAGAATCTTAACGAGATCCTTGAGCGTTTTGAAAATCTTTTCCAGTTTCTAAAGGAGTAAGAGATCCAGAAAAGCTTCTAATACTCAATCGGATGATAATTGACGAAAAATATTCCAGTTTGAAAATAAAGACCAAACATTTGCTGCTGGCGGCTTTCTCAAATAAAACAAGGTCCTTTTAACACTTTAGGCGCCTCTCACCTCGAATTTTCACACTTTAGAAGGTCGAAAAGCTCACTTTCCGTTCAACTTCGAAAGCGTTTCTTTTTTGATTTGTTACAAAAATTTTGGTAAGAAACATTTGCTCCTAAAACATTTAAGAAATCTGATAAACTTCAACAGGAAAGTGAAAAATTGTTCATCCAATAAGACGAAACATTTTCGACTTGACCGTTAAAGTTTGAAGAGAGCTCTAAATTTTTTCATAGCCAACCTAAAACTTTTATTGATAAGCACTTTGTCGCCTAAGCACATACCTCCATAAAAACCCAGTCTTAAATGATAAGTTTCAGCGAAGTTTTTCCAGTCGAGCGAAGATCAAAACACCATTTTGAGCTTTTCCACTTCTTTGTACCTATTCTCTGAAAAAACCTGAAAAAAGCTATGAATTGATTTTGAAAGATCAGTTTTGGATTGAAACGAAAATTGAAAGAATTTTTGGTTTGAGCGGCTAAAGCTTTGGGCCCACGGGAATGTTTATTTTACGAATTGTCGGCACAAAAGCATCCGAATCGATTTCCGCTAGTTTTATTATTATCTGACTAGCTTTCTAAATTCTACTTTTCCGTGTTTTTCGAGGTATAAAAACAAAATTCTTTGAAGTTTGTGAACTTGGAAAGGTAACTTTGCAAAATTTTCTAATGGAGCTCAATTTTTGTAGATTTTTGAAGCGCTTCAGTAATTTCTGAGGGCTTCCTGTTCATTTGGAAGGCTTGGATTTTCGAAAAAATTTCACACTTGAGCCCCGATAGTTTGGAATCTTCCCAGTAGTTTTAAGACTTTCTGTAACATGCTTTTTTCTGAATTTCTAAGCTAAATGACGACAAGAGCGTTCCTGTAGTATCACTAACCATATTTAGGACATAAAAAAACCTATGAAATTTTTGAATCTAAAGCTCATTTAAACGACATTACTCTATAAAAGCCTTCAAGACTGTTTTTTTTTCTTTCAAGAATGTTTTTCCTCTAATATTAAACATTAAATGGAAATAATTATAATCCTGGAGAGATCACTAGCTTTTTTTAGACGCAAGAAGTCTTCCCTTTTGAACTTTTTGTTTGGAACCAGACAAATTCTCACGTCTGATCTCCGATTTTTTCGATTGGAAAGTTTTTAAAGATCTAAATTGTTTATAGGGAAAACGCGGCAAACGTTTTCCGCAAAATATAAATATTTTCCCGAGAATTTTCAATTTTTCTTCAGAATTTCTCACCACTGATTTATGTGGTTTGTCTAGTTATTTTTTCAAAAATGTTTTCCATTTTCTATCGAATCATTAGATTAAAAGTAGTTATACGATTGTTTGGTTATCAATTTTCTAATTTTCAAAACAGAGGCTGAAATTTCATTGGAGCATAGTTGATCTGAAAAAAAGAGACTTTTGAAGTTTTTACCTCAAAAAAAGTTTACCCTTTTTTCTTTCAATTTCTCGATTAAGCCGTTTTGATTTGCAAAAGAAGAGCTTTTGTGGATACAAGAAGTTCCAAAAATTTCTGATATGGATAGTCCATATTTCCTTGAACTCAATTAAACTGCACTTTATCAATTGGGCAAACTTGGTATAGAAAGCCCTTGTTGAGCGGCGTAATTCCATATCCTCACTCACTTTGGCCGCCGCTTCGCCCAGCCAAAAAAATTTCATATATATATATCTACGAAAAATAAATGCGAGGCACACACACAACTTGGCTGTTTTTCGTTTTTGTTAGAGGATGGGGGTTTGGAGAAATGCGTGTTGACGTCCATTTTTTGCCTTGCTCCGAAAGCTTCTCCCTTTCCTACCGCTGCTCCAAATTCGGTAGAAAACGACTTTTTTCTGCAGAAATTCAGGTTGAATTTAGGTTAGTGCTTCAACTTTTTTTAAAGCTCAGTTGTAGAGTCTAATTAGTTTTTGTTACGTTCATTGAGGTCACCTTTGCAGAACTTTTGCAAGACTTTAACAACCTGATGTTCGCAAAAATAACTTCAAATTAGCTCGTTACTATTGGCGACAATTTGCTACAGTTAGATCTCCAATCTAGCGTCCAATTAGATTTTTTTCCGAGTTAAAGTTCCTTGTCTTTGCAGAAATTCTGCAAGAACTTTGAAGTATGATGACCGAAAAGAAGAGTTAAGATTAGCCCGTTAAATTTGGCGTCAATTTGCTACAGTTTTATCGCCAATCTAGCTTTCAATCATCTTTTTTAGTTCAGAAAAAAAAAACCTGGCATTTCAAAATACCTGGTTCTTTGCAGAACTTTTGCAAGAATTTTGCAATCCGATGTTCGAAAAAAAAGTTAAAATTAGCTCGTTACAATTGGCGACAATTTGCTACAGTTATATGTCGGATGTTGACTTGGGAGGCGGCGTTTTCAGCCACCTGGGGCCAGCAAACAAAATATTCGTACAGTTTGCCGAGCGGATTCACCTCTTGATTGAGCTCCGAGAGAAATTTTTGTGTTTCATTGCCCTTTTTTATCGTTTCAAAATTTTCACAATTTTTTTGATCTGGTTACGGTATCGGGCAAGTCCGTTACGTGGTTGCAGTGTGCTTGATCCTCTTATTTGGAGACAGTTTTTTGAAAACTGCAGCACTGCCAGAAGCTTAATTTTTAGATTTTTTAGGCTACTGTATCTCTAAAGTACGTGAACTGGTTGAAAAAGGCTCTTTGATATTTCTCGAAACCATTTTTCAACTGAAATCTTTTTTTTTTGGAAATTGGTCTGTTTACACATATCGTGGGTTACTACACCAGACGCAATTTATCTTACGACTGTTTCTAACAGTTCACGTTTTTTTTTCCGATTTTTCCGAATTTATGTGTTGATATTGCTCCTTTTTTCTCGACTCTTATAAACTTCTAGAATTTCCTATGATTTTCCAGGACTTTTTATAAATTTTCACGATTCTTCTCTGAACATCCCTTTCCCAAAAACAAATATACTGTTTCAACTTCCAATTTGTACCCTTTTTCTTGTTTTTTGCTTCGTTTTTCAATTTCAGTCATTGTGTTTAAATTTAGTGACCAGCTTTTTTTCAGATCTTGAACCGGGGGAAGAAAACCAAAAAGAAGTAAGAAGACCAGGTTCATAAAAAACTCTCAACATGGACTCCATGTACGTATTTTCTCGCTTTTTCTCATTTTCTAGGTCCTCGACGGCGTCCATTTTTTATATTTTTTTCTAATAAAAGTTGATTAGATGATTAGAGCAGAAAGTACACAGAAATAAGGTCTTAAAGATTAAAATCTTTTTAGTTTCTCTGGAATAAATCTTGATTTCAAGGTCTATCCAAATAATACTCGCTTTTTTTAAATCTGAATAAAAAAATCGTAATCTTTTTTTATTTTTGAGTTTGGACTCAAAAAGGAATATAATCATTTTTAGCCTCAAGTTTAAATTTTTTTCGCACTGTAAATTCAAAAATTCAGTTTTATTGCAACAAAAAACTAGGCTCAAGAGTGATACTCGACATCAGAGTTTGATATGAAAAAGCTGGATTTTTAGTACAAAAACAAAAGAAAAACAATCAAAAAGCTGAATCTCACAGGCAAAGTCCAGAAGAACCTATGAAGAAGCTTTTGGGGAGAAAGGTCTTCAAAACGCTTCAAAAGCTCTTTTTTTCTTAATCTTTTTTTCAAATAGACCATTCCAGAAAAAAAAGAACGCGAAAAAAAAGAGGTAAAAAAAGAAGATTCCAAAAAACTTTTGCCAACGTTTTTTCATATCAACTCGAAAAAAGGGCTCCAGATTCTTCTTTTTTTGAGGCCGTTTGGTCTTTTTCATGTGCTTAACTCGCAATAAAAATTAAGATTTAGTCAAGTTTTTTGGATCCGAAAATTTGCTGAGCTCAATTCATTAAAAATCTCAAAAAAAAAGGGACCATTTTTTTATTCCGAAATTTTGAAATGAGCTATTCGAAACGTAAACTTCTAGAAATGTTGGTTAGAAACAAGCTTTTTGTTCGATTAAGGTCAGTAAAAAGACACGGAGAGTGGATAAGGGCCTCAAAATCTAATTTTCGAGAAAATTTGTCCTTTGAATCTATCGAAAAGCCTTTTTCTAGCGGAAATTAGTACGAAAAACAGCTTTTTTTGATGAATTAATTTGAGTAATAAGACAAGTAAAATTGATGAAAGTTTTTAAAATCCTGCAGAAAAAGGCTAATTTAAGAGCCTGAAATCAGCTAGATTGACATTAATGTTCGAATTTCGAAAAATTATGAGGCAATCTTTTTAGAGAAAGTTTATTCAAATTATTGTAGAAAAGTCCAATTTTGTGCATTGAACAATGGGAAGAAGATAGAGAGCCTATTTTTCGAAAATAAATAGATTTGAAAAAAAGCTTTTTGTTCACTTGATTTGAGTAAAAGGGCATGTAAAGTGGATAAAGGTCCCGAAATCCGGGCCCTCCGAGTCGGTTTTGCATACATATAAGCTTTGGTGTCGAGTGTGAGAGCCTGAATCGATTTTAGTCGGAGGGTGTCGTCGGGGGGAAGGCAGAGCTCGCTTCCTTCTTTCAGCGGCCTCCCCTTATTTTCCCACAAACTAGTATTACTATCATATATTCCGTGGGTGGCAGTGCACTTTCTGCACTTTGACGCCTTCCAAAAAACAAAAAAGATCCTCGGAAAATGGACGACGTCGAGGACGCGTCGCCTCGGGGAATCGGGCGATCGCGAAGCTGCGAACCTCCCGGCTCCGCGACGGCGACGAACGCGACGGCGGCTAGTATCGGTCGCGAGTCGCGCAGCTCCCTCTGGATGGGCATGGGCCTTCATGGTGACAGTTGCAGCCGTCGGCGGATGAGCAAGAGCAAGCGCGAGAGCCAGAGCATCGAGCTCAGCTCGTTGGGTTCGTTTTTTTCTTGTTTTTTATTCCAAAAAAAATCTCATGAAGTTGAAATTAGTGTGAGCTTTGGGTTAAAATTAGAGGTTCCGAGCGAATTTCATAGTTTAAAGGGGCAGTATCTAAGAAATTGGTGAATGGTAAAATTATTTTTTTACATTAAAATTCTATAAAAATCAAAAATTTGTGTGGATTTTTCGGGTAAATTTTGGGAGTTCCGAGCGATTTTTCCTAACATGGGGAATCCTTTTTTCTAGTCTACTGGAAATTTATGTGTTTTGGGGAAATTTTGGACTGCTACTTTCAGCGGGAATTTCCAATCGAGATAGATATCCTCTGTATAAACCGCGACTTTTATTATCTGTAATGACGATTTTGATGAGTTTCATGGTTTTCAGGAACTTTTTGATTTGTATAGTTGCATAGAGTAGGAAATTTTAAAAATCATTATAAATAAGGCATCGAACTAGGTTTCATGGAGCAGTTTTTTTTTGTTATTTTTCAAATTTTTTTTCACCAGTTTCTTATAGCAATTTTATCATATTCTTGTTCTCCGGTTTTTTTTGAGACCGCTTCAAAATTCTGATGAAGAAGCCTCATATTATCAAATTTTTCAAGTTCGACATCTTTCATTTATATAATCCCAGAGTGATCTCTGTCCGAACAGAGAAAACCTACAACAAAAAATTTCGATCTTTCTCCCGTTTCTCTGTTTTGATTGATATACTGTAGGTCGGATGTTTCTCTATGATTTCTTCGGAATGATATAATTTTCTTGTGGGAAGGTGATCGGTGATGTTTCTCTGTAATTGCCTTATAATTGATTGTTTTGATGATAGAAGCAGAGAAGGTGAGTAAGGCTCAATTATTGGATAATTATCGAGGAAACATTTTCTCAGGAAGGTTTTTTTTTCGAGATTTGTTCTGTTTCCAGTGATCATTCTCTTGTTGTAATTTTAAAATAGGTGAAATAAAAGTTGAGAAATTTTCATCTTTCAGCTTTTTTGTTCTTGGAAAATACGCTCCATTGATAATATTTCTTCATTCTGTTGAAGATCGAGCTATTTCTCAGAGTTTCATGGTTCAAAACGCTGTGTGCAAAGTAATTTTGCCCATTTTCCCAAGTTTTACGAATGCATTAAACGAGGAAAAAAAAGTTGGAGACGAGGCGGAAAGCCGTAGGCGAGACGGACAGAAAAAAAGAAGAAGAAGCACAAAAAGCATTGGCGTAGGTAGTTCGATTTGTCCCCGAGGGCTTTTCACGAAAACGCAGCTTTTCCCACAAACATTAACATATAAAATAAACAGAAAAAAAAAGAAAAGTTTTCATTTTCTTAATAATGTTTCGAACCAGCTTTCAATGATTTTCATGCGTTTTTTAAGAAAGCTTAGAGTTCGGTATCTTATTTTTAAGGAAGCTTATAGTTCGGTATCGCAAAACAGAGGTTTCTGAGCACTTCTAGTGATCGCTTAAGAGTGCAGACTCCGCTACAGAGATCACTAGAATCGCTCCAAAAAGTCCGGCGCAAGTCCGATTATTTTTTTTTTAAGAAAGCAGATTTTTTCATAAAAGCGCGCTCCATTGCTAATTGAATCTAGATCGCTTCGGGTAGAGTATGCAGAACAGTGAACAGTTATAGTTCTTTATACTCTATTCACTATTGAGAAGTCCCAAACTTGCCTTATTCCCTCTTTTTTCCAGTTATATCCAAAATTCGTTAATCTCTGCTCCGTTTGGTAAGTGTATAAGATGTCGAAAAAAAGAGAAAAAACGGAACGGAGGCGGCGAATAGAGCGTAAACAATTAGCTGCTCTGTTCAGTAGTAGTTGTTGTCAAGGAAATCCCCTGAAAAAAAGGAACAAGGAAAAAGAAAACTCGAAGGGGACGACTGAAACTCCAAAGTTCAAACGCTTGAAACATCGTTTTTTTTTAGGGGAGTAAAGTTCATTTTCACCTTTTTTCTGGAAAAAATTGTAAATCAATGTTTGAGTGATTTCTGTAGTTATAAGTTAGTCAGAACCAGCTGATTCACCTTTTTTTTCCTTTTCGGAGGCTGACTTTGATAAGAACCGATAGTTGACACTCTTGGAGTGTGGAGACTCAAAAATTGCTTTAAAAATCGAGTTGAACTCTTAGTGTACTTCAATTTTAGTGATGGAGCGAACTTGAAATAAGTTTTAGAGCATTCACTTTCAAATTTGGAAGTTTTTGGTCCATTTTAATCTTTATAAATCAAATAAACCATAATATAAATTATATTTGTCGGTGGAGCGCGTTCGGTTATTTCCGAGGAAATCACCTTTTACTTATCAGAGGAAACTTTTTCGACAGATAGTTATTTTTAGACCACTACTGAAGAATTATACAGATGAAGATTTTGAAGAATTAATTTTTCTGTCTCTTATCGGGAAAATGTGCCTAGAAGAATGCAGCAAAATTATCAGGAAACAAGAGGATTGAAAAAAAAAAATTAGCGACGGTTCTTGGTGGTTACAGTTTGAAAATAATAAAATTAAATGGAAGCGAAATATGGGTTTTTGAATTAAAGGGTTAATTAATTCTTTTTTTCAAGGTTCACCTATCAAAAATTATCATACCTACCGTAGTAACTTGCTGCAGTCGCGACGCGCTTTTTAGCGGGAAATGATGATTCAAATGCGAATTTTTTCTTTCCTTTTTTTTTGACTGTTTTTTGACCTTCCTTTGATTTTAATGATATTCAAATTCAATTAAATGAAAAATGTATAGCTTGATTTCTTCCAACCTTGATTTTGAATTTAAGGTTCCAAAAGCCGCAAACATATTTTCTTTCAATGTTGAACAAAAAGAAAAAAGTCAAACTTTACGAAAAAGAAAGAAGAAAGCGACATAAACCATAGAACAAGGGGATCAAAGAGTTAAGAAAGCAATAACGTCCAAAAAATTTCCAATGACGCCGAGAAGCTGACAGCCGGTGTGGTGTTAATGATAACGGCTTATCGAAGCGCCTAGCGTGATAATTTATTCGGTAATTCTGGGCCTTCACAGCGACCGTCGCGTTTGCTCTCCTAAGTTCATTTACATCATTCCCTGCAAAACTGTCGAAAATCCGAAACCATACTGAACCGCCATGTCCGGCGACCAGCAGCACTGTGCCAAGTGCGAAAAGTTCCAGCAACGGCTCAGCACGGCCGATGAGTACCTTTTCCGTTCGTTTTATTTTTAGTTTTGGACCCTGAGAAGGACTTTTGAAAGCTGCCTTCAAGAAAGTTTCCAAGGAAAAGTTTTTTGATTTTTTTTTTTTTTGGGATTGAGCACTTTTCATGGCTGATTGGTAGATTTATAGTCGGTTTTTCGAAAGGCTAGAAATTTTTCAAACTAATTTTGCAGAGAATCAAAAAAAGAAGTTTTTCAAATTATTTGTTTCAAAAAGTGTGAAATTCATGAGAAAGTTCTAAACGGTTCAATGGTGTTAGTAAAGTTATAAATCTGAAGTAGCATGTGTGAATAAATTTATGGAAATTTTTTTCGACCACCAGATTTTTTTATTTAGTTTGTGTCAATTTGGAATCTGATGCGTTCAAAAGATTCGGAAATGAAAAAAATAGAAGTCTGATGGAAGCAGAATTTCTGAAACCCCAGTTTTTTCAAATAATCGTAAATTTTTTTTTAAAAAAATAATCAAGATTCATCTTGGTTTTGAAATGCTTTCTTAAGGCTCTTTTTTTATCATTTTTTTAGATTGAAACTCGCTTGAAAATGAGAAAGTTTAATAGGTTCGTCTTTTTCGACTCAAATTTCATTGCTCCTAATGGAACCGCTTTGAAATTGAGAAGAAGAATGTGATTTCAGATAATTTTATTCAGGTTTGCTAGTTTCAAACAGAAAAAGACGTGTATCGAGGGGAAAAAAATGATTCTTATGTAAAAAATAAACAAAAAAATAAATAAAATTTTTCCTAAAAAAATTCCAAAAAGCGGTTACAAGGTTTTTTTCGGAATCTAAATGTGGGTTGGTTTGAGAGAAGTAAATTAAAAAAATTTAAGAGCTTAATATTTTGATAATAATTATTCTCAATCAAGTTTTTGCAGCTCCCGGAACGCGTGTGATGTTCCTTCTGAAGGAGAAGGATGACACGCCGGCGTTGTTCACCGAGATGGGCGAGTTGGGCGCCGACGAGTGGCGAGAGACCGCCCGTTGGGTCAAGTTCGAGGAAGACGTAGAACAAGGCTCGTTTCCATTTCATTTTCGATTTTCCCGTCTGACATCTTCTTATTCAATGAATAGATTGATTGGAAGTTTTTTCGCTCTCTATGCATCTTTTGAACCTGATCCATTTCAAACTCATTTCTTGAGAGTAATACTTCGAAGAATTTGAGTTTTTTTCAAATAGATTTATTTCATTCAAAAAGAAGTCATAAACAAATTGGAAGATAAGAGATGGCACAGAAAAACTACATTTTTTCTGTGTTTCGAACCAATATTCCGAGCTTTTCAGAACTCATCCAACTCGTCATAGTTTGGAAAATGACTGATTGGAAGTGAAGTTAGACGATTTTTTGCTTTTCCAGGCGGAAACCGATGGTCGAAGCCGCACGTCGCCACGCTCTCCCTCCACTCGCTGTTCCAACTTCGAAGCTGCATCATGAATGGACTTTTCATGAACGACCTCGATCAGGCCGACTTGCCCTCCATATGCGGTATCTCTTTCTCCATTCCGCGTAGTTGAGGATTATAAAAAGGTTCTTTCCCAAGTTTTTAATTGTGATATTATGTCTGAGAAGCTGTTAATCGCTGTTAAAATAAGGAACTTTTCGGTAGATTTCCATCAAGGTGCCATTTTTCCGAAGAAAGTTTGGTTGGAGAATAATAATTTTGCTTGTGAAATTTCATCGGGAGAAGCTCGAATGTCTGTTTCCCAAAAGAGTGTGACTTTTTCAGGAAAAAGTTCGATAGAAAATTGTAAAAGGCCGTTCGGAAGTGTGTCCTTTAGTTATTTTGCTTTTTGATTTTTCAAAATCAAAACGTGACATTTTTCATAAAATCATGGTCTCTGTTGATAAGATTATTTTGAAGGAACTAGATTGATTAATTTTTTGGAAGCTTTTCTGCGGAAGTTTGCTCTGTGGATAATGTGAACTTCACACTGAATTAATAAAACCGAATAGTTTCAGCCACAAATTAGCAGTTGTGTTTTGAAACTTGAAGATTAGGCTTTTTCTTCAATTTTGATTTTTTTAAGGTTCAGTTCTTCATAATTTTTTTATGGAATGTCTACTGAAAAAGTTTATTGATCGAGTTAATAATAGATTCAAGTTTCCAGACTTTTCCCTCTTTTCCGTGTGTTTTCAGACAGGAAAAGTGCCCGCAAACACTTGAGGACTATTTGTTTTACTATGATGACAAGAGAGTAAGAACTGACCCTGGAATTACTTATTTTTGAGTAGGAAATTTTTTTCAAAAAGGAGAAAAATGGATTTTTTTTTTTTGTTCGAAATTTCGCGTGTTTTCCGTTTCCAAGCTCCAAATTGGCGTAGAAAATGATGTTTGTTGTGAAAATGAAGTCAGAAAATAGATGAAAGAGAGAGATATTTGCGGATGGCACGTTTCTTTTCTTTTGTCTCATTGAACTGAGTGGCCGCGACACGTCAAAAAGTCAACTGGATCTGTGAACCTTTGAAAAAAAAATTTTGTTGGGATCTAAGTTCAAATGGTAGAAGATATATTGGATGTGGAAATGAGGTTTTTTTAAAGTTTATTTTCGAAAAAAAAAAAAGCTTTCTTGGGGTTTTGGCTTTACATTTTATGGAAATTTCAGAAAACTGATGATTTTTTGAAGACTAGCAGAGATATGGATTCTTCAAATAGGTTTCCATGAGTTTTGAAAGAACTTGAACAACCATCTTCATAAAAAAAAGATGAACAAATCGCTTCAGATGCCATTATTGCCTCGTTGATCAAAAGAGGAGACCTTCCGTCGGAACACGAGAGAGAACTTCGGGAAATCTTGAATCGCAAGCACGTTCATCAGTATGAACAGGTATGCATTCGTAGTACTTTTTTGTGCATTTTATCGAGTTTTTTCGAACTAATGAGGAAATAGCCGCGGAAAAGTGTCGAGATATTTGAAGTGCGCTCCATGGCTAAAATTATGGTCTTGCTGTTCCAATCTAATTTTTCGAATTTTTATTCTGAACTATATACTCCGTTTATCGCGACTTGAAACAGCTAACTTTCTCTGCGTCTTCCTCGTCTCTCGGCGACCCTCTCATGCTGCCATACTATTTTCACGTTTCTCTGAACTCATCGGCGAGAGAATAAGAGACGCAGACATTAAAAAACTTCAAGTCGCGGCGAATGGACTATAGTCTGGATAGATAAAAAATAATTGGAACTTAAGTTTCCGAGTCCATTCCTCCATAGAGTTCGCTCTCACCGACGTTTCCGTGGGTGTTTTTTCTCCACTAAAAGTGATTTTACAAACTCTAGCTGTCTGCGCTCTTTTTATCTCTAGTTAGTCCTTTCGTTTTCATTTTTAGAGAAACAAGAGAGCGTAGACAAATTCCAATAGAAGTTTTTTTTTTCTTTTAAAACCCTTGGTTTCTTAAAATTCTTTCTGAATGACCGAGTGACTCCAGAGTAAGAAATCACTTATTGAAGCAGAAAAAAATGTCCCATTTTTTTTTTTTTTTATAGCCGACTTTTTGGATCTTGATCGATTGTTTCGGAAAAAGACACCCGGTCAGTCAAATATTATGAGTGTTTTCTATGCATTCACTAACTTTTTGATTGTCTTTTTGACATTTTTTTGATGTGAAGATGGGATGAGTGATGAAATGTTAATTTCGCATTAGGAAAAAAGCTTCCTGGATTTTCCGGCTTTTTTAAACCACTGGTATTCAATAAGAGTGGAAAAAAAAGTTGAAGACTTTTGAAATTGCGGCTTTTTACAAGAATTTTCTGGTCATGATGAGTTTAATTTTCACATATTTTTGCTTTATGTACATTGAATCGAGTTGAAAAATCTGACAGCATTGAAAAATTTCTTTTTTTTCCATTTTCTTCACTTGGAAACTTTTGAGGAGGATTTCCGTTTCATGTAGTATTTTTGGAGTTGCCAGCCAAGAGTAGACTTCATTCCAATTGACCAGTATTTTAAAAGTTGCGTCATCAACCTCACTGATAACTACAAAATTGAAAATAATCCGAAAATCCAACAAATTGGAAGGAGAAGACGACGAAAAGTTGTCACGTTGTGACGTCACGAGCTCGAAAGAGCATTTTCGCCCAAGCTGATCTTTGACTTTTTCGCGTCTGCTTCGTTCTGACCTTCCTTTTTCCCAAGGGGTAATCAAGCGAGGAGCATGTTTCATTGGATTTTTGGTCTGATAAGAGCAATTCGTAACCGAAAAATGGTTTAGAAAGTACTCGGAAAAAAATAATAAAGCTGTAAAACTTGGGCTTGACTGAAGTGGCTGAAGAATTTTTTTTATGGATTGGAAGACTAAATTCTACTGTAGATTTTCATGTTCGAAACAGTTTTTCACACGGAAAAATGAGAGAAAAGGCGAAATTTTGTCTACGATTAAAGCTGCAATTTTCACGTTCTCCTTTGGTTTTTTCTAAGAAAGCAGGAGAAGGCCTAATTTTCGTGGTAGTTTGGGATCTGGAAAAATTCAAAGCTGCGTATTTATAAAATTCCCAATTTCGTACTCAGTTTTTTTTTAGGAAAGTGAATAAAAATTATTTTTTTGAGCCCATTCTGTGAAAAAAACTAGTGGCCACTCAAGAGGTTCCCCTACTTGGAGAGGACACTAAAGTGGCCACTAAAACCACCTCTATAGGACCCATTATTTTGCTACTTAGTGGCAGCTGTAGCATTTTTATTGGTCTAGTAGTCACACTCCTAAATCTAGGGTCACTCTCTTTTAGCCACTTGAAGGACCACTATATCAACGACTATAGTGGCTACTGAAACGTCAAAACCCTAAAGTGACCACTGAAAGTTTTTCAGGTTTTCCAAGTTTTCTAGACTCAGTGTGAGAGTTGTACTGAACTGAATGTCAGAGGAAGAGAAAGATCATCCGCTTGGAGAGACGCCAGAAATTGCTCGCATATCTGGCGTCTCCTCAGGCCGACGTTTACCTCTCACCCTTTTTTCACTGTTTCCATCATTTTTGCTATACCTATTTTTCTTCAGGCGAAGAAGAACGGCTCAGGAGGAGAAAAGGGCGGATTCCTGAGCACGGTCAGATCGATTTCCGACATCGGCAAGTCGTTCTCCCATGGCAAGAACCTCGGCAAGATTGAGGAACGGCCGGAAATCGCCGCCGGTGGAGCTACCGGATCCGCCAACCGACTCGATTTGCCCAAGGTTTGGAAGAAAATAATGAAAGAAAGAAGAAGGATTAGGTGACTAAGAAAGTTTGGCGATTCAGTAGAGCTTTCGTTCGTGATCCCCTTGAATATTTATGACGTAAACGTTCATTTTTTCTCAAGTTTAAGTCTCCCGGCCTAATTTCACATTCATTTAAAAGATCTAGAACTCATCTTCAAAAAAATTTAATGAAAACCCAAAAAGGTACCTTTTTCAAGGTCGAGTCGATGCCCAAGGACATGCAAAGCCAGGACGAAGGCTCCAAGGGAAACTTGCATTTTTTGAAAAAGTTACCCCGTGGCGTCGAAGCCAGCAACGTCCTCATTGGCGAGGTTTCATCAAACTCTCGAAAAAATCGAACAAAAATGGATTTCAGGTCGATTTCTTGACCCACCACATTTGCGCCTTCGTTCGCCTGAAGAATGCCCACCAGCTGGGCGATCTTACAGAGGTTTTTTTTTCTGGTTTTCTTTAAGACGCAAACGTTTTTTCCTTCAGGTACCCGTCCCATCGCGCTTCATTTTCCTGCTCCTCGGACCGACTGGCCACGGAGCTCAGTACAGGGAAATCGGAAGAGCCATAGCCACTCTGATGGCTGATGAGGTGAGAGAAGTATAGTTTTTGGATCGAGGTTGAGAAGAAGATGGTCAGAAAATTCCAGTTATATAGGGAATATTCATTTCACTCGGATACTTAGAACCTGCGATTTAAACACAGTGATGGGCATAATTGATGCACGGACTAAAAAATTGCAAGTTTGAGATTTTTCGGTTCGAGAAAATTGATTAGCCGAAAAATTTAATCTGAACGAAAAAGGAAATTCACTCGTGATTTAAAGAATGGTAAGAATAACTTTCCGGGATAAATAATTATATTCAGTATTTCCATTATAAATAGACTTTTTGAAATAAATGAAATCTCTCCTGTATATTTCATCTGGGAAATGATACGTTCCAATCGATTATAATGATAAGTTGCTTTTTTAAAGGCATGCTCAATGAGTTATTTTCGATAAGTTTATGAAAAAGGGTTGAAAAAAGAATTTCGGAAGCTAAATGAGGTGTCAACAAAATTGATCAGATTACTTGATAGTTTTTTTCTTCGTAGATTTTCCACGATGTCGCCTATGGAGCCCGCGATACCGCGGATCTGCTCGATGGAATCGACGAGTTCCTGGACCAAGTGACGGTTTTGCCGCCCGGCGAATGGGATCCGACCATTCGTATCGAACCTCCCAACAAGCTACCTTCCCAGGAAAAGAGGAAACAAGTGAGAATTCAGAGCTTTTTGGTCTAATTCCTTAAAAAAAAAGATGCTTTTGAGCCGGAAAAAAAGGATTTGAATTCACTCTAATAGATTTCTAGAAGCAGTTTTTACATTAATGCTCAGAAATGGCCTGAAAATTATTTATGAACTTTTGACCGAAAAAAGTTTATTCTTCCTTTTAAAAAAAGATTGGACAGACTGATGTTGTCAATTTTGACCGGTTTTTTGGCCCCTCGGCATTTTTTGAAAACAGAATCTGAATCAGCTCATTACTTCTAGTGAAGTTGAAAAATAGAATTTGATTTTCTACAGAACTTTTATCTCGGCCACGACACCCTTTTCAGATAGGAAAGGAGTTCCTTATCGAGTCGCCGCCGAAAAAAGACAAGCTGATGGAGGAGGAAGAAGATCACGGCCACGCCAATGATCCGGCTCTCATGAGAACTGGACGGCTTTTCGGTGGCCTCATATGGGACATCAAGAGAAAGGTGAGTCTAGAAAGACCAAAATCAATTACAAAAAGGAGGGTGTAACCCGCAGTGAGCCCCCAAAATAATTGATCAGGTGAACCCCGCAATAGACTTGAATAGCGTGCCCCCTGGGGCAACCTGTCGAGAAATAAGTTTTCTTTGGGCTAGGGGGATGAAACGGTAGACAGTTGAAATGAGCCGTTGTGAAATCGCGTACGGAACAATTGCCTCAATAAGGCTTTTGAAGTGAATCGGGAAGCACCGCCACTTTTGTTAGAGGTCTGAAAACGAGCTAAAATAAACTTTCTTGAGCGGAGGGTCACTTTGGAGATTCAAAAACTAATATTTGGCCTGATCCCAAGATTTTCTTAGGCTTCATCAAAATGAAAAGAAAATTATATTTTTTTAGTGGTGCAAGGTAGAAAATCAGTGAAAAGAACAGATATTCACGTGTCTGTATTGATTCGGTAACTGATCTGAAATAAATACAGAATAAGAAATTTTTAAATTTATTTTTCTAACTTGAAATGACTTCCCATCTTCAATGGAAATGAAACGGATCTAGAAAAAAAGCCAGAAAACTACTTGAATGACCACTTTTAAACAATTACTTCAACGAAAATTCAAAAAATGATCATTTTCCAGCTTCCCCACTACGTGTCGGACTTCACGGACGCGCTGAACATGCAATGCTTAGCGACGGTTTGCTTCATGTTAGCTTTTGCGCTCTGAAGATTGAGGAATAATATGGAACATTTGGGTAAAGGTACTTTGGTCTCCTGGCGCCGATCGTCACCTTCGGAGGACTTTTGGAAGAGGCGACTCATCAGCGGATGGCTGCCATGGAAAACCTTTTCGGAGGTTTAGTCAGATGGAAAAATGTTCAGTGATCCCTATAGGTACCAATAATTGAACAGAGGCTTAAAGGACTCTTAGGAACCTTGTCAGTAACAACATTCGAACTTTATCATGATTTAATGGAACTTTTTCGGAAGTTTTGTGCTACAGGACAATTTTCAGTGGTTCTTATAGGACGCAAGAGCTCACTAGAGAGTTAGTGGCCCTTTAAGAAGTTTGCCAGCAAGAAATTTTGAATATTATCAGAAGTTGTTGGAAAATGAGATTTTGAAAATCAAAAAGCAAACTCTCAAAAAAGTCACAGACCAAGTCTTTTTTCGGCGTTTTTTGATTCAGAGTCTCTATAATATATACCTCCCGAAAAAAATTCGCAAAATGAACAAAGTTATATTACTTTTTAAGACCTAATTTTTATTTTTCGAAATTATTTCTCTATTTGTTTTTCTACAACTTTTTTTAGGGATTTTTGAGACTCTTAGGGACCGCTCAGGGGCTTTTAGCCTTCGCTTAAGAGGTAAAGCTGAGAATTCAAAACTGAAAGATCCAGGCGAACTTTTGGGCTTTTTTATGAATAGTCGACGAAACCGAAGGAATGGTCCCTTTGAAGGTTCCCTTTGCGGCGTGTTCTATCACTTGTTCTCCGGCCAACCTCTGACAATCGTCGGCTCAACCGGACCCGTTCTGGTCTTCGAGACGATCGTCTACGATTTCTGCCACCGATTCGGAATCAAGTACCTCAGTTTTCGGTTTTGGGTGAGTTTTTTTTTTAATTTTTTCAAATGAGTCAAAAGTTTGTTTTTCAAATAGAATTGAACAAAATTCAGGTTCACGTTTGGACGGCGCTGATCTTGTTCATCATGGTCGTGACGGACGCCAGCTCTTTGGTAATTTTATTTTTGGAGAAAAAAAAAATTAAAATGTTCAATTTAATGCCGTGTTCAAAGTAATTTCGCGAAATGCAAAATAGCCGCCAGAGAAAGAAAAATATAACTAAATTTCAGAGAGTCAGAGATCATTTTGCATTTCGCGAAATTACTTTGAACACGGCATAAGTTTGATTTTTCTTAGAAAGTTACTCATACACTCAAAAAGCGGGCAGTGTTCACTTAAGTGAGAACTGAAGAAGCGATATTACCCCTTGAGTGAGCACTAAATGGCTCGAATCTGTCTGCAGGCTTCCAGGACACCGGCTATTTGAAAGAACGGAAACTTAAAAAAAACTCCTTCTTTTCATTTTTTTTTTTTTTTGAAATAACTGTTTGAATTCCAATCACCCTTTGGGAAATCATTTTTTGAGATCCTCCCCATTTTTCTGAATTTCTATAGAACGATAGGGCTAAATGCATTTCACAAAAGTCGACTCCAGGTCTCCTACATCACCCGCTTCACCGAAGAATCTTTCGCCACCCTCATTGCCGTCATTTTCATTTATGAGGCGATCATGAAGCTTGTCAAGATCAAGGGTACCTTCATCCGAAGTCTTTCCCCTAAAAACTTCTATTTTTAGGCCAATTGGACGTGATTAATTATTCTCGCGACGTTGTCGACGGCACCTGCTTCTGTATCCCCACCACTGGAAAAGGTTCTCGGAAAATCATTGATTTTGTTCCGAACCACATGTTCAGCACCGGTTTCGCACGAACGGGCTGTCGACTACATCACCAGAAATTCTCTGAATATCCCATTCAATGACACTTTCATCGATTACTCCAAGGTTTCCTTTTCCATTGGTTTTGATGGTTCCGAGAAAAATGGCCTTCAACTGGGCTTTCGCTTCAAAGACAGAATCATCTTGGTCAAAGTTTCAAAAGTTTTTTTGTTTTGGAAAGTATCCCGTGAATAGATAAAGCACCATAATTTTTTTTAAGGTATTGGGAGAAACTCCTTTCAGAACAAGTTTTAGGAACCTCATAGCCTTTACATTTAAAAAAAAAGTTCAGGATTCGGGGATCTCAGATTAGATCAGAAAATATTTCAAAAAATTAAAATTAATGTATGAGTTTCGATTTTTCAAACAAAAAAGAACCGTTTTGAGGAACCAAGTTTTTCTTCAGGCCGCCCTTCCCGACTGCCGGGCCGTCGGCGGTAGCTTCGGCGGCGACGCTTGCTTCCCGATGTACGACAAGCTGCTGATGTCCATCTTGCTGACGATCGGAACGTTCTTCCTGGCGACGACCCTGAAGAAAATGCGCAGCTCGTGCTACTTCCCCTCCTACGTCCGGCAGCTCCTCTCCGACTTTGCCGTCATGCTCGCCATCATCAGCATGACCTGCGTCGATTTGGCCGTCGGCGTCAACACGCCCAAGCTCAACGTCCCGAGCACTTTCAGGGTATCTCAGAAAAAAAAGTATAGACGTGTCCAGATAGCCCATAATTAGCTGCCGCGTTCAAAGTGTTTTCGGCGAGACAATGCAAAAGATAACACGTATTTTGGAGAATCAGAGAATTTCACGAACTCACTTCGAAGGCGGCATCTCGGACCTTAGTAACGGACGCGCCCCGGGCGTTTCTGAACTTCCGTAGTAGGCACTTAAGAAGGCTGAAGCCTCTAAAGGGATTACTAGAAATGCTCAAAAACATGCACAGCGTCAAAACTGGTGTCTATTTCCAAAGTTTCGCCTGAAAGTTGTATATGATCATGATGAATTGACTTGCAGCCGACCTGGGAAGGCCGTGGCTGGGTCATACCGCCCTTCGACGGCAACGCCTGGTGGACCGCCCCCTTGGCCATTCTTCCGGCTCTTTTGGCCTGTATCCTCATTTTCATGGACCAACAGATCACCACCGTCATCGTGAATCGCAAAGAGAACAAGTTGAAAAAGGTTCAGAGACGAGAAGAACTGCGTCATAATTATTGAAGCATGAGAAAAATTCGTCAAATTTGAAACTAAAGCGCTGTCAATGTTAATCATTTTGGAAAAACGAGAAAAAAATTTTTTAAAGCGCGTCATAATTATTGAAAAATTGACAGAGGTCAATACTTTCAAAATATTTCTATTCCCAATCCCCTCGAAAATTCCATTTTTCCAGGGCTGCGGATACCACTTGGATTTGCTCGTCTTGTCCATCACCATAATTCTCGTCGGATTCCTCGGATTGCCGATCTACGTCGCCGCCACCGTCTTGTCCATCAACCACATCAATTCCTTGAAGGTCAGAAATCGGCTTCAAATCGGGGAAGAAAATCTTATTGGAGCAACTTTTCTCATCGAGCTTTTCCTTTAGAAAAGAAAGTAGAATGCGAAAGTGAGCTGCCGAAAAAATTTATTGTTTCTTATCAAACTAGAAACTTCAGAAAGATATAACCATTTTTTAGTTTCAAATAAACAACGTGGGATTTCAGGTGGAAAGCGAGTGCAAGGCGCCCGGTGAAGTTGCCCAGTTTGTCGGAGTTCGGTGAGCTTTAATATGAAATGATGAAAAGCTTCTCAGGCGTTTGTTTACCTCCGAGCTACAGAATCATTCTTTTCGAGACACGCGGCCTTTCTCTGCGCATGCGCCTTTAATTTAGTCTAATTATTCTCGTCACGCGCATACATAGAAGCAGACGATGCACATGATTTTGATGAAGCATTTGTTTGGAATAAACGAAAAGCAACCAAATCAACGCGCAAGCTACAGAATGAAATGAAACAATTCAGTGAACAACGTGTGACCGGAATCGTCACTTTCCTACTCATTGGTCTCTCCGTTTTGGCCACAAATGTAATGTCATCATTTTATGAAGTTTTTCTATTGAGATCGTAATATTTTGAAGGTCCTTGGCCATATCCCAATGCCCGTTCTTTACGGCGTCTTCTTGTACATGGGTATCTCGGCTCTCGGCGGAATTCAACTCTGGGACCGAATTCTGCTTCTTTTCATGCCCATGAAGTAAGTTTTGAGGAAGAAGAACATAAGAAAAATGTAAAAAACAGGATAAAAGTGATTTAATGTAAGAAAATTGATTGGAAACTGAGCCTGGAGCTTCAATTTTAGCTGATTGAAAAAATTTTCAAATTCTTGTTTTTCTTCTAAATTTGAAACGGAAGGAACAAGCTGACTAACTTCAAAAAATGACTTCGAATTTGAAAAATAGAGTTTGACTCAGTAATTTCGTGCCGTCATTTTTTTTAAATAATAAGATTTGGAAGAATTTTTTTCTTTGAGAAAATAGAGGAAATAGAAAAAGAGATATTTTCGAATGGCTTTTTTTTTAGAAACTACCCTCGTATAATTTCAAAGTTTAGCTCTCGAAAATTACCACAAAGCTACTTGAAAAGGAATAAAGTGAGAATAATTTCTCAATATCCAGGTATCAACCGGACACGATTTACATCCGTCACGTTCCCATCAAGAAAATTCACCTTTTCACTGCTTTCCAGGTAATTTCATACAATTTTCTCCTTATTTCTTGCATTTTCTTCAGGTCGGTTGCTTGGCTCTTCTTTGGGGAATCAAATCAGTCAAATCGACGTCGATCCTTTTCCCGATTATGGTTTATTTTGTCGATTTATCGAGAATTCATCGATTTCCCTCAGCTCGTCGTGATGGTCGCCATCCGCAAGGCGATGGAGAAGTTCTTCACTTCGTCGGATCTGAAGTATTTAGACGATCCGATGCCCGACTTCCACTTGAGAAAGAAGGAGGACCTCAAGAAGAGGCGGCAGAGTCAGGCAAGCCTTGGAAACGTTTAATCGAAGACTAGTTAATAATGCCGTGAAATTCAGAATTATTTGCGACTTTTCAAAATTTTATTATTTTTTCGGTCGGCTATTTTGAATGGAATAACTTTGAACACACCATAAGTGTTTGATATTCCCCCAGATTCAAAAATTATTCGTTTTTTTTTTTTGGTTTTTGGAGCCTTTTGAAGTGCGAAAGGTTTTAAAAGAGTTTCTAACAAAATTTTCGGTACTTTGTAAGCCGTGCCCTAACTAGTAAATATAACTGCCAAGTCTGGCGCGAGGAAAATTCGAGATTGCTTGCGGTTAATTGTCGCTCTGTCCTCGCGCGGATCTCGCATTTCTCTCTTCCTTTTCCCACAAGTTGAAAAAATAAATTTCAAATTTTTCAAAATGCAAAGTCGCGCCGAAAAAAGAATGCGAAATGTGTAGAAAAACGCGAGACCTGCACCAAAACAGATTTTGATGTAGGAGGTCAAGTAGCTGAAGCTTAATTAGAGATAAAATCCGGAACAGGTGTAGATGATCATCAGGTGACAAGAGAACTTATTTCAGGGCGGCGAACCAGTTGACATCGAGATCGACAATGAGAACCAGGCGACGATACATGCCGTCAAAACCGAAGCACATCTGCACATTCCGATGAACTCGGGCAACGTCATCAAGATCCCTCTGGCGGCCATCCAAGAGCCCTCCCATTCCATCAACTTGACCAAGGAGGTCGGAGTGCGAAAAAAAAGTTCTCGACAAAAGATATTTTTTGAGGAAATGAGCCAAGAATATCTTTTTTTCGGAGAAGCAAAAAAGATTTCTAACACCTTTACTTATTTATCAAGTTATATAAAAATCAAAAAAAAGCCAGAAGTTCGACACTTATCATTACGGAGAAGATTAAACAAGGCAAATTCAATGAGCCTTTTGTCATTTTTTTTTTCTTTTTTTTTTCAAAATACCTTAAATGTATCTAAAGTTCCGCTTTTTACAAATATTTTCTCTAGAAGCGCCTCTTTACTTCCTTAAAAGAGTAGGTTCTAATATATTGCCAAAAAAAGGTCTTTTAAACTTTTTCCGTGTGGATCGCTCAAATGCGAGAAAAGGAAAACTGGTTCGTTTGGACTTTTTTTTAAATTGAAGTTTCTGTTTTAAGGCCTCAAAATCGAAGTATACATTTGAAAATAATAATTTTCTCCATTTACAAAATTTCAGGTTAACAACAGCGGCATGTGGAAGCACATCAGTTCGACGGACTCGAAAAACTCGCTCAACAAGGATTTGCCTCACGAGTTTGTTCATTATCCTGCTTTCCATTACTCATTATCATATTCAAGTCACCATCATCATTCCAACCGTCCCGATGCTCCCATTGAACAGCCTGAAGACGATGATGACGCTATTATGATAAAAGTTTGTCATTTTTGAAGAAACTAATGAAAGAGTCTGACCGAAAAATAGTGGAAGCTGTTTCCTTGAAGGAGCATAGAAATATTTCACAAAATTTCAGGCCGGCTGTGTTTTTTGTTTGGTCGTGCAAAAGTTTTACGCCCTAAGACTTTACTTGTACCATAAATAAATGATACGAGTTTCTGTCCTTTTTTCAGTCTCCAATCAAAATTGAAGGCACTTAATTGAATTTTAAGACAATTTTTCCAACCGACCGCACTTTCCAGGTGATCCGCCCATCGCCCAACTCCTCGGCGGTGAACCTGAACGAAAATACGCCGCTGCTCAAGGACACCAAGGCGCCTTCCTCAGATAATTCTCCAGTTTAGACATGTTTTTATTTCTCATTTCCACCTGCATTTTTGTCTGTTTCATTCAAACTTTGTACTAATTATGACTTCTTAGAAGATTAGGTTTGGTTTTTTTTTTCTTTCCCTTGGGACTTTCAATTTATTTTAACATTTTACACTAAAACAAAAAAATTTTGCTCTCCGCACCATTCCAGCGGGTTTTTTTTTGTCGCTTTTCAAATGATTTTTTTTCTTTTTTTCTCTTCCGATTGTGCCACATGTTTTTTTCACATACTTCTGTATACTTTAAATCATCAGTTTTGTCAAGTCACCGTGTTTGCTTTCATTTTTTTTTCATGCATTACTGTGGTTCTGTTTTCACCCCTCTTCTTTAAACAGGAATGCTTTAAAAGGTTCTCTTCGACGTTTCTCCTCCGACGATATCGTTATTCACATTTTTTTTTCTGTGGTTTTTGTTTGTTTAGTTTGAAATTTGATGAATTAAATAGATTTAAAATCAGAATAAGCCGTAAAATCGCGTGAAAATGATGGGAAAGTCGTGAATTATTGGAAATTTTACTATAACTAAGAATAACTGACGAAATAAACGCGAGGTCGGTGCGCCTAGAAAAGTGCGAGCTCGCGCCCAGAAAAATGCGAGACTGGCGCGAGAAAAAAAGCGAGATGTTTGCGAGCTCGTCAATGTACCGCCAGTGTCTCGCGTTTATCTCGGCAGTTATTCTTAGTGATTATGGGATTCTGTATGCCGTCAATACGCAATGATTTGTGTAGGCACAGAAAGCGCATCGAGATGCGCAATATCTATTTTTTCTTGGAGGCGCCACGCATTTTGATAGAAAAAATACATCATGAGAAAAAATGAAGAAAAATATCAATTCAACCTTACTAAACCGCTCGCTTGTGGGTTTACCCAATTTCCAACTTGTCAAATTAGAAATAAACACCTCTGAAAGCACACAAAAATCGCTTCGAATACAAAAAAAAACCACATAAATATGGAGAGTTTTTATTATAGACATGTTGAATGAAATTTAGAAGTGAAATCAACTACAACATTTAATGGAAAAGAGAAAGGTCTAGCGAACAGATAAAAAGGAGATAAAAGTACATGAATCGCTGAACTCTCTTGTTTTGATTCTCACAAAGAAAAAAAATTGCCGTCACGTACAAGCTCTCTGACTATGTACAAGGAAAATGAAAAAAAAAAACACTAAATAAAAAAATTTTTTGAGTTATGGGAAGAGTCTATGAGAAACATGATGAAAGCGCAAAATCATCAGAGAAATTGAAAAAAAAAAACATGATCAAGATGACCAATTTATCGTCGGGATCGAAATATATAAAAAAAAAAATTGAAAAAGTAAACTTAAAACGCACTTCACGACTGAATTCTTCGAATTATTGTTTTCATATAGCTTTTTCAATAGGTTTCCATTCTATGAAATACCACAAAACATAGGAAATCTCATGTGGACCAAAAAAAGCTTCCGAGGCAAGCAAAACCATCTCGTCCGAGCGATAAATCAACCAAAATGACAAAACGAGTACAAAAACACCGGAAAAAAAAAATAAAACCGCTAAAAATTTCAAATTTTGAAACCCTTGTAAACTTCACACTGCCGTCGTTGTGCAGACCTTCACTACCCTACGGTACTACCAAAACACAAGTTATATTCCACATCACGTTCGAATGGGCAAGAAAAGGTACTGGAAAAAAAAAAACAAGATTGAATTTTGATGATACGAGTCAACCTAAGCCACACAAAAATGCGCATTTTTGAGCCATCTATTGACTTTTTCGATCGGCAACGAATAGCCAGGGGCCAGGAAATCGTCCTCTTCGTCGTAAATGTTGGTTTGGCGATCGTCCAACTGGAAATGAAGTTTCGAAAAAATAAAATCTCGAAATCTGTTACCAAGTCGCGATCTTCCGACGAACATCCCGAATCTTCATCCGACGGCTCGGAAAACTTGTTTTCAGCCTCGAAAACCATGGAATCCTTCTTTTTCGTCCACATTTTCACAAGAAATCTGAAAAAAATTATTCAGAGGTTTTTTTCGATTTCTTGCATTTTTTTGCTTTTTTTCTTTTTAAATTCAAGGCATATATTTTCATTGAAAAAAACTGTTGCCTTCGAACTTTGAGCCATTTTATCTATAAAAAAAAGCCGCCTCACGTAATTTCGCGGCTTCCCACTCTATACAGGCAAAATCCAAACGACCTCGAAAATGCCTTACAAAGAAGAGCCTCAAGCTCCTTTTTGAGTTCCTAAAAAGGTGTCAAAAGCTTTTCGAATCCTTTTTCATCATATTTTTTTTCCCGCTCACTTTTTTTTAGCTCATTAAAAGGTTCTTTTTTTAGGGCCTTTTTTCCAAAAATCCTTTGCTTGTGTAAGTAAATCATTTTTTTTTCCCCTCAAAACTCACCCAAATATTCCTCAACTCCGGCTCCGAACAGGTTCTCTTCAGATGCCGAATCCACTGTTCGTTCTGCGACTTGACCAACTTCACATCATCCAGTCTAAAAGTTGCGAATTCGAATTATCTCTCAATCCTTCCGGGAAAAACCTGCAATCTCTTGGCGGGGTTCCAAACCAGTTGGAATTTTCACTGGAAAAACTGTACTCCGCGTAAAAAACTCCCGTCCAGTCTCTTAGAATTCTCTCGGCCGTGTGCGACCTGAGATATATAACATTCCGGTTGGATTAAAAAAATCATAACTGGTTCAAATTTGAACTTCGTTCAAATATAAGATTATACAAAAAATTCAAAAAAATGGTTAAACGCGAGATAAATTGAAAAAGCTACTCAAATGAATGAATAAATCGCGCAACCGTTTCGAGTCTCAAAATGTACGGCTTTAGAAGGTTGACAGGTCAGCATTTTCAGTCTTTTCTAAGGTTCAAAAACAAAATACGATTTTTTTGCCTATTTTGCGCTTTTTCTTTCAATGTTCAAGTTTTGTCGAACTAACCGATGCAGCAGCCGGGCTCTTCTTCCAGTTTTCTCATTCGTCAGATCGAGTTGGGTCATCTCGGGGATCGGTTTCAGGGGATAGGTCACTGAGCAATCGTTCATATCGGATCTGGAAAAGAAAAAATTGCTGGAAAAAAGTCAGAGGAAGAAAAAGATAACTAAATTTTGGAGAGTCAGAAACAATTTTGCATTCCGGGGAAACTACCTTAAACACGGCATGAATTCTGATAGAAAAAACCTCTTTTTTTTAAACTATTTTTAAAAATGAAGAAAAACATCCACTTCATGATAGAAGCAGCCTCTTTATAATTCAATATTTTCACGGAAATTCATTTTATTTCTTTTTACGAAACCCAATTAACAAACCAAGAGCTTCAATTTCTCAAAGTTTCCAAAAAAACTAATTTTTGATTGAGAACTTCTTGATTGAACTTGATTGAGAAACGTTCGAAACTATCCAATTTATGATCGGAAAAAGAGAAAATATTACTTTACGAGAATCGGAAAATATTACAAACGTTGCTTGAGTGTCTTATCGATCTACCTTTTTTCTTCTTTGCCCGTTCCGGAACCTTCCTGAGTATTGGAAGCGGTAGAAGTGCCACCAATAACTGGAACTCGTGAAGTTTCTCTCTTTTCCTGACCTCCGACACCTCCTGAACGAGGATTATTACGGTAGGAAACTTTACACGATGAGAATTTCAATAAAAAAGCGGCTGCAAAAAACAGAAAAAGTATTTTTCTAAGGCTTCTGATACAATATTCTATGAATACCTACCGTTGGAATCATTATCATCGTCCTTTTTCCCGTCCTCATTTCCTCTCCCGCAGTACTTCGAGGCGATCATTGTCAATCGGCGGCTTTCCTCGTCGTCAGAGGCTTCGGAAGAAGAACAGCTGAAACTTTAATTGAGAAAAAAAAACCGCCACAAGATGTTCCAATCAAAAATAATAGGCTCATTGTAGAGACAAAAAAATATTATTGTTTCACAAAAAAACAGAAAAATTATTGAAGTGAAAAAAATTTTTTTCTCGTATCAAAAAAATGGACTGTTCTGGTATTTTTCTTGGAAGAAAGTTCGAAATACTATTTTTCAAATATTTCCGTTTTTTGGCATTTTCTAATTCCGAGCTTTCCTATAATAAAAATAGCCATCAAAAATGAAAACTTCACTCGAAAATTCGAAAAACCAACAGATTCAGATCATTTTTCAGAACACTGGTTGGTTTGGTCCTAAAATTCTTTTTTGAAAACTTGAAAATAGTCTTTTGTCTTTTTTTCAAAGTTTGTAAAAGCAGTTTCTTGCTCAGAATTTCAAACTGAGTTCAAAAAAACTTTCATTGCAAAATCTCATGGAGCGAACGGAGTTATACCTATTTTTGAAGTCGAAGATGACTAGGCCAAAAAAATTATTATTGAAAACTCGAAAATTTTTTTATTTTTTTCAAGTTTTTTTCGAATCTTCAAACCTTTGTCTTCTGCAAAACTCTCCGCTGAATCCGAAAAATTCAACTTCCTATACCAAATTTCGAAAGAAAAAAACCCCGTAAAATTATTTTTATATATATATATATACTGCTCTTTTAAAAAAAATATTAACCTTTCGTAAAAAGTTCCATTTTTTTGGGGTTTCGAAAGCCTATGAAGAGCGTTCTGACACGGAACTTCATAAAAACCTGCATCCAGTGAATTATCCTTCAGAAATCCCATCAGTTCTCGTTTAGATCTGTACGGTGCTCAATCGCTTTTCATGTTGCACAAACTTGCTGATTATCATCCAAACTTTCGTCAATTCTCCCCTCTTCTCCCAGTTTCCAGTTCAGAACTATACCTCGTGCTCCGCCGAGTCCTCGTCATGAATCGCGTGTGTTGTTCATATCTTCGGCAAACGTCCGGAGACACCACCGCCTGTCTTGGTCTGATCATCCGCACGGCACTGAAAACCTTTGCTTCAATGAATCAATGGGAAGGGTCGGGTCCTACAACGGAACAACGACTTTCACGCACTCAATTCAAATTTTCAAAATTGGAAACTTCGAAATTTTTTTCAAAAATGATTTTGCGAGATTCGCGGAACTGGCGTTTGAAAAAAAGAAAAGAATGTCGCGATCTCACTTTTGAAAAGAGAACATAACATAGGAAGGCGAAAAGACACCTGTAAGTGGTCGGGGCAGTGCTGAGATGAGAAACGGAGCTTCCGGCGGGGCTGCTCATCACAGAAACAGCCGGCAGAGGCGGCGGAATCGGGCTTTTCGTCGAGAAAGACGACGTCAGCAAACTGCCTCCGGAGCTCTTGGTCGCATGGACCGTGCCATGACGGGAGGGAACGTGGACGAGGCCAGTCGAGGCCGATCTGCTTTTTTTCGATTTATAACTGAACAGTGAAATGAAAATTTTTGTTTTTCTTCTTTCTCATCATACTTAAGCAAGCACAGAACTCAACAAGTCCAAGAAGAGGACTTGGTTTACAAATATTCACCAAAAAAACAGAAAAAATTAGCAATAACGTTTTTTTTTCGAAAAGCTGGAGAAAGTATTGGCGTCCTCAAAAAATGGTCTGCCCATTTTTGATACTTTTTGCAACTTTTCTTTCCTGACACACAAAATCCCATTTTTGTTTAATCGAGTCGTTTCAAAACTTGAAAATAACAACAAAAAAAATTATTTCTCAATGATTTCACCAAAATTACAGTTCCTATTATTTGATTTTCGAACAAGGTTCAGAAAATCAAAAACTAATCAATCATTTTGACTTGTATCCGTTTATTCTCATTGGAAACCTATTGGTCCTGGCCGTTCCGTCGATCCTAGCGTTCAAGTGGGCCCCACAAATCGTTCCGCTCGACGTTTCGCCGTTCTCTTCACTCTGGAAGTAGTAAAACGAATGAAATATCAAATAAATGATGTGAAAAACCTCTTCACAAATTCCCAAGAGATGCGGCGACGAGGACAGTTTCCGCATTCCACTGCCGCCAACATTCGAAGAAAGCGAAGATACTTTGAGCCGTGAGAGCGATGGCAAAGCTGAAAATGAAAACATTCGAAAACTATGTCATTTTGATGTTTCTCTATTGTGAATTGAAACATAGAAAGTAGCTGGTATCATGAAAGCTAGGAAAAAGTCTTGAGAACTTTAACGTTGTTTTTTTTTCCTACTAAGGTAAAGTGAGAGATCACTTAATGGTTCACTTAAGGATTCATTCGCCAATAAAGTAGGCACTAGAAACGCTCAGAAACGTTCGGATCGCGTCCGTTTTGCGTTACCGAGGTCCGATAAAGCTAAGATTAAATGAAGGACCTGGCGAGGCTCTTCCACTGGAAGCCGGTGGCGAAGGTGATCTGCTGCTTCGGACGCTTTCAGGGCTAGCCGCTCGGCCTCGCATCGAGCCTGAATCGAGATGAAGATATTTCGATCGAACTAAAAAATCAGACTACTGTGAAAAGTTCCAAAGGAAGCTAGCTCAATTCTCGAGGTTTGCGCTGTCTTTTTGCAGTTTTGTAGAGCATACGTGCAAAGTCCAGCGTATCTACGAAAACGCCGACCCGGTTTGGTAGAGCGGATCGTTAAAAAACAGAGGGTGATCTAGTACCAAAAGTGAAGCCCCCTTTTGTAAAATTATGACGTATTAGTACTAATGGCCAGTCTTAGAGACCATGTAAAAGAGAAGGAAAGGCCGCAGATAAGTCCCGCCCCCTCAAGTCGCCAAAACGGACTATCTTCATGCAAACTCCTAGAGAAAACGCCAATGAAAGCTTTGGAACGCACCAAATCGCGACAACTCCAACAAATCGTGGACGGCCTGCGGACTGACACGATCACGGGTACTGCCGCCGCCGAACATCGACACCGACGGCGACGAGTTTCTGAACGCAAAAATAGAGGAAAGCTACAAGAGAAAAAGTTAGACACGACCATGTTAATAAAGTCAGTTAATTCATATATAGCTGGTTAGAGACAGAAAAAAAAAATTATTTTCTCACGAATGAACGAGTTCAATCAATTGAGTGGAAAAAATCATTCTTCTCAAAAACTTTTAAAAAAATTCAAACTTTCAAGGTGCCACAAAAAGTTATCCGAACATGAAAACTTTCCCTTTTTTGTCTCAACCCAGCTGTTAATACACCTTAGTTCATTCATGAATATCTTATCAATATTTCGATTTATTAATGTGGGGACTGATGTTAATTGATACCGAAAATAGTTAGTTTGAACCATCTTGTACTTGTAAATGAGGTTAACTTGATACGGTCCTGTTAAAAGTTTTCACATTTTTATGAAAAATAGAATAAATAAGGTGCGAAAAAATCGTGCAAACCAAAAAAATAATAAAAACATCCATGCTGTAGGCATCATGCAGGAATGTCAACTCTGGGGAATGTCTGAACAGTTTGAAGAATTTTTGAATAGAAATTTTTCTTATTCTATCCGCGGGCAATTTGAAACCATCAAAGATCGAGTATAATTAGTATTATCTGAAAAAAAGCCTCGGTAAAAAAATTCTTATTCCGTTTTGAATCTAATGAAGAAGCGCTCAGTTTTCCAAGACATAAAATTTTTATTTTTTGAAGACTCTTCTTCAGAGAATCTTCTCAACTTGAAAAAGTCTGACTTTACTTAAGAAAATCTTTTTTTTTAATTCTTCCAAAACGAAGGAAACAGAAATAAGTGAAACCGTCCAAACATCCCAAAGAGAGAAGCCACATGCCACTTCATTCTTGACACCATAAAAAGCACCACCTTCTGACGAGCCGGGAGGAGCTTCTTCTGACAAGGGCGGGCAGTTGGTTGGCGACAACTTCGTTGATGGCTTCCGTGCTGAGGTCCGACCTGCGGTCGAAGCTCCCATCGAAGCTGGTATTGGCATGGCCGAGCCAGGACTTCCGATCGGAGTTAGGGGAAGAGGGTTCCTCGGGGTTTCGGATCTGCTCCGTGGAGCGGCACTCGTCGATGGGCGAGAGCAGGTCTTCGAAGCGGCTGCTCGAGACGGCGGCGCTTTGGGGTCCGTAGGGGAAGAGGGAGAAATGGATGGGTCTGGGCTGGTAGTCCTCCGCTTCGGACACAGCCGTTCCAGGTAATTCTTCGGAGTTCTGGCGGGACAGGTGGGAGCTGCAGCAGCGGCTCAAGTTGCGCGACGAGGACTGCCGCTCGCTGCTCAGGTTGAAGTACCTGGACGGAGAAAGTTCTCTAACAAAATCTTGACTCAGCTGTTTGAAGGAGCATTATAATAGTCTGTTCGAATGCTTAATGTCAAGAAAAATGACGTCTCTCGAAAACGCTCTGTGTATGGTTCGCTCTCTGATTGGTTTTTCGCGCCATTAGAGGCTGAGCTTGAGCTACGACCTTATATTCAAAATCTGAGAAGCTTATAAACAGTAAAAAAGGCTTTTCGCCTCGAGACCTGCGTGGATTTGACCGATGCTCCTTCAAAAGCCCAAGCAAGTATTTCTTAAAAAGATCGCTAAGCTTCGAGAAACGCAGTCGCCAGAACTATCAAATACAAAAAAAACGTACTTATTTTCTAAATATGCAATAAAATAAATCTACAAGCTGTTAAGAGCCCATTTTCATTAAAATATTGAGTTCTGACGAGCTGAAACTCCTCGAAGCCAGCAAAAGGTGAAAAATGAGGACTGGACACCAATAAATTTTCACATGAAACATGCCAAACTCGGAAAGATTCAATTAACAAACACCGAACTGAAAAGAATTTCCAAAAGCGATAGGAGAACTGTACACATATGAAAAGGTGATTACTGGCCGAAGCTTGAAACTTTTTTCTAGTCACTTTTTTGTAATATTTTCATATTACTTTAAGTTTTGAGCGTTCTGAATTAGAATTACCGATACTTAAAAATCATATCTAACCTCTTTTTAATTGGGAAAACTAATTGAGGAGTTCCATTTTTTCTCCTATTTCGAGCCCAATATCTACTTGTAAAGCCTAAATATCGCTACAATTTTTCACGTTTTTTATAAAGGTCCCCTCGCCCGACTACTTCAAATGGAAAAAGGAATCTTGAATTTCGCTCAATTTCTTACGCCAAAATATACTCAAAATCTTTGCATTTGAACAGAAAAAAGCACTTTTCAGAACTATATGGTCTCCTATTTATTCCAAAATATTCCGTTTTACTTTTAACGGAATAATCTCTACGATTTTCACTAAAGCTCTTCTAAAATAAGCGAATTCCCCTGATCCTAGCCCATTTATACCTGCTGCTCTGACGACTCGACGACCTCAGGTAGGTCGAAAGCTCCTCCTCGCTTTCCTCCTTGAGGATGGAGCAAGGACGAGCTCGCCAGGAGTTGGACCGAGATCGGCACCGATTTCCGCCGACTTGGGCCGGTCTTGAGCTTCTCGAACCTTCTCCGGCACTGAAAAATGATTTTTCCATTTTCAATACGAAGAAAATTTGCACCTCTCATCATCAACAGTTGGAGCCAACTCTTTTGCGAGCAGTAGTCGAGCCTGAAGAGGAAAAAACTTTGAAACTTGATCTTTGGATAAAAAAGAAATCTTCCGTACAATGAAGATGATTAAAGTGACATTCAACTGGCTTTTCTCAAAAGAAGATTCAAGGAATTCTTGAGAAGCTACTTCGAACTCGACAAGTGATCACTTAAGCTTTGAGTCCTTTTTTAGGCAAAAACTATTCTGGAACGGATTATTAAAAGATAAAAACTATAAAGATGCCACCTGAAAGGCCACCGAAATGTCGACAAGTGTTCAAGGCTAATGGATTTATGACAAAAATTTGAAAATCCAATATGTTTCACCTGTTCCTCTCTACAAGACGCCAAAATCCTCTCGGCCAGCAAGTAATAGGTCGCCGTGATCGAGCTGTATTCGTTGTTTTCCAAGGCTCTGGAAAGGTTGAACTTCAGAGCCATTTTCAATATTCAAGCGCGCTCTAACGAAACCTCCTTATTGGTTTGATAGGTTTTTTTATATCTTCTTAATTAATTCTCAGATAAAACTAGTGATCTTATTCTTTTAGAGGCTCGGAAGGCGTTTGAATCTTCGGAGAAAATGAACAAACGTCTTCCGAATAGCTCCCCAACATGTTCTACTTACCTTTCAGTTTTTTTTTTCTAGGTTTCCACTTAGAGCACGGTTTCCGGGCTCGCAGCACAAGATTCACTACATTCTGAGCTCGTCAAGGCGTAACTAAATGAACTACGCGCAGAAAAACGAGGCGAAAGGCCGTAAGACCATGTTTTCAACTTGATCATATACACGTTTGGACTCCTTGTTCGCCCAAGGCAGTTTTTCGTTATAACTTTTAAAGTTCTTATTCGTCGCCTGTTCGATTACATCTCTGACTTAAACAACAAAACAAATGATCGATTTAATTCGTTAAGGAAGCTGCGAATGAACTATTTTCCCTGTACCTCTGGATATTTTCTTCTGGCGCAATTCCACCGGCAACCATCTGTTCGACGATCGTTTCGTGTGCAGATGGCGGTAGATGATCTCGTTCCACCAAGGGAATCGCCTGAAAATACGGAAGTTAGCTGTTATCAACTTGATTTCTGAAAAAATTTCATTTTTTCATTTTTCTTTTTTTCCGCGTGAAGAACCCTTATTGAAACTTACTCGAGCCAGTTTCAGAAAAAAAGATACCTTAACTTTATTAAGCTTTTTCCGAAATACCAAAAAAATCAGAATTGAACTTAATTCTTGTGAATTCATGACTCAAAAAAATTGAAAATTATTTTATACCCCAAAAATCTCGTTTGAAGACAAATTAAGTCTTCCTCAAGGCGTTGATGAAGAAACTATAAGTTCACTACGAGAGAATTGGTTTTTTTTTTAAACGAAAAGTCCTTTTTTTAACCTTACGTAAATGTTTGTTCATAGCCTCGTAATCTATTCATTTGTCGCAACGCAAATCAATTTATTTTTTGAATTTTTCAGTCCCTCCGGCAAAGTCTACAAAAACTCAGAAAGAACCTTTGGAAAAAGGCTTTCAAAAGGTCTCATAGGTTTTTTTCTTGGCCTTTTTTTTGAAGGACCTTTTTTAGGATGAAAAAAAAGTAGAAAGCGGGATAAAAGGAGATTACGATAAAATTTTTACACGTTTTTAGGAGCTCAAAAATATTTCTAGATTTTTCTCTTTGAGTTTTTTTAAAAGGTTTTTTGGACTTTGCCCGTGTCATTACCTCCTTATTTGAAATAAAAAGTTCAAAAAAAGGTTGATAATCGTTCTCTGAATATTTTGTACTCTATTTTCAGACTCGGTTCCGACCGAAAGACCTTGGCAAAGAGCAAGGGCCGACACGCGTCGCGCCAATCAGGCGTCGCGTCGCATAAAGGCGCAAAATGTGCGATGGAACACTATTTCGGCGACCGTATGGCCGTCTGGCGGCGCGAAATAGTATGGCGGCGTTCGGGGCGCCTGCCAGCGGCCTCGCCCTTCAGTTTCCCTGGCCTATCTATCTTTTCCACCGCTTTACTCGATTGTTTTAAAATCCCTTTCCAATTTTTATACTTGATAGTCTCCCAAGTCTTGAAAAGGATAGTTTCTCTTGAGAAGTTTTTCCTCACAATAGAAAAATTTTTTTATCTGGAGAAAAAAAATAGGATTTTTCAGGTCCCGCAGTTCTTTTGAAGACACTTTTTGTACTTCACAAAAAGTACACTTTTTTTAGAAAAACAAGGTTTCGAAAATAATTTGGATTGAGAATCGAAACTGTAAAGTTTTTACTCAAAATTTTCAGATTAAAACTTTTTTTGAACCCTTTTTCAGATCTTTGAGTGAAATTTATCGTTTTTGTGCAAATTCCATCATTTTTCCGACTATTCTTGCCTTCTTCCAAAACTATCATCTTCATTGATAACTGATAACGATTTCAGGATGCAAAACGACCGTTTCTCTCCATACTCGACACCGAGTCGAGGCAGAGGAAGAGGGCGCGGAAGAGGGGCCACTTTAGTGAATAATCCGTCAGTAGTTCTTACACCTTTTTTTCAACGAACTCGTCTTTCCAGTTTTCTAGTCGTCTTTTTCTCATTTTTCTTCTTTTCTTTTCTCGGAAAACACTCAGAAAACAGAAAACTCTCATTTTCTTTCAGAATAGTTCCAAAAACATTTTTTTTTCCAAAAAAAATATCCCAGAAAATGCCCGAAAACTAGATGAAAACCCAAGTTTCAGGGTTCCGCCATCAACATCAGCTCCAACAAACGGCTCCTCCACTCCAGATGAGTACAGCTTCACGTTCATCAAGAACACGGGCGAGGATTTGTACACACGTTTGCAAAAATGCCGGGTCAATGGAACTTTTAATTACTACGAGGCCGGAAAATGCTTTACACAGTCTTTGGACAAGCCCAATTGCGAGCAGATCATCAGTGTGAGTCTTGGTAATCCTCTGGTCGCAAGCAGAATGGCTCATTGCGTTGCGGTCGTGCTACGGTTTCATATTCAGCAAATTCAGAATAACTTTTTCGCAGTCGTAAATCGTCTATATAGGTGCAGTCGGATGGACCTTTCGAAGTTTTTCAAAACTGCTCCGAAACATTTGAAAAAAGTTTCATTTATTCTGCCTTTTTGCGTCTTTCCATTAACGTATAATAAACTATTTTTTTAATGTTTTCTACAGCTTATCAAAACTTTGAAAATTGAAAAGTTCAGAAAAAAAAAGCCTTTCCGACTTTGCCAAACCTAAGACATTCTCCGTGCTACCAGAAGATCCAAATCTTATCTTTTTAATAGAAACTATGATTGAATAGTCCTCTTTTTTATTTCCAGGCTTTTTGCTCGGAGAATTTCTCCCGAATCGAGACTTTTACGATGACCGGCTACATGGAAGACGTTCGGAGGGCCGGTTTTACGACGGCTTTCACCATTTTCGATCGATATTTGATGCTCGGGAAGCATATCAAGGTAAATTATCGTTTGAATCACGATTTAAATTTTTCATTTCCCTTGTCCTAGTTCTAACCTACAAAAAACTCCTCCCAATTAGTCAAATTTATCAGAAGATCCTAGAGCTACCTATTTTTCCAGGATTCTCTCATGTGGGCTCAACTGGAATCCATTCAAGCTGTTGCCAACGCGGCGATAACACAAAATACCTGCGGAAATGCGATTTTTGAAGCCGGCGTCGTCGAGGACGGCCGATTTGTTCTACCCGATCTGCCGCCGTTCAAAGTAGGGAATTTTGATGACATTTAAAAGAGGCCAAAATCCATCAAGTTTCGATAATTTACTCTTTCAATCAGAAAAGAACCGGCTTTTCATTGCAGAGAACGCTTTTTATTCAAAATTTGTGATTAAAGCTATCAAACTTCAAATTTCTCCATTAAAGATGTTAAACTTTTCCAGCCGATCGTTCTGACGACCAGTGGCTGGAAACACTCTGGAGAAGTGCCACATATTCAGCTGACGTCGCTTTTTCGCCACATTTTGAAACAAGTTGATATTTTGAATGTTCATAAAACGACAAAATTCCAAGTTTCCAGGCCTGTGATCCTCCAACAGCTATCAAAGGCTACACGTACAGATCAGGAAGCGGCCGCGCGAATTTCGAACTTCAACAGATTCCCGAGCCAATTTTCATCACGCTGCGTGGTAATTTTTTTTTCAAAGAGAAAAAAAAATCAAAATGAGTTGTTTTTTTGAAAAAAAAATCAAAAAAAGGTGCCCACTATGAAGTTTTTAGCTTTTTCAAAGCTTGAAATGGGTTTTTCTCGCTATTCAAAAAAAATTTAGTACGTCTTCCAATTTTTTTATACTATATATTCCCAATATTAAAAATTAAAGGAAGATGTTGAAAATTCAATTTAAAAAAAAGGCGAAATCGAATGCTTTTTCACGGAAACTCCAACTGAAACTCTAAAATTCGAAGTCCTTTGCAGAATTTTCGAACGCAGTCTTCTCTATCAATCGTCCAGAACTCGTCGATCCAGAAGAGACCGTTTATGAAACGGAGTGAGTAAGCTTATGGTTTGAATGAACTATACTATAGTGAAAGGAGCTGAAAATGTACGCAATTCTTAATTAAAAGTCGTCATTTCTGACCAATGGATTCAATGATACCGCTCCTAACTAACCTATTCCCTTCTGAAAGTGTCATATAATGGATGAAAATCGAAAAGAGCCGTTTTAGAAGTAAAATAACCACAAAATAAGCTTAAATGGGTCCAGAATTGGATTGTACTTTTTGATCATCTACAGGTACTTCCGGAAGCTGGGCAGCGACCACACGACCCGACTCCGGGTCCTGCGGCAACAGCGTGAACTTCGCCACAAATGGATCACCATCGAGGTCCCCAAACAGCTCACCACCGCCTTGTTAGTCACATTATGGTCCTTCTTTTTGAAAAATGTCATTCACTTTCTAGGATCGCTCTACGCAAGGCCAAGTACATTGATGGACGCTGGGTCATGGATCCGGTTTGTTATTATGTCTTTCTAGTTGACACTGAGAAGAAGAGAGTGCTGGATTTCTGCACAACTCATTTTGAATGCGTCCTCTGAATATAACAAAAAAAACATTGATGGAGTCCCAAACCAAATCGCAAACTTGTATAATTGATCACAATTTCTCGAAAGGAAGGTCACTTTTCGCTAGGGAATACCTTGAAATTCGACCAGATTACTGCTGACGTACCAGATAAAGACTGTAATAGTCTCATCCTGTACAATTTTCGAGTTTTTAAGAAACAAGGCTCAAAATCTTAAACCAGCCATCTTCGAATTTTTTGATAGTATTCTCCGACTTTTTTTTTCCAAAAATAAGAATTTTAGCAGGTTTTACCAACTTAAAAAAAATGCTTCAAAGATCATTTCTCCTCCATTTTTCTATAAAAACTTTTTTTTCCAGAAAAAGGGCTATTTCGCCTCGTTGGAGCACCAGAACATCGTCGAATCCTGTCCACTTCCCGTTGAACAGACAAACGGCGGAGAAGATTCTTCCGTTTCTCTCAACTCAATCCGAACCTCCGACTATTTGATGGCCCTTCTCGCTCAGAATCCCGGGGATCCGCCAGAGAATCAATGAAACTTTCAAAATGTTCACCCCAGTGCCTTTTATTATAAGTAATTCCGCGCTAGCTTGTCAAAATTTTCATTAGAAAATAGAAATATAATAGAAAACTTCTTGAGAGCTACAGAACCCTTCGCTTCGCGCCTTTTCAGACCGAATTAAAGGCTCAGAGACAGGCCGCGCGCTTCGAAGGGGAGGGTTCTGTATAAAATGGATATCGTGATAAACAGGCGCGGAATGGACTATAATTATCCGTCTGTTATTGTTCTTCCATTTCATACTGGTTTGGAGAATTCTTTTTTCTCCTTTTCTTCTGAATCCCAGTTCATTTATTTATTGAAACGTTCCTCAAAACGGTTTATTTTTTTTCCTTTGTTTCTTTTTTTTCTAAATAAAGATTTTACCAACATCTCATTTTCGAATGTAAAGAAACTAACCGTGGCCAATCCTCGATCGCCGGCAATCACCCAGGGATTTTCGACGATTTCGTCGAGTTTGGCCCGCTTTGATGGCTCCCGCACCAACATAGACTGTACTAGCCTACAAGTTAACAAAATTTAATGACAGAGGTTGAAAAATTATATAGCAAAGAGTACAAAAGGCAGTTGTTAAAAATTTGCTTTACATACTATTTTTTCTCTAATATCAATGAAGGCAAGATTTGCGCTTCAAATTCTCGCTTGAAGCTGGACCCATGTGCCTTTAAAAGGTCATCAAACATTTGTTTTTCCCATGCTAACTAATGTGATGAAAAAAAACGGAAAAAAAACCCCCAAATTCATTCAAATTTAAAGGCGCATCGGCAAAATTCAAAAAAAGTTTCCGAAACTTTTTGTCTTTTATCTGTTCAAGGGCCATATTCTGTCTTGAAACGCTGTGGTCGCATTTAGAATGGCTCAAAACGTCACGGTCACAAATCTAAATAACGTTGATACCAACTTGCGAAAGTATTGCGCAGTCTGGCGCATTTCAAAAAGTACTCGTTGAGCCATTCCATTTGCGATCACGAGCTTTTTAATTGGAACGAAACTAAGAAAAACAACTAAGAGCTGATTTGAAAAACTACAAACGAAAAAAAGAGTAAAGGCAATGAAAAACTACCTTTTTAATGGTGCCGACAAGTGATCGGGTATCGTGTAGACGCAGTCCAGGATCTTCGTCAACGTTTCAGAATCATTGGCTTCCTGGAAAAGTTCAATAGGAAAATAAAATTGTAGTTTTTAAGTTTTAAAATTTCAGAAAGAAATTCAGTTTATAAACAACAAATCTGATGGGAAAAACAGTTGCTTGAAGCAAAATTGAGAAAAAAAAAACCTGAAACGGCAACCTTCCGCAAACCAGCATGAAAAGAATGACGCCGAGGGACCAAACGTCTGAAAAATTCAGCTCTCTGAGAAAAAAACCTTCAAGTGAGCAAAAAAATGCCGAAAAAATCTTGTTATATTGAAGGTCAACTATTGAATTTGACTGTTTTTATCAAATTTTCGCTTTAATTTTCCTTTTTCGAAGCGTCCAAGGTATTTTTTGATACTTTTTGAAACGTTCATATTTTACCTGTATTAATGCTTTACTAAATCGTTTTTGTATGAAAAGAATCAATTCGAATTCATTGATATTATTTGATACTAAGAAAAAAATAATTTTTTTACCTTTTTTTGAATTGATAAATTTTACTGACTAGTGAGCTAACTTATTTTTTCATGAGAAAATGTTTTTTTAGCCTCTTAAAACCCTATGAAAAAGATCTTTTCTCATTTGTTTTCAACTGCTAGTTTCTAGCCTTTTTCGAGATATCAAGGAAGAAAATTGTACGAAAAAAAAACATGAGAGGAAAACCAGAAAAGATGAGGAAAAGGCCAAAAATAGCTGGCCGAAAAATCTTTCGCCGGAAAATTTTGAGGGCCTTTTTCGTGAAAAAAAAAAACTGAACTACAAAAAGAAAATAATCAATAAATGAAAAGTAGCTATAAAGAACTGTAAAAAGTAAATGGAAACCGACCAACAGCCGGCGCGTCATAGGAGTCGCCGAGCAGGATTTCTGGAGCCGAGTAGGCCAAAGAGCCGCAGGAGGTGCTCAGCTGCTCGCCGGGCTCATAACTGTTCGAAAAGCCGAAATCCGTCAGTTTCACCATGCCCAGCTTCTCGAAGAACACCACGTTCTCGGGCTAAAAAGTAATTTTCAATATTTATTGGATAAAGGCTTTTTTCGAAGCGAAAAATCCATCAAACTGGAAATTAGTAAATCAGCTATTATTTCATATTTCAAGGCCCGAATAATCAAAAAAATTTATGTAAAACATTAATTTCAAGAAAATAAGCAATTAAACGTTGTTGAAAAAAACCCATAAAAATCGAATCTTAAGGCACTTTTTAAACATCTCAAAAGTTGAAAAGTAGAAATACGCATGAAACCATTAAAAACAATAATAACCTTCAAATCTCGATGAACGACATGTAACCGATGACAATAATCGATAGCGATCATTATTTGGCAGAAATATTGCTGAGCGATTGGCTCCGAAACGCCCTGAATCGTGAGAAATCGGGTTTCTGATGGGCAAAATGATTGAAAAGCACTTCGAACGACACTCAAGCTCAAAAAGGGTAAATTTTCTGAAATCACTTGGAAAACGACATAAATGACTGTATCAGGCTATAAAACTTGAAGTATTCTTTTTAGAAATACAAAGTTTTTTTTCTCAAGTCTAGGACATTTTTCTCTTTTTTAAAATAAACCATATGCGGATATTTTTCGAGCTTTTCAGGCCGTTTGTTTCAAAATAAAAACTAACAATTTACAAAAAAAAAGCGCGAAATTCTCAAAGGAGTTCAAATACGGATGAAAATTCGGCGAACCTTCTCATGTTTGACGATGAAATCGTGAAGGTCGTAATCACCGAGTTCCAATATCAAGAAAAGCTTGGTCTGGGTGTCGAGAACCTGAAATGACAACCAAATTTTTGTTGGAAAAAATTGCCTCAACATATTATTTTTTACGTCTTCGTTTCTCGGTCCCGAAATCTATCATGCTCTAATCTTTCTTATCATTTTAAGCAGAGTGTTCCAAAAACTATTTGAAAATAAAACCTATGATCCTTTAATATCACTGGCAAACATTAAAAAACGAGAAAAATTTGCTGAGAGTTGAACGATTTCAGAAAAGTTGGGAGTTCTATTTTTTTCTTTATGGCTTTTAAATCAATTTTTAGAGATGGCATGAATGAAATATCAGCTTATTTCCAAGCAAAACTTTTCCATTTTTTTAAAAAGATCGCCGAGAACTTTCCGATGGATCTTTTTCCGATTTTTCGAATGTCCAATCAAAAAAGGTCTAAAAAACCTCTGGTGATTAGAAAAGCCTCATAACTCGTTGAATAATGTTTATCAGTTTATCAAACTTCACAAAATATTGATAACATAAACAAAAAAGGCCTCATAAAGACGAACGATATTGGAAAAAAAAAGAAAAAAAAAACGAGTATTTTCTTCACTCGAAGTGGTAGCTCTCTCAGTCGGCCGAGGCTACCCTAGAGTGTACACGGTGTCCGTGCCCGAGCCCTACCATCCCCGCCGTGCCCGTACAAGCGAAACTGAGGGATCAACTTGTGGAAGAACGAGGCGAAGGACCGTAAGATCATGCTTTCAATTCAATCGACTACACGTTTTGACTTCTTTTTCGCCAAAGGCGGTGTTAGTGCCGCTCAAAAGAGCAATTTTTTCACCGCCTAGTCGATACCATCTGACTAAAACAACCAATAAATATTGATTGATTGATTGATTGAGGTTCTCTATCGTTATAAATTGGAGAATCCGCTCAATTTTCACTGACAAGTTCATAAATATTCACAAAAAATCACTAATCCGTTAGAAACCGTTCTGAAAACAAGAAAAAGAAAAAAAGACCTCGTAAAGACGGACGATATTGGCGTGCTGGACGAGCTTCATACAGCGCACTTCCTTCATGATGTTGGCCGTCGATTCGGCGTCCATTTTCGTTTTGTCGATGATCTTCACGGCTACCTGCAAGACTACAATGACTCACTGTTGCAAGCCTGCGCCTATATTATTTCCAATGTTAATACTTAAGAACCAAACAAAAAACTAATGCTTCCTTTCCTGAGCTCCTACATCACTTTGAGTTGAAACAGAGCTTAAAAAAAAAATAAAACTAACCTCCAAAAATTCACAAAAATCTAGAAAAATCAATGGAACCGACCTTCTCGCCCGTGAAGACATGCTTGGCCAACTTGACGACGGCGAAATGTCCCTGGCCGATCGTGTGCTCCAAATCGTACAGTCCGGCGATTCTGGCGTCCCGAATGTGAGAGCTCGTCTTCCTCCGCAAACTCCCCGTTTCAGGGCCTCCAGAGGCTCCAGAAGCCATAAATAGTCGCTCTGCAACTATTTCCATTCGAAAACAACGAATAAATCGGGAGCGAAAAAAGAAAATCGAATTGCAAAGATGCGTGGGCCAAGCGGCGGAAATCAGGAAATGGCCTTCCGAACGGAGAAGACATGAGTTCGTTATGTAAATGTAAATCTTTCATCTTCCTAATCAAAAAAAAAGTTGATAAGGTTAGAATTTTTCAAAAATCTTCAAAGGAAGAAAACTTGATGAAAAATATGCTGCGAAAACGAATTTCATCAAACTTTGGGCATACTCTCAACTTTTTCAAACTTTTCAGGGTCTAACTACCCGAAACTGACTTCTAACCCATATAACTTCCAAAACTTTTTCTCAATACCATCAAAAAACGAGCCGAAATGAAAAACCTCTCATTTTTCGAGCTGTCAAAACTGTCACTTTTATCATTTCCTTCAAAAATTTAAGCCCTTTGTCTCTTTTCGAGCCCTTTTTTTGATCTAAAAAAACAATTTTTCAAAAAAAGAACAAATTTTTCAAACTATCAAACCTTCTTTCTGAACTCCACTGAAAATCAGAGAAAAAAATAATCCTATTTCTTCAAACAAAAAAAGTTGCCATAACTTCTCCTTAATGAATGCGCCACACGCACCTGGCCAACTCAAAAAATTTCCTAGAAAAATTTCAATAATTTTTTTGGTACGGTGGTTAACGAACCGTGAATAGTTGTGAAATATAGAAATGAATTAATTTTTCGAACACTCAAAGCTTTTATGATCAAGTGTTTGGCGGAAATTGAAATAAAAAGATCTTTGTCCTTTTTTTGGGGTTTAGGAGCATAAAATAAATCTAATTGATTCTTCTGCTCGGATATTTATTCTAAGCCCATTAAATTTCGTGCAGGAAAACTTCAAACAAAAGTAAATTTACAACTTAAAGAAACGAGAAAAAGCAGAAATAGCGCGACTTGAAGTTTTTTAAAACTGGAAAACACTTCTGCTTTCAAGGCCTTTCCAAAACAACCTTTCCGAAAAATATTGAAACTCAGCATTGAAAACGACCAAAAACAAGTCGAAAAGTATGCAAATTTGCATTTATTTTTTCGGAACGGTGGAGATTCCGCATAAAATCACTACACCCCTTCGAAAAAAAGGCAAAAATAAAGTTAGTTTAGAAGCGCAAAAATGAAGGAAATGCATTGACTTCAAAAAATTCCAGTGGCAAATTATACTGAACCAAAATCAGAGAAAAGGGTTTTTTTTTTCTCGAGCGAGAATCTCGAGTGCGGTGGAGCAGACTTGCCGTGGCAGGAAAAAAGGAGGGAAAAAGAAGTTTTCGGGGAAATTTTTTTGTATAGTGAATTTCCAACTATTTTTTTTAGAGTTTTTGAAGGCGTATAAATAGAACGTGAGGAAGTTTTGAAACGAGAAGGTCGTGCAAGTCTTTTGGGCCTACAAACAGCTAGTGACGTCGGATAAAACGAACATCGTTTCTAAACACAAGAAAATTGCTCCAAAAGCAGGCTTGTGCGCCAGGCCGGGCGGCCCTGCCCGGATCAGCCTGACCCGGGCTTTGGGCCTTCATTGTTTTTTTCAAAAAGCCTGCGCGGGCTCGCGCCAGGCCAGGCTTCGAAAAAAACTTTATTTCATTGAAAAAAATTCTAACAGAAAAATTATTTTTACATGTTGAATCATAGTTTCAAACAGCAAAAGCCCCACCTTTCTCGTTAAAAAAGCGAAAAATTCGACATGAAGAAAATTTACGAGCTAAAAGATGAAAATAACGTTATGAAATTGGGAAGAAGACTACTTTTCAGCATAATCTAAGTAGGATAAGATGAGATCAGCAAGATAAGAAATTGAAGAAACGTCTTGCATTACACAAAAAAACTTGTCCAATTCAGACTACCAATATACTGTGTCAAAATTAGAAACAGCATTTTTTTGAGTTTTTCATTTTTTTGAATTTTTCATTTTTGAACCTGAATCCGTCAAGAAGATTACAAAAAAAAGCATGTTTGCTAATTAGACCCGCATAAAAATGATAAAAACCCAGATGAAAAGCAAAAAAAAGGAATAGGAAAATGTAGGCGGGACGGGGAGAAAAGTGCAACTCGCCGGAGCACTCGATTCGCGAAGCCGCAAATCCGATTTTGAAAAACTAACTCGAAGCGAAAGGGAAGGGGTAATGAACTTCTTTTTTTCTTCTTTCTCGGCGTTCTTAAAAGCTTGCCGCATGTATTCTGTCAGTCTTAAGTGAGTCGCGAAAGAGAAATTATAGTTTAAAGCCGAGAAAAGCATGAAAAATGGTGGCTCTTTGAATTATGATTATAGGCCATCACAAATTTTTAGGGAGCTTTTTAGGAAGCTTAGAAGGGCACTTGAGGGTTCCTTTCTAGAAATCATCCCTATAGGAGGCGCCAATTCTTGCGAAAGTGGGCACTCCAGGGAACCATGCTATTCGTTTATTGTTATGAACTATGAAAGAAGAAGCATTTCTATGCGAAAAGCTCGAGAAATTAGCATTATTAAGATGAAGAATATCAATAAAAGATTAAGCGATCAAGTTTCAAATATTCTTTGAAATTGCAAATAAAATAATTTTCAAAATTTCAAGTCTGATCTGAAAATAAAAAGACTCATACAGTTGCTATGAGATCAGACCTTAAGCCTATTTGAAACACCTTTTTTATCCCACTACGGAGCACTATTCTGTCCCCAATAAGTAATAAGGGCTCTATTTTTCCTAAGCTCTAGGGAACACTTTGAAATCACCGTTTATTAATTTTACTTGAAACTTTTCTAGAATCGAAAATGTCTAGAAAAGGAAATCCAGGTTTTCACAAAATTCAAAAAACTTCATCAAATAGTCCACACAAAAAATAGAATACATAGTTTCAGAAAAGAAAAACTAACTAAAAAAAAAATCAAACTCTCACCTTGCTGTCCCAAACGGTCAAAAACTTTTCTTAACTAGCCCTCGAAAAATTCCATTTATACATGTCTGTAGCTTTTTCGAGAAAGGATTCAAGAAAAGAAAAACAAAAACTTGGGGTGAAAGAAAATCGAATGAGCCACGAAAAGTTAAAAATAGTTACAACAAAAGGCGGCCGTTCTAAAATTTACAATATTGAGTGTTTTTCGCTCTCTTCCTTCTTGCAAGAGCCAGAAATGATGAATAGTTCGAAAAATCTTTTAATAAAGCGAATTGAATAAAAATTAAAATCGTATTTCCGTTCTAAATTGTAATTTTTCTCATTTTTCTATATAAGTTGATCAAAATGAGTTGATAACATGGTGCGCCATGATTTTTTTCGGAAATAACTTCGAACAGTTCAAAAAAGGGCTAATTGAAAAATATTTCTATACATATTCACCATAAAAATTCGAAAAAATACTAGCCCAACCCATGAAAACTAAAGCTTTTGAAAATAGTTTGATAATATCAGAGGAAACTGAAGGAAAAGAGTCCGATATCTAAAAAATAACCAACCTCCAATAAACGCAGTGTCCAGATGGCGAAAAGCAGCACGTTTCTTCAATAATAAAGAGAAAACCTGCAAAAAAAAAGCGAAAAAAACTGTGGAAAAATACTGTAAATACGTTGTTTCGGTCATGTGTATGCGTACAAGAAACCTACCGTACATATGAAAAATTCCTCTTTCAGTTGAAAAGGCCCAAAAAAACGAAAATAACTCAAAACCGCTGCAATAACGTCGATTGTGAGAAAAAAGAAAGCGGAATTAGTGAGCAAATGGCTTCGGCGCCGTCGAAAGCGGAATCAACAGCCCCTTGTTAAGGCGTTTTTCCAATTCGAAATTGCTTTTTTTCTTGGCTCTGGCGGCTATTTTTCAAATATTTTATTATTAAAACAAAAAGAAGAGATATACGACGGTGGAGTGGTACAAAATAACAAATGGTTAACAATCAGAAAGCTTGATTTTCGGGACGAGAATAGGAAACTTGTAGGGAACCCCTGAGATTTGGAATAAAAAAGATTAAATATAAAAACAAACGATCGGCAGTAGAACGATATAATTGTTCGAGAGAATCATAGACGGTTTTGGGAGCAAAATTTATTAGTTTGAAGTAAAAGTTAATAATGAGGTTTGGGTGTGACAAAGAGCTTGGGGGAAAAAGAAAGAGTTAAGAGGTAAAACAGGGCTGCAGACAGGCCCTTCGGATAAAGCCATTAATAAATAGGAAAATATTCCCTCAATATGTACAAAACTGCTTCAGTTGAAGACGGAATCAGCGGGATCAATGATAGAAGAAGGACAATTAGAGAAACTAAAGAACAACTATTACTAGGTAAGCTCATGCTTGGAGATTGAGGAGACAAGAAAAACTACGCAAGAGAAGAAGAAACTTGAAGAAGAAGCCCGTAAATAAGATTTGAAAAAGAAGAGAGAACAATTTGAATTAAAAAATTGATCTAGATGAGAATACCTGTTTTGGTGGATAGTTTCACACGTTTTTCAATGATTTTCAGATTTTTTTTGCATATTTTGATTTTTGCCTGTTAACAACTGTCATCTAAAAAGGGGAAAAAGGAAAAAGTAAAGAAAATGGTAATAATAAGGGTAATGAAGAAGTTAATAATTGGTCTAGAGCTTTATGCGCTTCTGGAAGGCGATGTTGAGGGACTCCTCGTAAGACTCGTTGCTGCGTCGCTTCTTGGAGTAAGACCTGTCGTTCTCCGCGTCGAGGTCCGTCAGCAGCACTGGCTCGGGCTCAAGGACGTGAGATGGGCAGTCCAGAGGGAACGACTGAAAAATCGAACCCATGATAAATTTCCTAAGTACTCTTTCCTCTTATAACTTTTTGAACGTTCACGATATTTTTTTATAGAAGACAAAGCTTCGAAAACTAAGAAATAGAAGTAAAAAGGCCCGACATTAAGTCTAGCTCCCTTTCGAAAAGCTTCGTTTCTTATCAAATTGTTTTTTCCGACTTATGCTCAGAGCTTAAAAACTATTTTATTCCATTCTTATGAATTTCTCGAGCCAATGAACTCCTTCATTTCATTTTTTTTTATCACCTAGATTCCCACAGATATTCAAGAACTACTCACTTTTTTGAGAAGAAAATTTTTTCTTTGACCTATCAAAAAGTTGAAAATGCTATCTCAGAAATATATAATTTAGGTTTTCAAAAAAAATGTACAGAGCTCAAATCTCTATCAATACTTTTTCGAGAGAGCTGATACTATCCAAGAACAATCAAAAGGTATAAAAGAGTCCTGGAAAGCAACAAAAGGTAGCTTTTTAGATCTACCATTATTCAGCAGAGCCTTTTTGAATTCTCTGATGTCTGGATAAATAAAGGAATGAATGAACGGAAAGAAACAGATCTTCAAATTATTTAGCTCAAACTTGGTCTACATACACGATCAAGCATGAAAATCGATCCCGAATTTCTATAAAATGAGCCCTAGGAAGGCTCCCACTAAGTCCTTGATAATCTTGAGCATCACCAGCCGGACACTCACATAAGACTTCATCTCCGAGTAGGAGTTGCTGGTGAGCGAGAGGAACAGCTCATCGCCGGGATCAGTGCTGAGGGGCTGAAGAGGCGCGACGGCGCCGGCGCTCTCGCACATGGCCCGAATCGGCGACGTCGTCAGCGGCGCGAAGCTGCACAACGAGTCCGGCGACGAAAGATCCGTTGGGTCAAAGTGCGGCTCGTACAGACTGCAAAACACCATCCGCTTAGTTTCAATCGACCAAATATTCGTTTATCACACCAACCACAAGACGATAACTTGTTATTATTCATTTACAAAGGAAGGAGAAAGTCCTAGAGAAGTCACTGAAGCACTAAAATAAAATCCTCCTCTGTCACCGCACTTTTTGACCAATTTTACTAATATCTATTTCATTCATTCTTTAAAATTAAATAAATATAAACTACAAAAAACTCGAACAATTTATTAACTTGACATATAATAACAAAACGCACAACAAACAGAGTTTTTGAAAAAAAATTACATGAGCCTGCAAAAGTTTATTACTTTTCCCGTTTTCCTTATATGGGGGCGAGATCATTTCAAATCTAGAATTGAACCGTGAGACCTTGAGAGCACAAAAAGAACCCGCAGAGAGTTTATCCTAAGTTAACGCATGGAAGCTTGAACACGAGAAAACAACAGTTTGAAAAAATCACGAAAAGGTTTTTACACTTTATACACTCATTCATGCCGTGTCCAAAATGATTCCGCGCAACTTAATATAGTCATCAGAGTAAGAAAGCTGAGTAAATTTTAGAGAGACATTTATAAATTTAAATTTCGCGGTAATTATTTTGAACACGGTATGAACAACAGCTGGCAAAGTTTAAAGGCGCAGATTGAAGCCGCAAAAAGAGTAATTTTTTTCCAAAATCAAATTTCAGCACCTTTAAGCACTCCATTTCACGTAATGAGCTTCCATTTTCTCAAAAGCCGATCCAATACTTTCAAAACGACAAAAACGACTAAATTGTTTATGACGACATTTAGGAGGAGAACGAGAAAAGGTAGGCCGAACCTCTGGAAGGAGTCGACTGGCAGGTCGACAGAGTCCATCAGCGAGGAGTTGCTTCCAAGCGGATCGCTCGCCGAGGGAAGGTCGCCTTCAGTCGCCCGTTCCGAGACTCCCGAGTAAACGTCGTACAGCGACAAGACCCCGCCGCCCATGATCGACAGCGAGGAGACGTGGTCGGCGCGGCTCAGAGCACCGTCTCGTCCTGAAAGAATCCATCATCAGTTCATTCGTTTTGCTTTCATAAAGGTTATAAGTCCTATTATAGTCTGTGTACCACGACTTGGAATCTCATCGAACAACATTCCGCTGTTCCGCCGGGCGCCTTTGCGAATCTCGGTCGCGCTTTCAATTGTTTCTTTCCTTTAAATACTTGCAGTGGGTCGATACATCTATCAGCAATAAAAATAGTCTGGAAAGGTGACCTAGATCCGCAAAAGCAAAGACGCTTCGCTACCGCACGCAACGGAACGTAGTTCGGTGAAATTTCAAGTCGTGGCACACAGACTATATAAGGAAAAACAAAATTGGAGTAAGCGCAATAAAAAAAACGAAGCATTGAAGTCACTAAAGATTAAAACGACAGCTATCACCACCAAGAATTTGAAAGAGCGATAAATAAGTTTGCTTTTAGGATCAAATGCGATCATATACGGACCATTCAAGGGATCCGCGAAATCGCAGAAAGGGCCGGCGTCATCTTGGGAGACGTTGGCCGAGTTGAGCATCGAGTTCTCGTTGCTCGACGGCAGCCAGCAGTCGCTCTAAAAATAAAAAATACAATTTTTAGTTAAATAAGGAAAAGTTCGATTCAAAAAATTATTCAACAACCCTTCTTTTCAAATCCAGAACCATATATTCCCAAATTACCTAAAAAAAATTCAAATATATATTCCTATACTGCATAATTAGAATGAATATAACCAACAGTGAACCGATAATACGTAGTAAAAAAGATGAGAAATTTTAAATTCCAATCAAAAAAAAAAACTTATTTTTGGTCCAAGTATACTGGTTAAGAAATAGACGCGAGAACGCCTGACTGAAAATTTTCGATAAAACTCACGTTGAGCGAAAAATTCACAGGCTTATCAACATGCTTCAATGCCTAAACTTACTAAGATAGCAAGGCAAAAGAAAAAAAAATTTAAGTAATTCCCGAAAAAAAGTTCAGCTAAAAGTTGAATACTAAAAAAATTTATACACGTTTCTTTTCCGATTTTTCAAATTAAAAACTGAAACTTTCAGAAAAAAAAAAATCAAAAACGGACAAGGAATTCGCTGACGCTGGGCAACTGATGGCTCCTTTGGAAATCCTCCTCGTCTTCTTCGATTTCGGCGATTTCCTCGTCGATCTCCTCACAGGTGATGCCGGTCACTTCATCTTCGTCGTACTGGAATGAAAATTTATTCAAATTTTATTTAAACTCTGGTGAAACCTCATCCTGCGAAAGGATCTCGCCCTCCTCGCGTGCCTCATTTTCCGCAGTTTTGTGCATTTTGAACAAGTCGGAGACAAAGTTCTTGATTAGAACTCTGGAATAATTCGAAAATTTTTTTTTCGCGCTTCTCCTTGGTCCACCTTTTCCGCATCGCTCGACCTCCGCAGCCGGCTTTCCTCCGCTCGCCTTTGTCGTTGCATTTATTGAGCGCGACGTTGCACAGGTGGCCGAATACCTCAAATTCCAAAATTTAGCTACGTTGCGATTTTTCGAAATGTACCTCTTCTGTAAGATCAGCAATGTTGAAGCAGTCCATTTTCGAATAAAATAAAAATAAATGTAAATGTAGCACGCGTACCTACCTGAAAAATGAAAAATTGGTAAATCGTTTGATTTGAAGAATAAAAGCGAGGCGAAGAACGGAACCAACGAAATGAAGATACAAAAAAGCGAAGGAAGGAATGTGATGGCTAGAAAATGAACAAAACTCCTTGAAAAGGAAAAAAAATACGTTTTCAGATAAACCAATGGAAAAGAGTAATTTAAAAAGAATAAACTTCTTCTTTTAGTTTTTTTTTTTCAAAATTCAACTATTCACCGCCTTGAAATTTCAAAGTGGCAGCATAATGCATATTGAAATAATATACAGCGAAAAATATTAATAGTGAAGTTTTAAATTATTATTTTTTTGTACATTTCGAAACTTTCTTCAATTTTAACATTTAGGATTATACACTTCTTCTTTTAGTTCATTTAATATTCTGAAATAATATAATAATAAATTTTTTTTAACAGTTCGAAGTTTATTATCCACTTTATGACTTTCAAAAAACTAATTTCTTTCTCTTGACTCATAGAAACAATAGTATGGAGAGAACTTGATTGAGCGTTATGGGCGCCACAACTCTTTCTTCTGACACACTATTTCGTCGTTATCTAGCTGCGAGAAAACGACGAAATAGTGTATGTCAGTGAAAGAGTTGTGGCGCCCATTTGGCGCTCCAATTCAGAGAAGTTGTTTAAAAACCTCTGGAAAACCATTTTTCAAAATTTTGAAATATGCGCGACGCCAAAATGCACTAATCGCGCGTACTGTAATTGAAATAATTTATAATTTTTAGTTCTTTTTTTGATTTGATTCAACAAAAGGACAGCATATCAGGCCATCTCTACCGTCTGAAAAATCGTGTTTTTTTTCCGCCGCAGACGTCGGTAAGGGCAGATGGCCTTGGTGAAATTATGGTAGGAACAGAAAGGAAAGGGAAAGTCGTCTTTTTGCACGTCACCAAGTCGAGGCGAAAGGCAGTTTCGCGACATCACGATGTGACAAAGAAGATTCAAAAAATCAGAAAAAGTTTTTGAAAAAAATATAATATTTTTTTAAAATTGAAATCGCGTGTAGGTTGAATATTTCGGAAAAACTCGGTTGATCTCTTCTTAAAAAGGCGCCAAAACATTCTCTCCTTATCAGATCTACGGTTGGCGGCGCGCCAAGCCTTCAGTCATTCCCCGATGAGTCACAGGCCGCGGGAAAATGACGTCACGAGCCCGTGGGTGTCTGTTCCGATATGGAAAAGTGATAGGCGTCTCCAAGGCTACGACAACATTCGCGCCTCCTTTTGATAGGATATTTTTAGTTCTGATAGGATTACTTCCGCTCATATTGTATGGTGAAAGAGAAAAAGTAGCTGATATATTTAGTTCAGCTCCATCTTCAACTTTGAAAAAAAAATAAACTAAAGTTAATTTTTATTCGAAGCTTTTTTTCACATCTAAAACAAGCGAGATTCTTTGAATCTTTAGAACTTTTCATAAACGTCAGAATTTCTTCAAAAAGGGTGGTCGTTGTTTCATTGGACAAGCCCAGTGTAAGCTTACAAATTGATCCCTTTGAACTCGATCTGATAAGACACTAGAACTGATAAAATCTGAACTACTAACTACTGACCAAGTCGCGTGAATAAAGATGGTTTTCCAGGAATTCGCTTTCTAAAAAAACATTCATCAACTCAATTTTCAAGATTGGAAAACTTGTGAACTAGACATTTTTACTTTTTATTTATTAAAACGCGCTGGAACTAAGCCAAGCGAGCACGGTGGTCTGAAGAAATTGCCAAAGAACGATGAAAAATGACCTTCCATCAAGAACCCAGCTAATTCTGAGCGTTGGCAGCGAACCAAACAGCCGGAAAAGGATCCAAAGAACGTTCAAAGCCCTTTTCATGCGTGAGTTTTGAGTTTTGGAGCAATGGAATTCTTTCAAACCTTTTCTATTCCATTTTCAGAGTATTGCGATTATAGCCGATTTTTGAAAAAGAAATCTTCAAAACGACGATTTCGAAGGCTTTTGAACTGACGGCTTGGAACCATGCCAAATAACCTCCTAAAGCCGAAAATATTCATTTTGAGACGTTTTGAAGCTTCTTTTCCAAAATCTCTTCTAAAGCTCAAACTCTCCTTCGCATGCAATTTTTGAACATTTTGCAAGTAGATCTGACTTTAAGCTCAAGAAAAATCACCCATTTATCGACATTGTGCATTTTTGAAGACTTTAGAAACACATATCAACTTCGTGTTCATCCCGTCGACTCGGTATTATCGAAAAAGATCTCTTCCTTGCAATTTTCGCGTTTTCCTTAACCTAAGGCAATTTCGAAGACAACTAAGAAGTCGATTCTATCTCCATGCATGTTCTTAGGACTTGAAATCATGCCAAAACCCTGCAACTTTCCGCAAAACGACCAAAAAGCGCCTCCCACAAACCAAACTGACCACACCACACACATGCACTACACAGACCTTCATCAAGGAGAAAAAAAAATTGGATGGACAACAAAATATTTGTTCTTTGCGTGTGAGCGTGTGCGTGTGTGTATCTCCCTGTGTGTGTGATGGACGTTTGGGAAAAAAAGAAGCTTTTTTAAGAGGTGGCCAACCCCTCCGAAATAATCGCAGCCAGCAGAAGAGAGCGGCGCAGATGTCGACCACCAAACGCTCACACACGCTCTCCGCCGCCGCTCACACAAACAGAAAGAGAGGAGAAGCTTTTAGAATAGAGACGGCGTCGGTGGAGGAGGTCTGTGAGAAGTCGTGGCAGTTAGAGCACCGAAACGGCGTGGAGGTAGAAAAGATGACTGGATAGACAGCGTTAGACGGGATGGAGAAGCGAGAGAAGCTATAGGAATAGAGACAGAGAGTGCTAGAGAGAGCGGCTTAGGGAGGTTAGACCAACAGACGACGAGAGATAGAGCGTGCAGAGAAGCGCGACGGGCTTTGTACGACGACGACAGCGAGCGACCGGCCCAGCCGTCCGCCGTAGCGAAATGGATGGAAAAAGGGGTTGTGCTGAGGAGGCAGCGTCAGACGGCCAGACGCCCGCCGACGTCTCCGTCTCTGACCGCCGCGGACGCATCGATTTTGGCTCGAGGCACGCGTCGCGCACGCCCAACCGAATGCTATTTTTGCATACAACTCTGTTTTTTTTTTTCTTCCTCCTTTTTCCTTTTTTTGGCTCGGTTCCAAGGGCCAATGGGCAGGAGAATCGGAGATGAGAAAAGAGGAAACGAAGGAAGAATGACAATTACAAAGAAGTTGAATCAGGAAAAGGCCACGAAGCCGTTCCCAGTGTTATATTAAGGGCTGGAAAGACGTTTGCGCTTTCAAGCATACTCCATAAAAGGAAAGGTCGAGGGTTCGAGTCCAACGTCGAAGTTTTGCAGTTGTCGACGGTCGAGCAGCGGATTCTGCAACTGAAATTAATGGAAAATGAACTTTAAATATAATAAAGAAATATCCAAACTCCAATTTCTTAAATTAAAACGAGTTTTTTTGCTCGATTCCAAGGTTCAAAAGCCTCAGAATCGGCTTTATTCTTCACTCAACTACAATAAAATATATCTTGAAGAGCCAAGATGTCTCTTTTTTCGAATTAAAACACGATACTCCACGTTATAGAGCAATTTTTAAGTGTTCTGACTATTGAAAGGCATCATATCAAAGTCTTTTCGCATCAAAACCTTTCCAGGAGCCGAAAAATGTCGAATTTCATCTTTGATTCATCTTTTTTCAACCATCTCAACCAATATCCAAGTTCATCTCTAGGTCTTTCCATATAGATTCTTCTACAAAAATAGTTTTCGATTCTGTTTTTCGATATCCACCTTGAATACTACATTATTCAGTTTCCTTCAATATTGGCATTGTTCCGAGTGCTCTAAAAACCTCCCAACTCTTGAAAATACCTTCAAAAATCGCTATACCATCAAAATCACCCTTTTTCATTAGCCATAGCTCACATATATCCCAATTTTGATTCATTCAGAAAATCAGGCCATTTACACAGCGGAAGGGTCCGAAAAAAAAACACTGACACCTGATCAAAAGGACTGTTTATGATAAAAGTTTGAAGGGAAAGATAACGAAAGCTACCGGTTTCATGGGGGACACCGCCTCGGCAAACATGAGAAGTTCATGTGATCGCAGCAGCAAAAAAAAAAAGCAAAAAAGAGATGAGATGGGGTCGAACCGGCGACCCAAATAATGGACGTCGCGGATCGAACCACTGCGCTAAGCGGTCCGAAAAACTTGGAGGTTTTATCTGAAGCTTTCAAAGAGGTCACAATACAGTGATAGATATCAACTTCCGGGAAACCATCTGAATCCCTAAAGTAGAAGTCACCTCTTCTACGGCAACAAACCTATGGAAGGATTGAACCTGGGTGCGGAGATAGACAGACAACGGATTCAGCCACTTAGTCACACAAAAAAGTCCTTTTAACTGTCTTCTGAAAGTTGAGAAAAAATTGGGACTATGAATTTCCATCCTTCGACGTCAGCATAATTGTTTTCACAATTTTCTACAAGATCCCCGCCTTTTCATCCTCTCAACAGTACCTCCATTCTTCGCAAGAACAAAAAACTTCTGAAACAATGAATAATTCCCGACCCTTTCCTTGGTTGCCATGTTCTCGGAAACTCAAAGATTCACCATTTTTCCATTTTTCTGTCTTAGAAATGGGTAGATTTGGGCAAATTTTCAAGGATTTCTCGAATTGGTCGACGGTAGCCGGCGTCCCACACATCGCCAATGCCAATACCAAGGTAATACTCAGAATTTCGGTAAAAATTTTGTCGCACTTGGAATGGCTCCAAGCGTGGCGGTCGGAAATGTCCATGGACCGTTATACCACTAGATTGATCCGATTAGTGAACATTTTTGCGGAAAAAGAGTCTTAGACATTTCGGCAACTTTTTTTGTCAAGTTCCCGATGAGTGGAGCTTGGCGCGTACGTCGTTTATGGTCGGATGCATTTTCTCGCAGCCGTCACGCATCGAGTTAAGTCAAAGAAATTTGTGATCGTACCTGAAATTAACAATCACAAACACTACCTTAGCGCATCTCTTTTGGACATGCGCTTTACGGTAGCTTAAATGTGTCCCCATGCCTCAGGACGCAAGCCACTTTTGGTCGGGTGAACTTTTCCGCAGCTGAGCCATCCTAACTACAGCCAAAACCTTCCAAGAAGAAAATTGAGTATGAAAATTCAAAATGTGTTACAGATCTCCCGGATTTTCTGGATCATCGTGTTCCTCGTCATGTTGGCCATGTTCTGCTACGAGCTCTACATCATGATCGCCAAGTACTTGTCATTTCCAGCCGCCGTCACCACTGATATCCTGTTTGAGGAGCAAGTTTGATTGCTTCAAAACAAGGAAAATCTTCAAATTTCTGTTTCTCAGGACTTTCCAGTGGTGACGATCTGCAACTCGAACCCTTACAAGTACTCGGTTGTCCAATCGAACTCGGCTTTCAACGATATCAACGATCTGATGACGATTTACAAGCAAGCAGTGGCAGGAACAGCCAGCAATGATAAATATGGACTGTCGGTAGGTTGAAATCAACAAGGAAGGTCATTTTACTATGTGGTTGGGAATTTCCTGAAAGTTTACCAGATCAATCTTCGATGTACTAAAAGTTGATCCTAGGAGTCTCAACCTTCATAACTTCCAAGTTTTTGAGTTTAAGGTTCATAGCCCCAAAAAAGCTCATTTTAACCGATTCGAGGTTTTTCTTTGACTTTGAGGCGTCCCTTCTCAAAAAATATGAAGTTGTACAGGTTGAGACCCTCGGGGACTTTACCTGGTTCATCAAGGAGTTTTCTGACCGATTATTAGTGAATTCCCAACCGCAAAGTAAAAGGATTTTCCTCGTTAAGATATTTTTTCCATTTTCAAACTTGCTCCCTAAAGCAAAAACCTACTGAAATTAAGCTTTAAAAAAGTTTTTCCTTTACGGAAAGAAAAATTTTTGAAAATTAGGAGTATTCAACAAATAACCAGGATTGAATACATTTAAAAGAAGATGATGAAAAATGAAAAAAATTGGACTCAATTAACGAAACTTTTTTTCGTAATTCCAGTTTTTAGGATGAGAAACGAGTTGAGTGACCCAAATTTTTTCCTTTTTTTATCAAAACAAAACTTTTTCAGAAACTAGAGCAAAACTGCGATATAACCACATAAAATTTCTTTCAGAAGAAAATTTTCAAATATTATCAAGAGGAGCTGAAGTTTAGAGTAGATTTCTCATTTCTCAATTATTTTTTGAACGTATTCCATCCCGGTCATTATTAAACACGTTCAACGTTTTTTTCACAATTCTGAACGTTTTTTGCGCTTCAAAAGCACTGAAAGGCTTGTTTTTAATTTTCACAAACTTTCCAACCTCAGAACAGGATGTTTCCTATTCTACCTCGTAATCAAAATCCTATGACTCAGAGCTCATACTTACTATGCCAATCCTTCCGGATCGTTTCCCATCCGCATTTTTGCCAAAAAAAAGTCTGCCTTTGCAACAATCCAGGCGTTGTCTTATCATTCGCCTACGTAAAATACAGTAACCCGTGACTAAGAAGTTAAACTCCCGTGATTCCGCTTCAGTGAACAAATTGAAAGTATGCAAAACTATTAATCATCCAGTAAAACTTCCAAAAAAAGGAAAAAAAACAGGTATAATGTTTGTATTTTTTGGGAATGATAGGCAAAAAGGTGAGAATTATTCATCTGGACTTTCCCAGGATTTGTCAAAATACTAGATTCAAAAAAAATTCGAGTTAACCTTTTGGGAGGTAAAGTTTATTCAAAAGAAGTGCTAACATAAGACTTGGAAAAAACCGAACAAAAATAGACAAAAAAAAATCAGTTCATTTTTTTTTAACGTGAAATGGGGTCAAAGCGGTGCGGACCTAATTTGGCTATTGCCACGACACGGAAGCCGCTTTTGGTGGTGGAGCTTTGGGAAAACCTTTCCACGTGTAACAATACACTTCTCCGTTGAGTAGGATGAATCGTGTCAAGTACGGTGTCTTATAAACTTTTTAAACAAAGGTTCCCGTCAAAAGCAGTTTCCAAAGTCCTTCTTCATTATAAATCATGAAATCGGATCCTTTCCCTTCAGAAAACCATGAGCGAGCCCTACGACCGTGATTCCTTGGCCGACGACGCCTTAGTTCTACTCTCAGCTCAGATGACCGACTCGGCCAAGGCTCCAGCGCTTTACACCTACCAGGACCTTATTCAAGACTGTACCTTTTCTGGGAAACAGTGCTCCGCGTCAGTCTCTACCAATATAACCCTTCTACTCTTCAGAAATATATTTTTAGTGTTTTCTCAGAGCAAAAGTCCCCATGAGGCTTTTGGCGAGGAAAAGTTCAAGTCAGGATTGCAAAAACCGTTATCTTGGGAATTCCTCTAAAAATAAACCTTTTTTATCGCATGACTAGCCATTGGTTAAAGTTCTAAAAGCGCAGAAACTGTATTACTTTCCGTTCAAACTCCGAACAACTAAATCGGGTTACTCTGCTACTAAATTACAAGGGGACTTTTGAATGAGACGGATAAGAGCCCTTTTCTCACTGATTCTGAGAAAATATTAAAAATGGCCTCTAAGAAAGGTGACCTCTCAAAGTTGTACTATAGGCTCAAAAATGTTTTCTTCTTTTTCAAATCTCATAGCGTGAAGCTTTTATAGACCTTCCGCTTCAAAAACTTGACTTTATTTATTTTTTTCGGTTTCTATTTCATGACATTCTCCATGCTTTTTTCCTCGCTACTATCACTAAACTTTCAAAAAGGTATAGCTTTCCTCACACAAATCCTAGATAGATTGCGAGCACAGATTCTGAATCACAGAACTGTATTTAGAAGTGACTTCACGATGTACGTGGACCCGGTCTACGGAGCTTGTTTTTCATTCAACGAGGACAAGTCTTTGAACTATTCTACCAATCGAGAAGGTATCCAGTACGGCTTGAAGCTGATGCTGACCGTTTCGGTGAGAAGTTTAGGAAAATGTTAGAAATCGGATGATTTCCAGCAATCGACCCCTTCTGGAATCAACGACTACCTTCCTACGACGCACATGGCCGGAGCCCGTCTCACTGTCAATTCTCGAGGTGGGCGGCCGAGTCTGGAGGCCAATGGAATCGACGCCGGAGTCGGGTTCCAGACCGCCGTCGCCATTGTTCTGGTTAGATGTTACTTTTTAATATATCAGGAAAAGTGTGCTCTAACGAAAAAAATAGCGGAAATAATACTCCCTCGGACCTCGGACCTCGGTAACGCTAACAGGACTTTCAGGTCATTTCTAGTGACTACTTTCATAGAAACGTTCTAGGTCCGAGCAGAAACTTTGAAAGGCAGGATATTTGATAGAAGTAGTTATACGTGAATATTTGGGCCCATTGAGTGACCATTTAAGAGGTGTTAGAGCCTTTCAGCGTTAATGAACTATTGCAGTATAGTATGTTCGAACAAATATGCATTGAATCTTTAAAGAGCATATATTTCTAGATATAGAGCCATTTTCAATGTGAAACCGATAGTTTTGAAATTCAGCAGGCTTGAGTCTATTCAATGCTGCTTTAGCCATCTTGGAGAAAGTATACTCAAGCGTATGAGGGAAAAAAAGAGAGATCCAGACCCTTTATTTCAAATTCTACTCGAATCTCGGTAACGAATACCGGACGCACTACACTGCGACCCATAATTGTAGACCCACCCTAATTTCTCCGATTTTAAGAAAGATTGAAAAACTTTCAGCCGCCAAACTTTTTTTGTGATAAACCTTGTTGATAAGGAACATAATAATATCATAATTATCAATCACCCAGTTGAAAAGTTTTTCGAGATACGAGAAAATCTGATTTTTGACCGACCCAGAATTATAGACCCACTATAAGTAATCAACAAAATTCATTTCACAAAGTCAACAAAGTATAACAAAAAGATTAATTAATAATGTGTGATGCCTCCTTGTTTCTGAGCGACTTCGAAAATCCTGTTCGGCATGCTGCCAACGAGTGATTGCAGCAGTGTCTTGTCCAAACCATCCCACTCGGCACGAATCGCTCTTTTCAGATCGTTGACCGTTGTATACTGCTTGGCATTCGCGTAGACCTTCGTACAAGGACTGATTATAAATTCTCTACAGGGTTGAGGCCAGGACTGCACGCGGGCCAGTCCAGAAGAACCACGTTATTGGCCGCAAACCAAGCCAATGTGGAGTTGCTCGCGTGAACAGATGCATTGTCTTGTTGGTAAATCATATTAGCACGTCGTCGGCGACGGAGATAGGGCAGGAGATGCTGGGCAAGCAGTTGCTGGTAGTCTTGCGAATTCGTTCTGGTCCCCATATAAGAAAGAGCTACCGTCCCGTTGCCGCAGAAAGCCGCCCAGACCATGAGGCTGCCGCCGCCGAAGTTTCTCTTGGAGAAGTACATCGGATCTTTCCTCAAATCTCTCCAGTAGTGAGCGTACCGCTCTGGCCCATCAAGGTTGTATTTCTTCTCGTCGCTGAAGATGATCTGAACAGAAAAATTGGGAATCATAAGGTGATAGAAAACATTGATACCTTATTCCAATCCGTGGCCATGTTAGAGCGTGCAAACTGGAGCCGTTCATTCTTATGGCGTTGCTGTAGACGAGGTGCTGCCTTCATTGGAGTATTCACAAGTCGACCGGACCGATGAATGGTTCGTAAGATGGTGTCCTTCGAGACGTTTTCAGGAATTTCGGATCTGATTTGGTTGGCGGACTTCGTAGAGTTTGATGCTTTTCGACAGACGTCTCGTTCAGCTTGAACCGATAGCAGCCTGTGCCGTCCAGAATGTGTTGCTGTGCCGTATTCTTGCGGATTCCTTGCATAACGGTCAATAGTTCGTCTTGAGCGACCCGTCTGACGAGCGATTTCCCGATGGGACAAGCCGTTGTTGAGTAGAGCATCGATTACCGCTCTTTCGGTATTATCAAGTTGAGTAGATTTGGGCATTATGGCTTATAGTGATACACGAGGACTTTTTCTCTTATACACTAATGAAAAAAAACAGGAAAAACGTGTTACCTGAAACGAAAACTCGGAAAACTCTGGGGTGGGTCTATAATTCTGGGTCGGTCAAAAATCAGATTTTCTCGTATTTTGAAAAACTTTTCAACTGGGTGATTGATAATTATGATATTATTATGTTCCTTATCAACAAGGTTTATCACAAAAAAAGTTTGGTGGCTCAAAGTTTTTCAATCTTTCTTAAAATCGGAGAAATTAGGGTGGGTCTATAATTATGGGTCGCAGTGTATAGACGTTTATGAGCAACACTAGGTTCCACTAAAGTGGTCACTAGAAATGCTCGTCCCGAGCGATTCCGGTTCGTGTTACCGAAGTCCAAGAACCCTTTCCTTTCAATTTCCATGGATAAAGTAGGAGACGTTTGTGCGTCAGAGCGTCTTTGGGTGTAAAATCGTGAGAGAAAAATTTTTTTTTGCTTTTGCACTACTTCCACTTCCTTCAAAAATCTTCAACCAACTTATCCAGACTCAAAACGTTCGAGCGAAACCTCCATATGGAAAATGCATCGACACCGAGGACGATTCCACCAATTATTATCAAGTTTGTGGATTTCCTACAATATGACTTACTGACCAATACTTGCTGACCAGGACTTCTGATCAATATGAAACCTGAAAAAAATTTCCATTTCAAAAAAAAGTCAGTAGTTTTTGCTCAGAGAGAACCTCGTGACTCAATAAATTACCCCGGCTAGACTAGTCATTATCGCAACTCTGTCGTGCAAACTAAATTGCGGGGTGTGAAACCGCAATAATTGATAACTTTGTTTTACGTTTAGAACGCTGGAAACGTGGCAGAGTACGCAGATTTGGGGAGAAAAAAGCGAGGGATTTCGGAATATACGGAAAATTAGCTTAGATAAAGATATTTTGCCTCCAGGGAAAAAAATTTCTAGATTCTCAAGCTTTTTAGAAAAATTTTAATATTCACATGACGTATTCAAAAAAAAACTGTCAGTTGATGTTTCGACTTTTTCTCTCAGAACTACACATACACGTTGGAAACGTGCTTCAACGGCTGCAAGCAACGAAATACCGTCAAAGAATGTGGCTGTGCAAATCCACGAATTATGAAGGCCGATGCCGACGTCTTGTGCACACCGACCGAGAGTAATTGTAAGTTAAAACGTCTCGAATTGAAAAAAAAAGAAGTGTGATTTGGTCAGAAATCCAGGCCGAAATCGTTCAAGGAGCACAGACTATTTTGGTAACGGTCTTGAGGCGAAAAGTCAATTAAGCTGTTGATTCAGGAAATTTCCTTTTACTAAAAAAAAACCACAAAGAAAGATTTGAACAAGATCAGTAATCGTGATCCGCCCTCTTTTCTCTCAGCAAACCTTTGCTGTTATTTTCATGTTTCTATGTCCTTGTCGGTGAGAGAAAAGAGAGCGCAGAAAGGTCAGATTGTTTCGAGTCTCTGCGCCTCACCGACGAGGTCAGAGAATCATAAAAATAACCCGGCAACATGAGAGGGCCGCCGAGAGACGAAGAGGGCGTAGAGAAAAAAAAGAAGCTTAAAGAGTATATAAGACATTCAAAAGTTCTTTTAAAAATTAGAAAAAAAGATTGATGACTTCTCTGAAATTGAAGTTGTGGTCCCAAAACCTAAAGGACTTGTAGATTTCATCTCAAAATAAGCAACTTTATCGAAGAAAGTTGTTCAGTGGCGTGTCTGCAGCACTTGAAGGGAGACCAGACCAACCAGACAGACCCCAACATCGACATTTTGACCGACTGCGGCTGCAACCCACCCTGTGACGAAAACTCCTTCAAGCCGACGGCTTCACTTTCCCGTTTCCCGGCGGATAACTACTACGTCGCCACGGATTCTGTCAATGGCGTGGTTAGTCTTTCGAAGTTTTTTTTTAACTAGATCACTAACAACTTGGTTAAAAAAAAATTAGACGTCGAAAGTTGAAATTTGGGTGGGTGTTGCGTACGGGGCCTTTTAGCGGGAAATGCGAGCGCCTTTTAGACAATTTTTTCTTCTCTTTGTCTGATAGTTTTCCGATAATTCATAATTTTATAATATTGAAGGAGCTTAGTTTATTTCAATTTCAATTCCCTAACTTTATTTTCGCAACTTCGGGATGATATGGCGATGTTGCAGAGAGGAAAAAAGACCACTAAGTGGATTAACTAACCCTAAGAAAAAAAAAACATTTTTTGTGAGATAAGAAACCATAATAAGTTGATATTTAAACCGAGTTGATTACGGCACAAAAAAACCTATGAACTCTCCTATGAACTCTTGAAATAATATGCTCGACGCCGGCGCGCCAACATTTTCTGCATACACATACTTTTAAAAAATCGTTCGCGTTAGAATTCTATATAGGAAAAAACAAAATAACGAGCTTTGCTTGCGATTTTCTCCACAACTTTTTGAGTTTTATTGAAAAATTCCTAATATTCCGCTTAAAAACACTCCAGTCACGCTAAGTATTATACTATTCCTTTTTACTTCTAATATCCAAATTCCAGGCGGGCAGCTGTGACGTCAGCAACACAAAGTTCCCAGTGAGCTAGGAATTCTCATACAAACATCAAAACTTTTTTTCTAATTTCAGTCCAGAACAGATTGCCAAAAGTGGTACTCAACAAATGGTCTAATCATCCAGGTCTTCTTCGAAACGCTCAGTTATGAGCTCTACACGGAGAGCGCTTCGTATGGGGTTGGTATTACTGAAATTTCAATTTCAAATTGGTTTATTTTTCAATTATTCAAAAAAAGTTTTTTTGTAGCTAAAAAAACTTTTTTTAAATCTGTGAAATTTTGAAAGTTTGAATTTTTCGTTGAAATAGGCTTTCTTCCAGATTTTCATCTTCTTCCAAAAAAAATAATTTTACTTAGCTCAACTTCTCGACAATTGGCTAAAATCTCAAGTTCTAAATTGAACAAATGAAAAAATCCTAGTTTTTGAGGAATTTTACCTCCAAGAGATAAAAACTATCAAACTCCGTTCAAATAAGTCTTTTTTTCTGACTTTTTCGCCCTTCTTCCTTCAAAAAAATAAAGAGTTCAGGTGAAAACTTTCCGTACCTCCACCTAGTACATCGAAGATTATTTTTATCTAATTAAAAAGATTCCAACTGAAAAAAATGGTTTTAAAAAGTCTAAGCTTGAGCCAATATTTTCAAAAAAAAAATTTCAACAGATTCCAAAAAGTCCATGAATAATGTAAGCACGAAAATCAACGATTAATATTACTCCTGCACACACAAAATCTTCGACTTATTTTCCACTGACATCACAAAAATCCGCTTTTTCGCCAGTTTCTGAGAAGCTTTCTGAAGCTTTAGAGTTATACATTTCTATACGAAAGGCAGATATCAGAAAATATAGGGGAAACGCTTCGAAAATTTAGATTTGTGGTCTGAAAACAGTAACGGAGTTCAGAGTGAAGGAAAACTTGACAGGAAAAATGGAAAAAAACTCGAAAAAATTTAAATTTTCGACTTCCACGATTTCAGCTTCTTTGTAACTATTTCAGTTGTTCAAAAAAAACTTAACAAAATAGTGTTGAAATTTCAAAATATGAAAAAAAAAGTTGAATGAAATAATTCAAAATTAAATACATTTGCAGGTTTCGGATATAATCAACGATTTGGGCGGCCAAGCCGGCCTTTGGCTGGGATTATCAGTTATTTCTGTTGTCGAGGTGGAGTTTCATGCCGTGTTCAAAGTAATTTCCGCGAAATGCAAAATGATCTCTGACTCTCCAAAATTTAGTGATCTTTTCCTTTCTCTAACGGGTATTTTGCATTTCGCGGAAATTACTTTGAAAACGGCATCAAGCTTAATGATGGAAAAAGCTAACTTCCGAGTTATGTACCGGAATGATATATTTTTTCTGACCTAAAGTGTCGCTCTAGCTCCGCCCCTAGTGGCGCGACGAACCAATCAGAGAGCGAGTCATTCACAGCCTTTTCGAATGACGTCATTGTACTTAACATTCAAAATCTGAACCATTTTTTTTTCATTGGAAAATCCTACTGTAAGAAGTTATTCAGTAATTTGAGTAACTTGAAAACGAAAAAAAAAAATAGGACCTGAAGAATCTTTGAAGATGGTCGGATTGATCCTGCTCTTATTCGCGTTCTGCGTCTCTGGCGATGCGATCAAAATTCGGCCTGATGAGAATGATTTGAACAACGATCAGAGGATCAAGGCGGGTTATTGTTCTGTGCAAACAAACTGAAAGTGAAATTAAGGATGTGCTTCAATTTTGAAGATTAAAACCGAAATTTATGTATTCCTCGTTAAAAAAAAGTCAAAGAATTTAGGAAAACAGCTAATAAAGGACTTTTTTCTAGAGAAGGTGAGAAAGAGACGATTAATTGGATCTTTTTTTTCCTTTCAAGGGCACTAAAAGTTTAATTTAACTTTGTTCGCGTGAATAAAAGCTCTTCGTGTATGTATGAAGAAGAAAAACACGACATTTGGACAAAAATCATCGAATATCCTTTCCAAGCTCGATAAAATGAATTTCATTTTTGAGATAATCTTCAAAAATCAGAAAGATTTATTTAACTGTTACTTTTTTGGACTCAAGCCAAAATCATTTAAAGTAAGAGAATTTCACGGTCACTTTTTCAAAACAGTCATAAAATAAATTCCAGGACGTGGACGACGTCCGGAAAGAAATTGACCACATCGATAAGCGCCACGAAGAGAGCAACAACTTCGAAGATTTAAATGAGAAAAAAGGAAACTAATTTGGAAAATTTTATGTTTGTCAAGAACAAAGAAAAAGAAAATATACACGGCACAACAAACACGCATCACTAGAAGGACCCATATTAAAAGGAACTCGAAAAAAAAAATGATACGATAAAGATATGATCAATAAATTAACTCAAATCTAACTTTCATATAACTCTAATAACACAATGTACAATCGAGAAGAAGGGCGAATAAAAAAAGTGATAAGCATTAGGGAAAAAAATAATATTTCTCTCTACTCTACTAAATTTACAACATTATCGATCCAGAAATCTTCGAAAATTGGTCAGAAACGTGTCGACCATGTAAGGTTTGCCGCAAATGGTACGCAGCGACTCCGTAACTTCTTCATGCTGCGTATAACGGACCAGCACTAGGAAAGTCGTGTCCAGAAGCCTGAAAATGACAGTTTTAGGTGAAAAAAAAAGAATCGAAAAATAGGCTTTTCTCCTCCCAAAAAAGCCAAATCCTCTGAATATTCGTTGAAATACTCCTTGATGAACTAGAGATCATTTTCAGAGCGTCCACTAAAGATAACGGCCAAGTCTGGCGCGAGAGAAATGCGAGGTCGGTGGCGGTACATTGACGAAATCGCAAAAATCTCGATCTGTCGAGGCGCCGGTCTCGCATTTTTCTGGTCGCGCCTCGCATTTATCTCGGCGGTTATCCTGAGTGTCAACCGGCGAAATTTCCCATTTTTCAAGACTAGGCGCCTCAAAAACTGTTTTTTTTTACTTGGAATATAGAAATTTTTTTATTTTCTCGGGATTATTCTCAGTATATCGAAGTTTGTCTTACAAAATTTGAAGAACATTTGAAGTTCAAAAAATTCCAATCTGCAATTACTTTTCGGATAAGATTTTCCTTTTGGCAAACTTCACGACTATGTGAAAATCCCTGAATGCGCTAACTTTTCACTGCACTCTATTTGAATGTCTTCATTTGCAAGTATACTACATTTCTGAAAATTTCCAACCCCTCATGAGAGTTAGTCGAGAGAGCGACAGGGAAGAGCAAAGGCAGCGTTTCGCCGCTGATGTAAGTCCTCATTGGGCCGTCGGAAGCGCACAGTTTCTGGGAAATATCCGGGCAGAGGTATCGATCCGATAACTAGAACCGAGAATGAGAGTAGGATTCTCGAAGATTTTCTACCTGGAGCAGTGCCGCGGCGGCATTCGCATCGTGGACAGCCGTACAAGAAGACGTGCATCCGGAGAGAAGGTGCAGGAAAGCGCGGTATTCTTCCTTGGAGCAGCCCTCGGCAACCGTGTCCACCTCGAAGACGCGCTTCTGGCTCGTCTTCTCGGCAAACTCGCCTCTGTACATGCCCTAAATTTTTCCTCTAGGTTTTTGAGACCAAAACTTTAAATTCAGAGAAATGATATATCTATTTTTTCGAAGAACTTTCGAATGCCTTATATACTCTTGAAACTGCTGCTTTCTCTACGCTCTCCTCGTATCTCGGCGGCCCTCTCATTTTGCCGTGTTATTTACATGTCATTCTGACTGTTAGACAATGGAGACACTCGAAAAAATTCAAGTCACGGCAAACGGGATATACTTCATGGATCTATATGATCAAAAATTGAAAATTTCTTCTTGATTTTTTTTTTTAAAATCAAGCAAGACATTTGCGCTTCGGAAATTTCTGGAATTTTTTTGTATAGAGTAATATAAAATTTAGCGCTTTCATTGATCAGACAGGCCAAAAAAAAATGATGAAAAAACGCTTCAAATTGTTCCAGAGCGGGCTCAACCTTAGGTGCTCCATCCCTTTAAAATCGCGCACCTCGAAATATCTGCTACTGGCGCACGCCGCCTCCATTTTGGCCTTGCCAATCTCCTCGCCATCGCAATCTACGAAAGAAAGCATTTCTTCGCTTTCCGGAGACCTCAAGATACTTTTGGATATAAGAAAAACAAAAAATCCAAAAACAACTTTTTAATTTCACAAACGCCGTGTCCATCGTTTGGCTTCAAATACCACAAGTCGTTCTCGCAAAGTTGTCTGAACATTGTTTGAATAATTCTAAGTTGATAATTTTAAAAACCGAATTCTCTGGCCTGTAATTAAAGAGGACATGGCTCCGATTATCTGGGAACATAGCGATGGCTGAAAAGAAAAAAATTTGAAAAAAAAAATCATATTTTTGAAAAACCCCGTTTTTATACGTTTGAATGGTAGCGTTCTGCTCGAAACCTTCCTCCGATTTCAGCATTTCATGAAGAGAATCGAAAAGAACATCTAGCGCACTCTGTTGGCTGGCCGACAGGCTCCAGGCCGAGCGGAAGTGATCTCTTAAAAGATTTTCCGATTCAGAGACATCGCAGAATACTTGCTACAGTAATCATCAAGTTAGAAAAGTATTAATTCATGTTATAAAACGAACTTTACCGAGCAAGCTTTACGTTTTCTCGAATTTTAGTAAGACAATTTGTCGGTATTCCTCTAATTTCAAAGATTATAGAGAAAAAAAAAATTGATTCATTTCATGCAAAACTAATGCATTTTTGAGCACATCGACAAGGACAAGGATTTTCATGAAATTATACTCGAAATAATTTTATCAAGAACAGTTTACAAACCTAATCAAAGCGACAATCGCAATGGCAGCCTTAGTTCTGGTCAAAAATTCGTCCTTCCTCAGTCGGATCAACAGAAACGAATGACCAAACTTGCTGTCGACATGGCTGGCGAACTCGCGGAGCACTTCTCGGCCACGTTCCGAGCATCCTTCGCAGTGGTCGCACTTCTGAGAGTACCTAGTAAATCGCCATTTTTTCAAGAGTATTTCCGGAATTTTCCCGACTTTAACATTCTACAAGGGACCGCACACAGTCCAGTTAGGACTCGCGTGTGGAACTCCATGTCGATAAGCTGTTCGAGACACCCGCGCGACTTGGCCATTTGAAGAAGGACTCGGGATGGCCAATAGTCTAGGTTTTGTCCGTGGCGAAGGTAGGTTATAACGCAGTCCTGGAAAAGAAAATATCATATAATTTTTCACGAGAAATTCGTCAAAATTTTTCTTTTTTAACTTTCAAGAATATCGCAATAAAATCTTTGTAGCATATTATTATTATAACTCACCACGACGTCTTCGCGAATCAGATGCACCAAATTGGCTTCATTGTGCGATTGGCGTGTTAAAACGTAGAGCAGACTTTCGACTATCTAAATGTTTCCTCAAATGCAGCTTTTTTTTTTCTAAATTCACCGTTTTTTCTTGCTTCTTGTCGTTTTCTTTGACGATGGGCTCGTCAGGTTGATCATCAACATCAACATCGCTCCCACACAATGAAATGGCGGTTCCATGACCGAAGCCAGAACTTTAAAAAATAAGTGAAACTTAGTACTAATAGTCTGTTCGAAGTATCCTTCTGAGTTGTTTCACGTGAATCACGTATATCAGTGTTATTTTGACAATGCCAAAGGAGACATCTGCGCCTTTAAAGACTCAGAAACGAATTTAAGATAATATATATGACAATGAAAAATAAAATAAAAAATAAGAAGAAGAGTTTTATTTTTTTTAAGAAAAAAAAATTTCAAAAAAATAACAGTAAGCTCGATTTGTGCGGTGATTGGTGCATTCAAAAAACTGATTTTGCCCATTTTTTGATAATTCTCTTTCTTCTACACGCATGTTTGAGACAGTACTACGGCGGCCGGTGGCCGGTCAATATTACGCAGTCAGTTTCGGAGCCCGAAATTTTTTTTAATTTTCTTTCTTTTTTGCAATTCGTTAAAGACCTATTTCTCGAGGTTACAAGTTAAGTCACAAAAAGTACACAAGATTTCATTTTTATTATTGAAAAACCTATCCAAACTACCGTAATACGAGCGGCCACCTTAAACAGGCGTGTCTACGCTGTGTCCAAAGTATTTTATATGAAGTATTTTCCACAAAGCGCAGAATAATTCTGTTTCTCCAAAACTAATTTTTCTTTTTTCTTTTTCTGACGGCTATTTTGAATTTCACAGAATCATTTTGAACACGGCACTACTTTTTATTTCCGTTTTTTATTTTTATTCTTATTTTTACAGTTTCAGTTGTTCTCGTACCTTTGTGGCGGCGAAGAAGACCCAATAGAGCTTGAAGCCATTGGTGAACTAAGCCCATATACCGGCGAATAGGTACCATACGGATTTGGCGATGTATTTGAACGAATAGGCGAATTCGGCGCCGTTTCGTAAGCCCACATTGGAAAAAAGTCTTTGTAAAGACGTTGAGTTTCTAGCTAAAAAAATCGAACCTTTTTTTTAACTTTTTGAAGTATTGAACTAACATCTCTAGTGCGTTTGTCCTTCTCTTGGGACAAATATTCAAGCTTGGCGCTCAATTTTTCAATGAACTGAATGTCGACCTTCGGCTGGAAATTTTCCTAGTTTCATTTTTATTCTATTTTTCCAAAACCTGACAGACACGTCGATGCTTTTCGAGGTGGGCGTAAACATCTCGAACAACGGTGTTGATAAAAGTTTTGTTTGCACTGAGATAGGCAATTCCTACGAAAATGTATCTTTAAAACGCATTTCTTCAACCGAAAAAACCTTCCATATCATGAGCAAAATGACGAAAAGAGACGGCCAAATCGTAGCGTTCATCAAACGATTGAGAATTGTAAAATTCTTCGACTAATAAGTCTAGAGCGCCGCTAATTCGTAAACGAGCACGGCCCCAGGCTGTCTAGAATATTTTGATGGTTATGTAATTTTTCTTTGCATTGAAACCTGTGAAAACAACCCCAGCAACTTGTTTCGGCCAATGTGTTGAGTAGTTATAAGCCTTTCAATTATTCCGGCATTTTCCAGTCTAAACTTTTTTTTATGAATGTCCGCTGTGTGCGCTGTCATTTGAGGAGATTTTAGAAAGAAGTATTAAGGATCATGAATTTATTTTGCAGAGAAAGTTTTAGATATCGTCAATCAAGAACCGTTAGTTATCAGGCATTTATATCTTTTCTAAGAATTCTTAGATGGTCTAAAGGCGCAGAAATATTGAAACAGCTAGAATAAGATTGAAAACGGCTCCTCGAACTGGAATCTTATCGCAGTATCTAATGCAGGTTCTTCCTCTTCCTTTATTCGATTTTTCTTCGCAAAAGTAAATTAAAACGGACTGTTCTCGAACTTGGACACATGGCGAGTCGCACAAGTCGATGACCAATTTCTGACCCACGGATAATTCCTTTAAATCGGCGCCAATTTCGAAAAACATGTTGATTAGTTGATCCGTACAGGCGCTGAAAACAAAAAAGGCCAAGGTAAACATTATAGTGACATCATAGGGGGCGGAGCCGCCACGTCTATAAATAGTCAGGTCGGAGAAAAATTCCTATTTTCCACGTTCCAAGCTAGATTTCACAATGTTGCCCTGTTATTCTGCAAGCTGCAGTTCATTTTTTTTTTTCGCGTTGTTCCATACTTATTTTCTATTTTGGACTGTTTTTTCAGCGTCTTCAAGCTGATTTTGACTTTTTTAAATTTGAACGAATATTGTTCAAACTTTTTTTAAACATACTTTTCCAAAACTTCATTGAATTTTTTAGGATAATAAGTTTTATGACAAGATCTTGAAGAAATTATGAAAACGAAACCGTTTTGAATGAATCAAGATGAACTCAAAAAAGAAATTTTTCAGTAAGTACTGATTCGTCTCTTCGAACCCCAAAAACTCAAGGTAGTTTATCAATCAATTAATCAAGACAGAGGAAAACCTGTTTCTCGCAAAGTTCTGTTCTCAGTCTTCTATCAAAAAAAAAAAACTCTTTTTCAAACGAATATAGTATTACTCTTGTAACTTAATGGGGATTTTCCTTGAAGTTTCATGGTTCATATATGATTTCATTAAAAATTAAATTAAAATTTTTGAAATCTGTGAGAAATTATGAATTTTAGAGTTCAAATCCTCCCATGAACCTTATTTTCAAAGCATGAGATCTTTGGTCAAGAATTTATGATTCGAAACAGTTTGGAACCGTTCAAAAGCGCTTGTTTTCGCGTTTTTCTAGAAAAGTCCATCAAAAATGACGTGGTGTTCCCCGCGCGTATATATACTTTGTTTTTGATGGTATTGTCCTCGATTCCACGCACTTTGTTCCGATGTTTTTCTTCTTTCTTTTTTTTTCCGTGTCTTTCTGTATTTGTGCACCTGCTGGCCAGCTGCCGGTCTACGTCTTTTTTGTGGCGCCGGAGCAACTTTTCCAAAATGCTGATGATTTCCGGCCGAAGCGGTGAGATGCCGAGGATTTTGCCCAGGTGGTAGCACGCGTTTGAAAGCATCACTACCTAAAATAATAAAAAAAAATCAGTTTTGTGGTTGGCTTTTTCCTTCTGATTTTATATTAAAATTTAGTTTCCTAGGTTTTTTTCAGATTTATTATTTTTCTTAAATATCACACCAGTTCAGACCTACAGGAACCCCTCCGGTTTGCACTGCGCCGTCTCCGCTGCCCATACTAGACCATTTTTGATCATTTTTTGTATTTAATACAATTAAGAAAGCAATTTCCGACATTAATAGATAAAAAAATTACAGAAAAAAAGACTTTTCACTTACTAAAGACGCATTTCCCAAATCAGGCCATTTTTCAAGGCTTGCCAGCGTTCGTAAAAACTTAGTTATTAAAACTATATTTGTATCTTTGAATGTTTTGTATGTGTTTTTTTCTTCAAACTTGTTTATTTTTTTGTACAAAAAAAGCGCGTTAATAACGAAGATACCGCCATGGGTGTATGCACAATTTCAACCTACAGTGTGCCAAACCAGACGGGCTGAACAGATGTGATATATAAGATTTTTTTCGATAAGAAATAGTGATTTAAAAAGAAAAGTAGTTTGCCTTGTTTTGAGGGGAAATTGATCTTTGCAAACGAATTTTTGAGATATTGTAAGACTCAGATGATTAATGTCACCCAATTTTGTGGACTATATCGCAGCGAGAGTAACGCTCTTCCGCGAGCGATACCGCTCGCCTCTCGCTGCGACCTCGCAAACGTCTTGCGCTATATCGCTCTCTGAAAAAAAATTTTTCTTCAAAAAAATGTTTTTTTCTTGAATTTGATTGATATCATAAAAAAATCAAAAAAATAAAGCAAAAATGTTTTTTTCAAATTTCAAATTTTTTTGAGAGGGAGCGATATGGCAGCGAGACTTTGACGACGTTTCCTTGATTTGACTCAGCTGGAGAATTTTTTAATTCTCACACTAATGAACTTGTTCTTTTTACTTGTAGAAAAAAGTTTGTTTTTGGTTTTTGCCCTATAGCAAAAATGGGCGGCGCTTCTCATTCTCTCACATGACCAACGCACTGCGTCTAGAACATTTTGTTTTTGCCGCCGTTTTGAGCGGTCCGCGCTCTGCCGCCATTGCTCTACCATTCAACTGGTAAACAAGCGGTGCGGTGGGCGGCGCGTGTGTGCCTCGGAAACGTTCTTTTCTGTCAGTTTCCCGTCGGTTTTCCCTTACAAAAAGCCCCCACCAACAACTGTTATCATCAGTTTTTTCGGCTGTTCTCTCCACTGACCACGGTCACCACTTCTTGAAAGACAGTTTCGGCTAGGCTAGTGTACGTCTCGCTTAAAAAATCTTTTTTTTTTTCTTCGAGTAGACTATTTCTTTACACAAAATGCGGTGACGGTGGTATGAAAAAAACACCAGCGAAAATTCAAACGGCGACTTTTCCGATTTTTTCATATCGCTAGGGAACTTTCCGACGGCCACCTTTCCGACGAATCTTTTTCCGACTTTTTTTCTCGATAAACTTTTCGTTTTAAATCTCCCTATATAAAGTAGGTAGTTGGTTAATGATTAAAACACAAAGAAATAGAAAAAAACAATGTTTATAGATGTTTTAGAAACCGAAAAAATTAAGGGAAAAAAGTCGGAAAGGGATCCGTCGGAAAGGTGGCCGTCGGAAAGTTCCCTAGCGAAATGAAAAAATCGGAAAAGTCGCCGTTTGAATTTTCGCTGGTAGGTTTTTTCATACCACCGCGGTGACATGGATTCGAGTGATTTCTAGAAGCTCTTAAGTATTATTCAGTGTCCACTTCGTTCGATTTTCGCAGTATTTCCTTTACTTTGACAGCAAAATGAGAGAAACCAGGTTTTTGGTAGTTCCGTTTAAGATCGCCCTTCTTCTTGTGTTTGAAAATTTAATATCCTAAAAAATATACATGGGAACTTTTTAAAAATATAAGCTAATAGAAAAAAAAATCATATTTTAAAAGGAAATTTGATTAAGTTAGCTTTATCATTATTCTCTCATTCAAAATAGGAAGGAAGTTCGAGAAAGTGAGAAAAAAAGCCTACCATTAAATTTTGAACCAATTCAACGGTTGCCTTTGCAAAAAAATCGCATTTTTCATCTTTTTATGAGCAAAAAAAATCATTTTAATAGCCCTGAGCGTTGTAAAAGAGAAATATGCCCATCTCTCCTTTCATGATTTTTCTTTTCATTGTTCAAAAAGCGTTTCTCTCTACGTGGTTACGGTTTCTCTCTGTTCTTCGTTGATCAATGATCGCTCTTATCTTGTTCTCAACTCGATTGACAGATTATTTACAGAAAACAACAAAAATGACTCTTGACGACGTTGAGCTCAAGGCCGGTCACGCTCCGGCCAACATGGTCGGTGGCCGCCGCATCTCCAACAAGAAGGACCGACGTCCTTCGGAAGGCCACGAGCGCGTCGACTCGGAGAGCTCAGATGAGCCGATGCCCAAGGAAATCGTCGACGTCGACTTGCCGGCTAAGGTCAGCTTCAGGAAAAAGAGAGAAAGGAGTATTGAATGACTGGAAGCGGTTTTTAAAAAGTTGGTGAGGAAAAAGTGCTTGGAAAAAAATTAATGTGAATATAGGGATTAACGAGAGATATATTTGGCTCCTCTTGTTCAGAAATTTACTTTCTAGAAAACCATCTATCTGACCACTTGAGGGTTTTTTCAAATCATCCTCCGACAATCTTATACACTCCCGAGACTTTTAGACATCTAGCCCTCTTCAAGTTTACATGAGAGTAGCTAAATGAAGTTAAGTCCTTTTCTGAACTCTAATTTGCAATAAACAAGACATTTTGCAGATGGAGCGCAGTTATCCGACTGCCGCGGTTCGACACACGCATGACAAGCCGATGCCGTCGGTGCAGCCAAAGGCGCAGAACCACCAGAACATTGGCAACAACAAGGGACAGACTTTCCAGCCAAGAAAGATCACCCACTAAACGCGTTCTTTGTAAATATATATTTGATCCCGAAAAACGACCACGCCCCTTTGGATTGAAAAAAAAAACTCTGGAATCATGTAAATATACTTTTTTTTCTGTTTGTCTCCAACCCGATTTTTCTAAGTTTTCGACTGGTTTTTTAAGGGTTTCTGTTTGGAATAACTTTTTCTCCCATTACCCGGTAAACCTTGGCATTCCTTTTTGTTAATTTTTGGGTGTGGGTTTGTGTATATTTGAATAAATACTTGTGCATACCCGAGTGAAATTGGTGGAGACGAGGTTTTTGACGACGCGAATCGACTGCTTCACAATGCTTTCGTGGTCCGATTCGAGAAGAAGACAAACTCGATCGATGAGCAAAGCGTTTTGGCTGATCCAGTGAGCTGATTCCTGGAAGTTCTCTTCTTGAAAAGGTTCTTGATTATGTTTTTTTTAATTTTAAATCTTACATTTGGAAAAATGGTCTATTTTGAAAAGGAAGACACGGATGAGTTTTTTCTATCGTTGGGGGTTTTTTCAAAGGAATCATCTTCAATTTTTCGAGAAGAGTTGGAAGAACGAAATATAAAAAGTTCACATCAGCAACAAAGTGTAGCTGGACCATGATAATCAATTTCGTTTTTTTTTTTTTGGATCTATAATTAACGCGAGCCTCAAACTCTTATAGCCTATTCCGCGCCAGCTTGTCACGTTTTTTTCTAAGACCGTACACTAAATTAGATTAAATTTCTGCTTTTTATAACGGCAAGAAACAAAGGTCTTGAAGCGAAGTTGGTTAAATTTGACCTGGCCCTTCTGGCGGAAAGAAAAACGTGACAAGCTGGCGCGGAATGGCCTATATCAATATCAAGTAAACAACTTCTGATGAAATTTAAGACTGTAATTTTTGAAAACCAAAAAAAAATGAATCGGAGTAACCTTGTGAGCGCACAAATTAGCGATGAGACGGCACAATGTCGCTTTGGAACTGACCGGCAGTTGAGTATTCTCGAGAAGTCGGACTGAAACTCATTAAAGTAAGCCATAAAACGAAATTTGAGTTCTAAAAAAGATTCTAAACACGAAACTTCGAAAAGTTCTATTTAAAAGGTACCGGTTACGCTTGGAAGTTGGACGAAAGTCTGCTTCATTTCCAGACAGGCCATGAGGCTCAAATTGCAACAATTCGCCAGGACACTCATGCAGCTTTGTAGGATTTCTGCTTCTTTAAACCTGAAATCACCGTTTCTGATGAGATAAAAATCAAATAAAGAACTCACTCTTGAGTGCCGAGCTTCTTGGACAACGTGACGAAAGTCAGGACGATGGTTTTGAAGACTTCTGGCTGATTCAAAACGAACTGATTCACTGATGCAGCGGAACTCAGCGCCAATTTCAAAGTAACGAAGCTTCTCCGTAGAGTTTCAGGATCTTCAAGTTTCATTTGAGCCATCGTTATCGATGAAGCTTCTTTGATTTCTCGCCGTTTCCTTGGTCGACTTGAACTCGTCGGCACTTCACCGCTTTTCTCGTCGTCTTCTTGCGAAGTTTTCCGTCTTTTCGCTTCCATATCTAAAAAAGGATTTACTGAATTTTTTTCCTTCACATTTGTAGTCGTGCACGTGAGAATTTCCTCATTTTTTTTCTCATTTACGTTTTAAACATATTTCGAGTCAAAGTTCATACTTCTAGAATAAGAAGTTGTATTCACTTTTGTAAAATATGTATATAGTCTGTTCAGATTTTGAATGTCAAGTCCTCGCTCAAGCTCCGCCCCTAATAGCGCGATAAACCAATCAGAGAGCGAGCCATCCACAGAGCGTTTTCGAATGACGTCATTCTACTTGACATCCAAATTCTGAAAAGACTATAGCCTGCATCCTGACAGTTGTTCTGAATTTAAAATGACTGAAAAATCGACAATGATTTTAAAAGTAAAAAAAAAAATTTTTTTCTAATCGATTAATCATTTCTACAAAAAAGTTTTTTAATCGTTTTTTCTCTTTGAATTAACTTTTTGGTTTGAAACCCCCTTATAGTAGTTTTTTTAATTTTTTTAATATCATTTTTTGTGTATTAAATTCTTTCTTCGTTCAAAACTCGCATGCTGATCAGGTGTCTCAACGGGTGTACCCGTATTAAACCCGTGTTTCTGGGGTTATTTTAGTCTCAGTTGGGCTAAAACGGGGGAACAACGGGTGTAAGAAAAATATGTAACCCAGCTGGGCTAAGGCGGGGTCTCAGTTGGGCTAAAAAATGCCAAAAGTTCTATCAGCTGGGCTTATACGGGTTTAATACGGGGGCACCCGCGGAGACCCCGTGTTAGCACGGCTGGGTTACCCTGCTCAGCATTCGAGAAGTTTTAAAATGACGAAACGCGCGCAATTTTTTTCAAACTGAGCACGGAGACCGCGCTGATGCAATCTTGATTGGCGCTTTTTTCGTGCATTTATGTTTCAGCTTTTTTCTACTTTTTCGAGAAACTTCATTTAAAAAAAAACCTTAATAAAGAGGTGAAGTTTACAAAATAAGCATAAAAAGAAAAAAATTAATAAAGTTTTTTTCAGAAATGTTTTTGAAAAAGTTTCGAAATTTTTCAGAGTTTTTTTGAGAAAAAGTTATCGAAATTTTTCAAAATTTTTTTATTTTTTTGCCAATTTTAAAATTGCAACGAACCTCGGTGTGAAACCAGTTTTTTCCCGTGGTACAATCGATATATCGACGAATTGAGAGTACCTCTTTGGCGCGAAGGGTCAGGCTTGACGCGGTTTCGGTGCACGGGGAAAGAGAGGCTCGTCGTCGGGCACCGTCCGCTTTCCGCGCGCTCTCTGACCTTCCTTCGAATTGGCTGGCGTTCGGCCAGCCCAGTCTACCCAGGCCAGCACTGCCTCGACCAACGCTTTCGCGCCCCCTTTTTCCTTCTTTCCATTTCTTCATCCAACAACTCAAATCGTACGTGGAATCGCTCGATTTTCCCTGATTTTTCTGAAATTTTCTGAACAGATCAACGGTTGGAGCAACGGAAAGTTCAAACTGCCGCCGCCGTTGATCCCTCCTCTTTCGCCAAGTGTCGCACACTCCCGCCGCAATTGGCGCGTCTTTTTTTTCCCTCGGTCCGCTGCATTTGAATTTTGATTTTGTTGCAATTTCCATCCATTCGCATTCTTTTTCAATATACTGGTATTCGAAAAAAAGACGAAGAAATATTTTAGCCATAATTCTGATTCTTTGATCTATGAAAAGGAAAAAATCAATAATCTTCTTGGTGGCGTGACATAAAAAGTTTTTTGTTTGTTGATAATTTTCGGTTCAATTTTTTCAATTAATCTTCGGTTAGGTGAATAATAGCTTCGGAAATTTAATTTAATTTTTTGAGCTAGAAAAATACTTCGAACTTGTTTCTATTTTTCCTAGAACTTTCATGAACTCTACTAAACAATAATTTTTTAAAAGTTCAACTAGGACAGAGATAAACTGTCTTGTCTTTTTTATATTTTTGAACCGATTTTTATGCCGTGTTCAAAGTGATTTCCGCGAAATCAAAAATGGTTTCTGACACTCCTAAATTGAGCTTTCTCTTTCTCTGACGGCTATTTTAGATTTCGCGTAATCACTTTGAACTAAACAGGGCGTTGATTTCATTTACTACTCGGACCTTGGTAACGCGAACGGGACGCGAATCGGACGTGTCGGGGCATTTCTAGTGATCACTTTAGTAGCCTTAACGCTCTTAAGTGATCCCTTGAATCGCCCAGAAACGTCCGGAGCGCGTCCGTTTCGCGTTACCAATGTCCGAGTAGTGAGTTTTAAAATGATAATCACTTCTCATCGAGCTATTAAGTTATCATAAGGTAATTAATAGCTTAGACGTGATTCTAAGCATTTTTCTCAACGATCTTGAAGATTATGGCTAGGAAAAGCTTCTTATTTTTTTTTTCAACCACTTGCGTGATTTCCGACTTCGAAGCTTTTTCAAAAGTCTAGAACTTTCTTGAATTGAATCTGCAGAGGAGCTGAAACTCAGAGATGGGTTCAGGTGTTTTCTGAACTATTAAAAAAATCCTTGTCCAAAAATCATCTGCTTTTACTTTCGGCTTCTAAACGATTCGAAAATTTCTTGGCCTCTCCTAAAAACGAATAAAAAAAAAAAATTGAAGCTCAAACATGAGCACGAAGCGGAAAAGAGCTGCCGATGTGGAGTCGACAGCGACGGATTCGCCGTTGTCGACGCCGTCCGTCAAGCGAAAGAAGGGTCGAATGTCCAAGAAGGAAAAGGAGGAGCAGTTGGCTGACGTGAGCGGAATGATTTTACAAAGATTTAATATTTATCTTTAAGATCCAAAAAGGTTTGGCCGTTTTGGAAGTGATCCGGCATCACAAGGGCAAAGAGGGTCGCCTCGTCGCTGAGCATTTCGCTCGGGCTCCTTCCAGAAGGTATAGTTTGCTCCTTGGATACTGGGTGAAAATAGCCGCTTAGTTGAGAATATTTTCATGACTAATAATTTGAAGTTCGTATGGGATTGAGGTTTTTTGAATGGAAACGATTTTAAATTATCTTTTTTTGGACTTTCAAATTGTTTTTTTTAAATACAAGCTTTTAGGAGAATCGAAAGAGAAAAAACAAGAAAAAAGATGAAATAAGTTTAGGAAGGAGGAAGAGAAAAAAGGAAATAGCATTCTATTCAGAAAATATTTTCCTCCAGCCATCAGCTGATTTATTTGATTGTATCGATGTTTTTTTTACTTGTCGTGCAGATTGCGGAAAGGCGAATAAACACATCAAATGAATGAATGAAAATTTATCTTTTTTGTATTTGAATATCTTGAACATCTCAATATGTGCTCTAACGAACTATCATCTGATTGGCTGACCATGCCTTTTTTCTCACATACTCAAGACATGAGGAATATTCAATGAGGTAATTAGAAAGCTTACAACTTCCAGAACCGACCCGGAGTACTACAAGGTAGTAAGTGAGCCGATAGACGTGACGCGAATCCAACAGAAGCTCAACACGGATGAATATCGGAACTTCGAACAGTTTTGCGCCGATGTTGAGCTTCTCGTCAAGAATGCACGTGCTTATTATAAGGTTTATAACGAAAATGAACAAATGAAACGCATTTTTCTTTCAGGAAGACACGGAGGAGTACAGAGACGCCGCAGAAATACACCAAGTTTTTCTTGAGTCCAAAGTTAAAGCGGAAAAAGGAGAACTGGTGTGGCAGGATGAGGACGGCAACCGGGCCACCACTTCTGCTAGGTAAATCTTTTTTTTTCCGCAAAAATTTCTGGAGCCTTTGAAAACAATTTAGTATCCAGTACCTTTTTTCCGTTTTTACTTGATTTCGATATTGTGTCGTCCTAAAAAAATTGACTTAGACAGGATAACGGTTGTAATTTTTAGCTCCTTGGATAAAAAGCTTAAGAGTTTATCTAAAAAAAAAGTAAGAGATAATGAGGCTAAATTTTGATTTGCTTAACTCAGTTTTTATCTGCTCAACTTTTTAAAAGATGCGTTTTATTTTCACTGAACTGTTAGTCGTGAATTCATGACTGTAGTAAATGAATCTATCTTTATCATTAATATTTTGCTCGAGATTCGTAAAATAAATAGTTTTTGTTCCAAGAAACCGTCCTGAAATGATTTTTCATTCATTATCAAAAACCTTTGAGATTTTTCCAAGGTTCTGTATCTCATTGAAGTTGATAGGAATTATCGAGTCCAAGCCTCTATTTTCGATGAAACTTGTTCAGAGGCGGAGACCACGAGGAAAACGAGCGCGATCGTGACACGACGGCTTCTCCAGAAGACCTCGACCTCTACATGATCGAGGACATTCTCTGTGGGATCCTCGAGTTCACCGACTCTACGGGACGTCTTCTCTGCCCGCCTTTCCGTGTCCTTCAAAGCAAGGAGGTCTCCGGAATCAAATATTTTTCGAAAATTCATAATTAATCTTTGAATTTAGTTCATAATATTTTTAAATCAAACAAATTGAATAAAAATAAAGCGCTTTTGAGAGAAACAGTTTAAGGGTTTAGCCATTTTTTTCTCACTTTTTGAGCTTTTTCAATTTGATTCGAAGTAAGATTTTTGAACGCATTTTTTTCTCATCAAAAATTTCCTTCTTTATTAGTATTTTTCAAACCAGATTTTTTTGCAGGAGTTCCCCCTGTACTACGAGAAGATCCAGCATCCGATAGATTTGAAAAAGATTGCGGAAAAGGCGCGCGAGGGCGAATATAAGAAGATGGACGAGCTGGAGGACGACATCAATTTGTTGTTCAAAAATGCTCAGGTTCGAAAATTCGAAATGATTGATATCATCAACACGGGAAGACATTTTACTTGTCGGTTTGGCATTTTCTACAAACTCTTTTATTGTCGCTACCTGCGCAAATTCCTAGTATTTGAGATATTAGTTTTTAAAGTTTCGTTCAACACATAAATAGACCCCACAAGAGGTCATTTTTAATTTGCGACTTGGAATTTTCTACAAACTTGTTCAATCACTCTCTGAAGGTTAATATTGAGATCCATCTAAGATGCGACCCGCGCCAGCTTTTAGTTTTTAAGATAAATAATTTTGAAAGTCGAAAAGTTAGGCCTAAAACCCATTTATCGCAACTGAAACATGATTTCTCAAAATCTAGAAGCTTGCGCAGGAAGCGACTATGACTGATCTTCATCTACATCTTCAGAGAGTCTTAAGTGATTTCATAATCCAATGTTATTTTTTTTAGCTTTTGAAGAGATTCAAGTAGCGAAAAGGTTAAAAAACGGAAAATGTAGTCTTGAAGGATCAGGAAGAAACTGAAAAGACTTTCAAGCACGAGTCTCCTTTAGTGGTCATTAAAGAAATGCCTAGGGCCTCTAGCTTTTTTCACAAAGACTGTCCCTAATGAATTGACTCCCATTTCAGAAGTTCAGCGGCAAAGGAACCGAGATTTTCAATGATTCCGAAGTTCTGCTCAAGTTCGTCAAAGACAAGGTCGAGCAGGTCCTGGATAAGGGCTGTCATCCCAAAAGGTCTAGTCAATCACGTTTTTGAGCTTATGACCTCTATTTGAACCTTTTCTTTCCCTTTTTCTAAATACAGCCGATTTTTTTCGCCTAAGAAACATGATAACATTGAAGATAATTCCGTGAATTACTGGAAAATCCTCTTTTCCAAAAATAATTTCTTTTACTTTAATCACTTTAATTTTCAATTTTTGTCTTTCTTCATATGAAGGTCCTGTTACACGGAATATAAAGCGCTGAACCGAATGTCACAAAAAAAAGAGGGAACTTATTAGCTTTTCACGTGTAATATGTTTAAAAAGTTATTTCTTCTAACTTTTTCACAATTTTCAGGAGAGACAAAGTGAGAAGGATTGTTGACGGTCTTTTGGCTCAATCTCCGTCGGCTTGGGCTTCCGAAGAGTTCAGCGAGGACAGCGAGGAGGACGAGGACACCGAAAATAAGGATGTATGATGAATTTCAAGATTTTTCCTAGGAGGCTTTTTAGGTTCTAATCGAAATATGTTCTTGGCTTGGCTCTTTATCCTTTGTAGTTATTCTAGGGTTCGAAAAAAAAAACAAAAGAAAAGTTCACGGATTCCTTTATGATTTTATTTTGGTAGATTTGCGTTCATTTCGAAGTTTTTGAGGCATCACTACAGTTTGGTTCATGCCAAGTGAAGATAGTTGTAAAATTTTGAAGTTGTGATTTTTGATGAAAATGTTTTTGATTAAGTTATTCGTTCAGGATCCCCGCTGGCGCCTCTACTGGACCATTCGGAACGCCACAAACGAAAAAGATCATACAAGCGCGTTGGCCGATCCTTTCTTGGAGCTTCCCAATAGGAGGTAACATTGGAAAATCAAAAAAACATTTCAGAAATTTGAAATTTTTTGGAGCTTTTTTCAAAGTCACGTTGATGAGAAACTATGTTTTATGTTCTTTTGACCGTTTTTTTTTTCAATTTGCTAGTTTTTGCGTTGAATAAGAAGCTTTTAGATGGTGATTGAGGGGAGTTTTCCAAGAATAACGGCCCAGAAGTGAAAAAAAAACCGTTGAACCCTTCAAGATTTATGATTTTCAATAATTTTTCAGTTATTATCCCGACTATTACGACGAGATCAAGTCGCCAATGTCGTTATTTATGATCAATAAGAAGCTGAAACGTGGCGATTATGAATTCGACCAAATGTTCAAGGATTTGATGCTGGTTCGTTTCGATATTTCGTTGGGCTTTTCAACTGATTTTTTGTATTTTTTACACTTTTCATGCCATTATTGTACTATATATTGCTGAAAAACTTTTTTTCCTCAAAAATGTTCGGAGGAAGTTTTGTTTTCTACGCTAATGATTCTTTCAACTTTTTTTCGAAGATGGATGCTCTTTTTTAACAGTTCTATTGACTGAAAAAATGGTTTATCACGTTTTTCAAAGAAAAATGAATTTTTTTCTGCATTTGAGAAAGTTCACCCTCAAATATTAAAAAAATAATCGGAAAATTTCATTCTAACTAGTAAAAGATTTTTTTTCTCAGATTTTTGCCAACGCCTGTGAGTACAATATGGACGGCTCGGAAGTGTATACGTTCGCCAAGAAATTGGAAAAAATCGCCGTTCAAAGTGCGAAAATGCTCAAAGGCGATCTGAATGTTGGAGTGAGCTCTTAAGGGTTTTGATCGGTATTATATAGAGTTTTTGATAGGATTTCGAGAAGAAAACAGCCGTTTCTACTCCAAAAAAGCCGAAAACGCCTAAAGCCCCGAAAATTAAAATCGAAGTCGACATTGGAAGCGAATCCGACACCAGAGTTTGTTTCGGGGAATTTTTCTGATTGAGTATTAAGTTCTCTCATTAGAGACGTTTTAAGGTGGTTTTTAAAAAAATAAATTGCTTGGGAAGCTGGAAAATTCTGATTTTTTTGATATAAATTTCAGATAGTCTAGTTTCAAGTTTCGTTCGGGTAAAAGTTGATCTTTCTTCAAGATTACCTTGGTTTTTTTCGTTTAGAAACCACTAGTAAAAAAAGATTTCCCATTTTTCTAATTCAGTTAGTTATCATGTCTAGTATTTTTTTACAGACTCCTCCACCGGCTTCGCATAAAAAACGATCTCCAAAGAAGCCAAACGGCGACAATGGCACTTATCCGGGAAAACCAGGCCGGAAATCTTTGAACGAACTGATGATCCGCTATCGGAAAAAGATGTTGGCCATTTGGGAGGCCGTTGCAAATGAGAAGGTCATTTTTTCAGACTTTCTATGGGCCGTTTTCTCTTTTAGTTTCATTATAGCAAATTTTTGTAGTTTCATCAGCGTTTCTATAGATTTTATCGATATTTAATGATTTCAGGTCGGTCGCCAAGGACAGGAGTCCTATTGGCCGGCGTCTCCTTTCATGGAACTGCCTTCGTATCGCGAATATCCCGATTATTATGACGTTTGTCTAGTGAATGAAATAAGAGTACTCAGCTCTTGATTCAGGTGATTGCCAACCCGATCGATATGAAGACGATTCGCGAGCGGATCGAGACGGACAAGGTATTTTCTCTTTTTTTTTTAATCCACTAACAAGCTCGTTTTTTACTCTCATTTATACGTCCAATTGTCAGGAAACGATCATTCTTGACGAAAAAAATATTTTTTCTTATGCCGTGTTAAATGTAATTTTCGCGAAAGGCGAAATTGTCTCTGACTCTCCAAAACTCAGTTATCTTTTTCTTTCTCTGACGGCTATTCTGAATTTTTCGGAATCACGTTGAACACGGCATAACCATTTTCCCCAAAAAAACATGGTTTTCTGCTCTTTCAGAATAGTATTTTTAAACCCATTTTTTTCAGTACGACCTCTTCTCGGACTGTGTCGCCGACTTCAAGAGAATGTTCGCCAACGCGAGAACTTATAATGTCCCGAAATCGAGAATCTATGCCGACGCTAATCATCTTGAGAGAGTCGTTCGTTTTTTTTTCAATTCTAATGATTCAGTCAAGAAAGACAATTTTCTGATCGTAAGCCAAGGAAGTGATTGAAACTCGCACTGATTTTGGTTTGGTGAAAAAGATCCTTTAAAAAGAGTAATCCATTGAATTTTACTTATAATGATGTGAAAAAAATTTGAGCAATCAAATTTGAATAATTCGGTATTAAAAAAATGATATTAACCGAAATTTGAAGCTGAGTGGGTATTTTTCACCAAACTTTTCGAAAAAAAGAATGATTCAATTTTTGAAAAAGCTTTTTCTTATTTTAAGCCATAGGAAAGTAGAAGAATTTCTTCAGAATATTTTTAATTTTAAGTGTGTCTTTTTATGGTCCCATTCTATATTTTGAAGCGTTTGATTTCATGTTCCTACAGTCTGATATCAAATTCAAAATATTTCAGATGGCCGCGGCCTACGAAGCCAACAAAGACGGCCCGCAGGAAAGTCCGGCGGCGGTCCGCAGAAAATTGGCGTAAGTTCAAAGTTCCTTTTTTGAGAAGCTATCAGCGATAATTTTAAAAAAGGGATTCTCTGCGGTTCTTGAGCTATCTTTTTCTTCAGAAATGTTTTCAACAGTTGCTCTAAATTGTAATGAGGAGTTGGAAGCTGACTACAAATGATACTTCCTTGAAGTTAAAGGAATCGAAAAAAGATATTTTTCTGACCTCAAGCATTTTTCTAACCCAATGTTTTTTTTTTTGACTTTTTCTAACCCTCTTGTTATTTTGTAATCCGACTTGGAAAATGAACCATCGTGCAGACTTCTGAAGCCGAAAAGCCCGAAGAAAAGGCGGACCCAGCTGAAATTGAACGGCGGTGGCGGAGGAGGATTGGCGTTCGGCCAAGGCTATTCTGATGATGAATCGTCCAACTCTTCGATTAGGTATCCATCCGTGTCGTCTTCAAGCCTCCCAAGCTGCATGGCCGGCGGCTTCTGTCGCGTTTCGTCTTGATGTTGGTGTTGACGTCTTAGTATTGAGCGTCACTGTTACAATTTGTGAGCTCTATCCCAATAGATTCCGCGCTACGAAAAATTGTCTCTGACTCTCTAAAACGGTTATTTGGATCTCGCGAAATCACTTTGAGCGCGATATGACGTTTTAAGCTAGTTGAAAATATTTTTAGACGGAAAGTGGTCTTGAAGTTGTGATTGTCGGTGTAGTGCATGAATGTCTGAACAGCATGGGGATTTTCATCATTCTGGTTATTATATTCAAAAAAATGGAGTTTTTCCTTGATAAAGTTGTTTAAAGACTGAGACTTTTGAATTTCTTGGCTTCTCTGGGTTTTGAGCGGGGTTTTTCGAAGGTTTTTTTTTTCAGCTTCTGGAATCAGTAACTTTTCAGATTTGCATGGCTTTAGATGTTGTCTTTTTTTTAGCTCTGTACGTTCTTATATTTTTTGTTTTTACATGCCCAAAAATTGTTCAGATCTCCGGAACCGACGCCAAAACAAACGAAAAAAGGAAAAGGAGGAGCCGATAAGAAGTTCATCGAGATTCTGAATAGGTACGGTCATTCCTCGTAAAATGTGATAAATAGTAGGATCACTAGTTCGACTAATACAGGGGTCTCTAATTTAGAGGATCTAAAACGTCAAAGCTTTAATTGTCCTCTAAAACAGTAGTCTTGAACTTCCCTTTTGAATACGGCACAAAAGTTCCTAGACCAAATTAAACTTTCCTGGTCAGAATCTGCAAAATGAAGCTGTAAAGTTTTTTACTGCGCAGAATAAACTATTCAACGGTGTAAAGAATGAAGAATCGACTGAATACACACAAAAAATGGTTGCAGACTCCCAATAGAGGAGCAGAAGATGTGGCGCCTTCTTCACGGCGTCAAAGACTACCGAGACGAAAAAGGCCGGATGCTATCCGTGGCGTTCATGAAGCTGCCCACCCGCGAGGAGTACCCCCGCTACTATGACGTCATCAAGAAGCCGATGGACCTCCAGAGGATCCAGCAACGGCTCAACGCCCAGGCCTATCACACCTTGTCGGACCTCTACGCCGACCTCACTCTCATGCTCGACAACGCATGTCGGTATAATGAGCCCGAGTCGAGCATTTACAAGGTGAGGCTGAATGGTAGGAAAATACAGCAGACTTCCAAGAAAGGAGTTTTGAATGTGGAATCTGTAAAATTTTATCCTAAATCTTCACAGAAAGAAGGATTTTCCTTGCCAGAAACTTCTGATCTTCCGAAACCTTTTGGAAAATATTAAGCTTATTTGGCATTGGTTTTTAGGGTGAGTGTGTAATTTTAGGCATGTTCGCTCATTTTTACCTGAAAATTAGAACATTTTCAAGGGTCTTATAGCTTTTTCGACGAATTTCTTTCTCTTAAGGACGCCGTATCACTGCAACGGCTTCTCCTGGAAATGAAACGAGAGTTCGGATCCGACGAAAGTCTTCCAAGAGTTCAAGTCGAAATCAGGACCATTTTCACCTCGATTTTCGCCGCTGTCTTCTCGATGAAGGTTCGAGTTTCAGAATCGAAAAATGAAGTCGGAAGAACTCTTCACGATTTCCAAAAACTGTTCTTAAAAAGCTTCAGTGGCTGCGGGATCAGACCCTAACCCCTATAGGGACCATTCTAGCGTTCATGTTTTGACAGTTTTCGACACTTTCGTGCTGGAGATTTAAGATCAATCCAATTATTTTCCTTTTCAGGACAAGAATGAACGTTGTCTGGCCGACTCCTTTGTAGAACTACCGGAGCTTCTGAAGGCCAAGGGAATCCCAGCCGAAGAATGGCCCTTCACTTTCGACCAGATCAAGAGGAACATCGACAAGTCTCGTTACAGACGTCTTGATCGTCTTCAGAAGGACTTTTTCGACCTTTTCGACAAGGCGCGAGAAGTTTCCAAGATCGGGTCCACGGTGAGGAATCAGTAATTGTTATAAAATATGAGAAACAACTAGTGTAAAACTTTTTCTTGACTTGTTCTGTTTTAGTAATAAATAACATGTACTGAGAACTGTTGGAAGTTATTGAGGCGGTTGAAAAGGAGAGAATATCTATTCAAAGTTATGAGAAATGACCTTGAAGCCAGAAAATTTATGAGTGTGAAAGTTTTCTTGATGACAGATTTTTGAGAAATATTATTCATTTTTTTTTTCGAACTTTTTGCATTGAAGTTGGAAAAAAACAGAGTTGAAAAATCGATAAAATAGCTTCTTAAAAGAAAAGCCGAGATTATAGGAATTTACACGCATAATTAAAGGTTTTAAAGAAAAATTTTACAGAGAAGCGAAAAAACCTCTAAAAATAAAAGATCTCGAAGTTTTCATAACGTTAAATACGTTTCAAAAAACTTATTTATAACAAATGCATTTTACTTTAGATTTCATTTTCTTCTCTGTTCAATCAATGAATTTATGATAATTTGAGCTCTTCAACGATGCCGTCGAACTCCAGAAGAAGTTTATCGAAGAACGTGACGCCAAATGTAAGGGCGTCATATTCTCCAACGCCTACAATGTCAATCAGAAGGTGTTTCTCCGGAGAAATGAATCGATTTACTGGAAAACTGTAGGATATCGATGAGGCGGTCGAAAGTGAGAGAAGCTCCCGGTCGAGCGGCAGGAAAAGCGCGGAAACGGAGGAAGTAGAGGAGAAAGGCAACAAGTCGCCGAAGAAACTCGTGAGTTTGAAAATAGATGCTACTCATAAATATGACGCTTTTTTTAATGTGAAATTCTAACTTTTGAAAACTAATTTTCGAGCTTTTTTCTTTCATAATTCCTAGTTTTAAATGTAGAAATGTAGCTGGAGATGAAGTTATCAATGAATAAAATTAATTTGGAAAATAAAAAAGCTCTTGGGAATCCACATTGAATCGATAATTTGAATATTTGAGTGCTCATTTCTTTTTAGCAGACAAAGCAGGTGAATTGATAAAATTGGCAAGGTTATACTGAACAATATTCATGAGGCCATGAAGGTTTTCTGAAAATTTTAAAACTGGGAAAACATGGAAAATTGAAATTTATTTATTTATTTTTTATTGAACGTCATTCGTTTTTCCAAATTTACAGGAAGGAGAAGTGGATTTGGAGAGTTTCGAAAAGGAAGGGAAGACTTTCAAAGCGCCCTGCTTTGCCTACATCGCCCGGACGGATGACAAGAAGCTCCCCCCTCATATTATGCGGATTGAGAGGATTTTTAAGTTGGTTTTTTGAATTAAACTTGAGTTTGTGTCTTCTTTGGGCTCCCAACTGGAATTAATAAGTTGAACTTCTTGAAGTCAGCAACTTATCCGATTCGGAGAAGAGTTGAAAAGAGTTCTTTGGGACAGTTGAAATGATAGCAATAAGAAAGTTTTTCAAATGATTGCGCAGACAGTTCACGCCATTTAGCATCTCAGGCTAGCCGTGAGACGGCTATTTATGTTGAAGCTTGAATTTTGGGAATTCCAAACGATTTTTCGTGAAAAATGATAAAGGTTCCATGAAATTTCAATGTTTTCTAGTCATTATGAACCTTTTTGGAAACCGTTTCTTTTGAGGAATGAAAATGGCGACGAGGCGGTTCAAGGCTCCTGGGTCTACCGTCCCAACGAAACGCTTCATTTGGCCAGTCGGAAGTTTTTCGCCAACGAGGTACCCAAAAAAATTTGATTACATCAAAAATTTCGACTCAGGTCTTCATCACCCCGTTTTTCGATACGGTACTCGCCGAGAGGCTCATCGGCCAGTGCACTGTAGTCTTCGTCAAAACTTTTGTGAACAACGAAATTCGGGGCGTCGAGCCAAACGATGTCTATGCCTGCGAATGGCGTTATCACGGAAAACCCAAGTATTTCCTCAAAATCAAGGTTTTTCCTGGATTTTTCTGAATATAAGTCGAATTTTAGCAATGGGAATACGCAGATGAGGATGAAAAACTCGACCTTTTACCCAGAGAAAGGCCGATTTCCCCGGAAAGGACGATTAGTGAATTTGCGGCGGTTTGGATAGAATGGAAAAAAAGATAAGGTTTCAATTTGAAGGCCGAAAACGAGGAAGGCGAAGAGGCAGAAGACACGGCGACGCAGTCTTCGTCGACGTCTTCTGAAGAAGATTCGAGGCTGAAGTCGACCTTTTTGCTGGACATCGACAGGCCTGAGGTCGGATATAATTCCTTAGGGTCTCTAGAGAAGAATTTCATTTTTCAATCAGAATTTATTCCCAAGAAAAGTAATTGTAATCTGTGGATAGGAATTTCTTGAACATTGGCTAGAAAACTTCTTGGTCTATCAAATAAAGGACCTGTATGACTTTTTCGTTTTCAATAAATAAAATCTCAAAGTCTCAGAGTAGCCGATTTGAATGGATTTTGATGGGCTTATAATTAGAGCTTTTGATCTAACCCGTCTGAAAGCCTTTAGAAAATTTTTTGGGATTTTTTAAACTCCAAACTGATACCGCCTTTCTTGTGAAATTTTATTTAGTTCAGAAAAATAAACTTGATAGGAACAAGAAGAAAATAATCAGATGAAGAGTTTCAGATCAAGGCAAAAGGAACGGAAGAAGATGCCGACGGCAGGACCTATTTCCAAGAGATGCGGTCAAAAACCGGGCGAGCCTACGCCCAAGGCCAATACGTTTTGGTTTTCAACCCCCTGAAACCGCTGTGCGACATTATGCGGATCGACAAGCTGTGGAGAGAGAAAGAGTGGGCGGAGTTTGAAGGGAAATTGCTCATGTTATCCTTTTTCAGCGACACCGAATGCTTCTCTGGTGGCTGGTTTGCAAGGCCCGCCGATGTTGCTCATGACAGGGGCAGGATGTTTTATCCAAAAGAGGTAGAAATTCAGAGAAATCGACTAGGAAACAGTTGAAGAACTCTTCGTAAAAACATGAAGTTTAGCTTGAAAATTGAGTTAAAACACTCTTTTTCCGTCAAGCTTATTCTGAAATTACTCGATTCACGGTTTTCTCTGACACGTCTGCGCCCTATTTCCTCTCTTTCTGTCCTTTCTTTAACTTGTACGTTTGGAAATAGCTCCAAAAATAAGCGATTTTTTTTAGTTTTATGAATATTTGAATTATTTCGGAGCTGAAGTAAAATTTTTCCAAAAATTTCAGTCGTTTTTCAGAACGTCGGGTGTATAGATGATTAAAAATTATTCGCCTTGAAGCTTTTGGAGACTTTTCTCGATGTTCTGTCAAACTTCTGAGTGAAACTTTGGAACACAAGAAGAAACTCGTAAAGATGAAAATTAAAAATACAATGAAAAAGAATTTCCTCAATTTTTCAATCATTCAAAAATAATTCCAGGTGTTTGCTGTGAATCAACCTGACCAAACACGACGAGTTCTGGATATTCAGTCCAGATGTGATGTCATGACAACCAAGGATTATATAAGACGTTTGGAAGACCCCCAAAAAAAACTCACTATTGAAAATGAATTTTAGAAAGACCATCGGAAATACCCGAATGTGACGTTTTTGTCTGTGAAAGTCGTGTGCAGGGATCGACGTTCTCCGAAGGCGAAACTTCTTCGTTGTTCTGCAGAGGAGTGAGTTTCGAAGATATAGCTTTTGAGGACAATTGGCAAAAGAAAGAACTGCAAAAATCCGATTTATACGATTTTTAACGCGGTTGCGCTGCATTAAAAAGGCGAAAATGAAGTTTCAATTTTTTTTTTTATACTCGGAAAGCTCAAACAGGACTTTTCTGAGCGAATGAGCACCTCATGAACTGCGCCCGACCATTAGCGACTTCCGCCTTATTTCAAAAAGCCTGATCTCACGAAAAATTTCAAAAAGTTGGAAGTTTTTAGACTGGTGCAGCGACTGGCGAGGAAGATTATGACACGTCGGATAGTCCTATGAGCCTGGATTGCGCGAAAAATGTTCGAAAATTCAAGGTTTGGAGGACTTTTTTTGAGTTTCCGAAGGAAAGCAACAAGATTCGGGTGATGAAATTATAGGGAAGTGAGATGTTAGAACGGCCGAAAACTGACCGAAAAGAATGAATCGCTTTTTTGAGACATTTTAGTGAAATATGTACTGATTTTTTTCCTAAAATTTTTTTAAAAAAGGAAGATTCTTAGAAAAAAAATTGCGTGTAAAATAATAATCTAGGTTATTTTTGAAAAAAACACACTTTAGGCGCAAAAAGTTGCTTCAAGGCAATTTCGCACGATTATTTTTTTAAAATAAAAAAAGTCGTCTGATATTTGCAATATTTTTTTCCCATTGAATGCAAACGAGTCACAAATGGAAAATTAATCCCTTAAAAGTATTTTTAATCTTACAAAGTTCGAAATAGTTTGAGTTCCGATCCTATTGGGGGAGAAGGAATTGAGAAGGATATTGCGCCATGAAAGGACGATAAGAACAGCAAAAAAAAAAGGAGAAACGAACGGGACCGGTTTTTCTCCACGTGTGTGTACGCTGGCAAACGTTTCATTTTTTTTTTTTTGGCGTTTGCGGCGGATCCTCCCCCCTACTTCTCCGTTCCTTTTCCCCTTGCTGGAAATGACGTAGCGTGGGAAAATCGAGAAGCGACTCTCGGTTATAGGAGATGTGTTAGAGAGAGAAAACGGCCGATTACGAAATTGATGAGAAGAGATTCGTTTTGGAGCAATTTTCAAAGCTTAAACTCAGTGCATTATAACAGTAAGAAGGGTGAAAAGTATATGTGAAGAAATCAATTTTGTGGTACGGTTTTCCAAAATTTTTGAAGTTTCTCAGTGGAAATTAAGTTTATAAATGAAGATATTATATCGCGCGGCCGTTTCGAATCCCAAAAATGGACGGCACAGAGGGTGACCCATTTTAAGTCTCTCCTAAATGAAAAACGAAGCTTTTTTTCAATTAAAGGCACAAAAAGGACTCAATAACGCGCTCCATGGAGAATTTCGAGGATAGAATGATTTTTTGAGCGATTTTTCAGATCAGATGTAATTTAAGAGATCGAACGATTAAAAGAGCGTTTCAAACTCAAAAGTTGATTAGCTCATCCCTCAAGGGTTGAAATCGAAGATTAGGTTTTTCCAGTTCAGGAGAAGCCGCTTTTCAAAAAGTTCCTTTTCTGTCCATTTTCCCGATTTTGCTCCTCTTCTGACCAAAGTTCCGCCATTTCGGGACTGAGAAATCCGTGAAGTCTTCTCTTTTCCGTTTGCCGAGCTTAATTTTGTTCCTTTTAGCTGTTTGGGTTTGATCAAGCTTCATCTTGTCATTGAAGATCGACGAAAACTTTTTCGGACCCATTTTGCTCTCATTCTTTTTGCAACTTCATTCCGGATTTGAAAAAAAAGACTGTCAAAATAGGGGATATTCAGAATTCCAGGGCTTTTATGCATCTTCGAGTATAGTTTTAGGATCCCAATAAAAAACCATCTTCTCTGAATAATCATATCTCTTCAAAGGCGCATGATTAGATAAAAGTCTTTAGTTTCCCAATACAATGAATCAACTCTAGCGGATCAGAAAGATCTCTCTGACAGAGGCCGGGGTTAGCCGCAGCAGTATTGGATCGATCTTTCGAGACGGAAGAGAGACAAGACGACGAGTCGGTCGGGTTAGACAGCACGCCGACGCCGGAGACGTGTCTGCTCGGCTGGGAAGGCCGCGGCGCGCGCCTGGTGCGGAGCGGCAGAGACGCAGACAGAGAGACCTCCGCGGCCGCCGCCACCGCTGCAAATCGTCGAGGCCAGACCAGGTCTAGCGAAGGCATCGGCGGTCACATCCATCGTCGTCTTCTTCGTCGTCGTCCTCGCCGCAATTTTTCGGCGGCTGCGCCGGCCGCCGCCTCCCCCCTCCTCTTTTTGCCATCCTCGTGTGTATCTGACCACCACCGCCGGCGCTACCGCCCTGCACCTACATACTGACCGAGCTGTCGCTGCTCCTTCCCCTGCTGCAACCGTGCTTATCGCCGTGTGGCCGCCGCCGCGACTTTTTTCTCCTCTTGTGTTGTTCCCCTTCTTGTTGTGTTGTTGTTGTTGACGCAGGAGGGACGCGCGCTCGCGAGGTTCGCAAAGTAGTTTACAGTACTTTTTTGTAGGTTTTTCGTCAAGTTGATTTATCCTGACTTGGATCTGAAGTTGTCAGGACTTGGATCTGAAAGAAGTAAGAGGGTAGAGCAGAACTTGAGTTGGGTGGAACACTTCTAAAGCACTCATTTCAAGTTGAACTAGCATATTGTCTCATTGGCGAAGTAGATATGTTTAGAGCTGTAATACTGTCTGGAAATTTAGTTAAGCTGAGAGTGAGAGAAAGAGCATAGGAACTTCAAATCGTCCAAATTTTGATCTCAACTTCAGGTTTGAGTTTGAAAATAAGCTCTGTAAGTTTAGTTGGGGTGACCAAGTAGAGATTAAACCTGCATAGAAGACTATAACTAGTTCTCAACTGGGTCTTGAATTTTTGAATCTCAGTTTAGTTAGGAGCGATAGTATTAAAAATGTTTGATATTATTTTGTAGAGAGTTGGGTTATCTGTAACATTCTCAAGTAAATCTTTATTTTTTGGAGCAAAAAGTTTGAAATTTGAAGTTTGAGAAACAAAGTGAGGGTTTTTATTAAATTTCGACGACGCTAGGATTTTAAGCAGGTGTAGGATGACTAAAAATATCAGAATGGGTGTTTCTTTGAGCGATGAGGATAAATGCTGGAATTTGAAGAAGTCTTTTCGTCTGTGCTCTCTTTTCCCTCGCCGGCGCGACCAGAGAAAAGGGGAAATAGCATGTAAACAAGAGAGCGCCGTTTTTTAAATGAGAGACAGCAGGCGAGGCTAGAGTCTTCTAATTTGCGGCGAACGGAGTAATTATATATTTTAAAGATTTGAAATAGTTTTTAACCCATTTTTTAAACAGTTCATCATTTCGAAGCTTCCAGGACTCTTGTTGCCTTGATCATTCGCTTTTTTTGATGTTTCTTCATGTTCGAATTAGGTACTGAATATTAACTTTTTCAGCAGTACAAACTTCACCCGATTGTACCGGATGACGAGTTGTTCATCTTCAAAACGCCAATAGCCATGGAGAAGGTGAGGAAAATGAAGAATTGGTTATGTAAAGGGACATAAAAACCAGGATTGAAAAAAAAAATTTTAAAAAAATTGGCTAATTTTTCTTTTCTTCAAAGTTCATAACTTTCATGCCTCTTCCTTCATTTTCTAAAGTTCAAATCTAAAGCAACGAATAAAAAATAAGCATCATTTTTTCAGGACATGTCACCCTTGTTGAAGAACGAAGGCGCTTTGCCTCTCGACGCCCTCGACGACTTGCTCGACGACGACACGGATGGATCCGAGTCGGTGGCCAGCGCCAACACCGCCAAGGTACTTGATTCGGTTAGATTCGAGACAATAAATCGATCATTTATTTTGTCGATTTAGTCATAAATGTTGTCGTAGGCGATTAACACGAATATCTTAAGCAATATCGAACAACGATAGCGAACTAGAAGTCCAAAATTGTAGTTGAACAAGTTGAACGCATGGTATTACGATCTTTTGCCTCTTTTTTGCGCGTAGTTCATTTAGTTGCGCTCTGACAAGCTCAGGCTGCAACCCGAAGACCTTGCTCTAGGTGGAAGCCTCGAAATGAGAGTGACGAACTCTAGTGAATACACGGAATTACCGCAAGATCCTCTTTTTTTTCCCTCGACTCTGAAATATTTCAATTTTGGCGCCAAAACTAGAATTAAAAGAGAGAAATATTTGTGACAAAATAAAAAGGCTTATAAGAACATCTCGAAGGTTACCTATTGCATCTTCTCTGGCAAATTTTAAAAAAGTTCTATTTTTATTTTCAGACGCCGATCCCGACTGAGCCGGTAGCTTCTGTAAGCTCTCCCTCGCCGGCCAACTTACCCAACGCAAATACGCCCCATTGGACGGATTCTCAGCCGAAATTGACGGTTAAGAGCAAAAGCGGCTATATTCTGTTCTCGGCCGAGATTCGCAAGCGCATCATGCACGAGAATCCCGACGCGGGCTTCGGAGAGGTCTCCAAGATTGTCGGCGTTGAGGTACTGCCATTTTTGTTTCAATAATAGTTTATTGACAGATCAGTGTGAACCTTAATGAGTTTACTTGGTTTAAGATAATTTTTTTAGGATTTAAAAGATTACAGAACAACTTCACATCACTTGAGTCTTAAAGGAACATATTGAAATAGCTCGTTTTTGAATTTTAAAGTGATAGAAGTTCATAATTTTCATATTTTCTTGGATTTTTCTTTCTTTGTATTTTTTTTTCTTTTTTATCCTTCAGAGTCTAAATTTTAAGCGCTCAATTAAGTTCAAAGCAGCTAAACTTTGAGCTTTCTCTTTTCCAAGCCAGAGAGCACTACTAAACAAGAGGGGACAGAGAAAAAACGCTCTCCTTCTTACTTTTGGTCCCTCTCGCGCTTTTGAAGATTTCAAAGTTTACTTCTTGGAATTTTCCACGGATCCCTTTAGCCTGAAAAAGTAATAATAGAAATATTTCCATATTTAGCTTCGATGAAAATTCATCGAAGCTCTCGGGTTTACGCTGCGTAAACGTTCATAAAAATTTTTTACAGTGGAAAAAGCTGTCGGATGACCAAAAACGGCAATACGAAGTACGAGCTGAATACATTGCGACCGAACGAGCCAAACAGGAAGCCATAAAAGCGGCGCAGGAGAGGACTTTACAGGTAAAAAAGGCATATTTCATGAATAAAATTGGAAGATATGTAAATTGTCGACCTTTAGTTTAGCTCTGAATTTTTTAAATCTCAGTTTTCCAGGTTGTTCAATCTTTGAGATGTAATATTGTTACACGAGCTTGAGCTCTTGAGAATGATTTTGGTTAGGATTTTAGATTCAGCGTAATATTTCTGTCTTCTAAGAATGAACTTGAGCTTACAACTTTGAGCTCGACTGGATCATTTTCAGCTTCGTGTGAGGATATTGGACTTGAAATAGGAAATTCGAGCTTTTTTATTCATTGCCCTAACGTACTTTTGGTTAGACTCTGAGGTTAATATAGACTCCTTTTTCAAACTTTTTCGTTTTTCTGTTTGTTTGAGAACTTTTTTTAGCCTCAAAAATAATCATCTTGAAGAATATTTAAACACGATTTTTCAGCCCGGCCAAATACGGATCTACCAGTGCAAATGGGCCAACTGTGATTCGCAGTTTGACGCTGAAAATGGCCTCTATGAACACATTGTCCAGCATCACACAAGTCAAATTATCAGTAAGTTTTTATTTTCTCTCATTTTCTCGATTCGCAATATTTTCATTGAGTTTTTGAATCGAGTAATTAAACAAAAGTTAGAAAACGAAACTTTTCTAGTGGACAGCGATCAGCAGTTCGTGTGCATGTGGGTGACGTGTTTGCGGAACCGGAAAGACGGGAAGCCATTCCCGAGTTTGCCGCGTCTCCATCGGCATATGAAGGTGAGGAAAACGCGAAAAATCAAAAACTATTGAGAAATTCCAGGAAAAACACTTGACTTCCTCAAGCCGGAACGTTCTTCCGGGACAAATCGGCCGAAACTTCTACAAACTCATGACCGTGACCATGGCCAACGGGGAGCAGGTAGAGATTTTGTCATTGGAGCGCATTCGAAGATTTTCCAAGATGAATTTTTATTTGGTATTTCTGGAAGCTTCTTCAATGGCTTTCCAGTTCTGTCGATCATTTTTCTCGCTCCATTTTTTAGGCAGAGGTGAACTTTAGGGCTAATTCCCTTTTTCTTTGTTTTTTTTTTTAGAAAAACCGCCTTTCTCTCAAAATTTTAAAGTTTTCCGAAAGACTAGTCTCGATAAAAAATACTGTTTTTCGCCCTTTTTCAACCCTCAAGCAAAAGGAAACTAAATTTTAATTTTATAAAATCTCGAAAACTAGGTCTTCCATGTCACAGAAGCCTAAGAATGGAGTTTTGACTTACCATCCTTCTCAAACTGTTTCTGTATGCCTCGATCCGAAAGTATGAGCATTCGAAATGATTCAGTGTCTTCAACTGGTCCACGCGCCAATGGGACGCCCTCAACCTTCCCAGCAGCCCGCCAATCACCCTCAGCAGATGAACGGAAACGGAATGATGCACCATCATCAGCAGACCCAACAGCACCATCCGCAGCAGCAGCACATGATCCAGCAACATCACCAGCAAGCGCAGATGAACGGCCATCACCACCATCCCCAGATGTCCAATGGAGAACACCATCATCCGCAATACGTTCGGGTTAGTCTCATGAAGCTTCATCTACGTTTAAGTATAGATTTTAAAAAAAGATTGAAAAATGCGCGTGCGTGAAACCATCATCTCTCTGAAATAAATTATGCCCTTTCACGTGAAAATTGAAAATCCGTTTTTTTTTTTTGGAATCCAACAAATATCTCAAATTTTAGTCGAAACTTTTTTTTTTCATCTTTTTCTGTCGACTAGGCTAGGCGGTGAAAAACGTTCGATTCAGTCGTGGCCGCTCTTGGAATGGCTCAAACCTAAAACTATCTTTCTTGATTTGGAAATTTTGAACGATTTTCGGGTAGTTTCAGGTTTATCGTTCTTTTTTTCAGCAAGGACAACCCCAACAAGTTCACCACCAGCCTCAGCAGCAGCAGCAAGTAATGTACACCAACTCGCCGTCCTGCTCCCAGTACCAGCAGGTGCGAATTTTCAGGAATTTTCTGAAGCTGTTAAACTTATTTAAGCTGTGAAAAACCTGAAGAGCAATTTCAAAAAAAATGTCAGAAAAAAGCGAACTTTCAATTTTTCCAGGTGCCACAACCCCAGCAAGCTGGCCAGATGCAAGTGGCGCAGGTGACGCAGGTCATCACGGATCCTGGACGGACGATTGTAAGAGCGCCGCAACACGCAGAGCCTGTCTTCGTCGCACCGCCCAACTCGATCCATTCCCGACGCGTCCTCCACTCGGAAGCCTATTTGAAGTGAGGCTTCAGGGTTTTTGGTTCCAGAAAGTCTAGTGACTTTTTGAGTAAATCGTTCAGTGACCTTTCAAGGTGTAGAATGAACTAAAATTATTGATAGTAAAAAGCTTGACGATCCTTTAGGGAGATACCTTAGTGACCTCTCAAGGGTTAATTTATACAATTACTCTTTAAAAAAAAATAAATAAAAACCTCGAGTGTTTTTTTTTGCAGGTTGTTTCGAACTTTTAAGGAAGCACTTAAGAAGTAAAAAGAATCAAATTTTAAGAAGTCGCTAGGAAAGTGAAGTTTTCTTAAAATATCTTCTAATTTTTAAACGGTTTGTTGCTGTTTTGAATGTTTAAATTTCCCTTTTTGAAAATTGTTTCTGTTAGAGGTCTTTTCGGCTCTTGAACTGTATTATTATTCGTATTGAATAAATGATGATGATGATGATGAAGTAGTATCTAAGAGGACGCGGTTTTTTCTTGGCTTATTCCTAGACTCTTTTTATGTTAGAGCGTTCAATTGAGTGGATAAAAACAGAAAAAAAAGTCTACTTCAAAATCTTGATCAGAAAGAAAATATAAGCAACAACTACAAAAGCCTCCATTTTTTTCTCCCTTTTCTGCACTCTTCCGTTCAAATGGCGTTTTACAGGTACATTGAATCGCTGACGACGAGGCCGAAAACGGGTGGAGCTCGATGGGAAAGAAGTCTCGCTCCATCGCACAAAACGAACCCCCACGATCCAAATAACCGCAACGCGGCAGGAGGACCGCATCGTCTGCCGACCCACTGGATTCGCGTATGTTATTTTCTCCTTTTCAAAAGTTTTACCTCGGTAACACAAACCGAACGCGTCCCGAATGTTTCTATAGTAATTTGTTTAGCGAATTCAGCACTTTTAAGGGATTTGCTTAGAAAATTCCGGTTTGTGTTTCCCACGTCCGAGAAGTTTGGCATTTCGCAAAGTAACTCGGAAATCCTGAAGTTATAACTCTAGTGGAAAAACGAAATGCGATAAGTGGACACTGAAGAAAATACTGAAAACAAAAATACGATATGAAGGAAAAGCCCCTTAATCCCTCAAGTGACCACCCGGAAGGAAAGCCTTAGCAGGTTGACACTCCGAATTAGTAATCCCTTTTTGATCCCCTTGCCAAAAGCTCTGAATAGTATTTTAAGTTGCCGCTCAGAATTACTTTCGATAATAGCAATGCGAATTCATATTAGCCTTAGAGCTAAAAATATTTCATACATTGGACAGTTTGGCCTTACTGCTTCCCTTATCGACGACGTCAAAGAAACAGGAAAATATTAGATCGTGGAAACCTGAACGTCAATGAGTGATTAGAGCGCGTAGAGGAATCAGACGGTTTCGAAATGAATCATTCTAGTCATTCACTAACCATTTATGAATTGATTCCATCCTTTTGCTTTTCCAGGAATGTCGGGGAAGGCCAGTAACCCGGGAAGAAGACGTGACCAAGGCCCTATGGCGACTCCGAGACGAGCTTCTGCAGAGCACTTGTAATGTTGACGTCAACTCCTTGCTCTGATGACGTCATCCTCCTTCTTCTGCTCAATCAGCTCCTCCATGATTCCTTTATTCTCTTGTCTATACTCGTATATAACATTTCCACTCACCACGAAACAATTGATCTCTATCCATCTGTCTGACTGTATTTTTTTCTTGCACTATTATATAGGGTATTTTTTTCAAACTCTAATAAAACCTAATCAATCTGATGATACATAAAAAAAACTCCTCATCAATCACGCCCATTACGGTGATATTATTTGTATTTTTTTTTCTTTTTTTTTTCATTTTCTGAGAACTGCGACATAAAGAAACGGTTGTATGTACATTCGGCCCCAGGAAACGTTTTGTTATTATTTTTTATCTTCTGGGGAAAATTGTTTTTTGAAATCCTGTTTTCATTTTCATTCTTTTGTCTCCTCTGAATGATCTGAGATATGAAATTAAATACGATGATTTTTTGAAAGTTCTGCATCGAAATTGAGAAAGAAGGAGAGGCTTGATCTTCGTAGGTCGACTACGAACTAATTTATGGGCGATCAAACTTTGAGGTCAAAATTTTGAAATTCGTCAAACTTGGTATCAATCGATAGAGGAGATCAAGGAAGTCAGAAAAAACTCTTTTGGGTCTTCGTAGGTCAACTAGAAACTGAGTTATGATTTTTCAAAGTCATCGATTGATTTAAAATCTCGTAAACTTTGGTTTTCTGAAAAATAGAGAAAGAGTATAGTTTAATTCCTTACTAGTTAGGTTTTTTTTAGCTTCCGAGCTCATTGAAGCCTATCTGGACGAGTCAAAAATAAATCGAAAAATCGACAAAAAAAAATAACCGGAGGCTAGGTTCGACCTCGGTAGGTTAACAAAAGACTAAAGTTATAGGCGATCAAACTTCGAGATCAAAACATCAAAATTCGTCAAATTGGTATCAATCGATAGAGGAGATCAAGGAGTTCAAAAAAAAACTTTGTTGGATATTCGTAGGTCAAATAGGAACTTACCAGTAAGAGGTCAAAAGCTCAAAAGGTGGGAGTTTTTATGATTCTCTATGACGTTCTTCTCGAAATTAAACAATCTTCAGCCTATTTTAAGGTTTATTCTGATGACTCAATCGTATACTCCTGTTGATTGCAGCGTAGGTTGCCTAGGAACGAAAATTCCATGTTTCTTTCCATCTCAAAGTCCTTCAATTAGTTTATCGAGTGATGTGCCCTCCCAATTCTCGAAGGTAGGAAAACTTTCTGCATCTCAAGTTCTCTCAAAAAGAAAAATCTTAGTTGAAACTTCGCTGCCATCTCGTGAGCAGGTGCTTATTAGGAAAGGGTAGGGTATTTTCGACAGGGCGTAATTGACAGGTGAATTATCCGACTTCATCTTTCCGTTTCAGCTTTTCCTTCTTTTCGGAAACTTCTCGGCTCCTCTGAATCTAGCAAAATGGGAGAGGTTGTGGAGAATCTGTCGCTACGTCTCCTGTTCGTATTTCTGATCACGGATCTCATTCTTTGTTTTTATATTATCATCTGGCCGAAGAGGCTGCTCCGGGGAGATCGCGCACCTTTTTTGGCTTTTCAGGTTTTCAACCCTTTTTTTTTCAAAACTAATAAACATTTTCAGATCATCGCAATGTTCGGGACGTTCGTGAGCATGGTTTATTGCTTCTACTTCGACAGATATAAAATAATGATCTTTGGAGCTGTGGTCCAAACCTACTGCAAGGTTGATTGTTCTTTCATTCAGAATCGCGCACAAGTATTCTCAAGGGCTTCCCATTAAGCCTCACCTCATGCGATCATAACCTACGAGAGTAAAGAACATTTTATACTTTCACATATAACAGATCATGTAGTCCTAACAGTCGAAAACCGTTTCAAGTAGGCTGCACTAAAACAAAAAATCATTCCTTTTGCGACAACGTTATTCAAGATCTGAAAATAAAGTGTCACACTCACAGCAGGCCGTCCTTCGGGCGACCAAAACTCAAAAAAAGAAAGAAATCAAAAATCCTGAACTTGAAAGCTACATTCTGGGATTGCATATGGTAAGGCTCGGCTTAGCTGATACTATCCTGCGCAAGTCGTTTTTATGTCGGTCGCACTCAACATTTTGTAGCCCCTACTCCTGGCCTTTTACGACGTGATGGTGCTGGTGACGTTGCATGTCTCCGTCAACTGCTTCCGACGCTACCGGACGCTTCTCGACCCGAACGACGTCATCCGCGACTACAACCGCCATCTCATCTGCATCTACGTCGTCCTCCTCGGCCTCCTCATTCCTGACGCCTTCCAAACGGGCTTCGCCAGCTCGGCCTTCATGGGAGTGCATCTGTCAGTCGACGTCGGCCTCTTCGGCCTTCTGACCTTCGTCGTCTTCAAAATACAGAGCATCATAAGGCAGACGCCTGAAAGGGAAGACCGGAGCGTGATCATCACCAATACTCAACTGGGACTGGCTCAGGTTCCGTTTCATCTATGAACCAGAAATTCTAAAAAAAAACTTTGAAAGTAAGAAAATTTCGTCAATCCTAACGTTACCTACGTGAGCAACGGATTTCTCGTAATAATATTGAAGTTGACCTGAGATCTAAAGAACCATTGAAAAATTTTAGAAAAAGGGTTTTCGAGCGATTTCAAAGTATCGGGGTTCAACTTTAAAAAAAGAAAAAGGATCCTATCTTGCCAGGTGTTCGCGCCGATGACGTCCCTATTCTTGGCGAACTTCTCCTACCACCTCAACACGCTCTTCTACCCCAACGACGGCCTTTTCACCACGACGATGGTCTTCTACGTGCTCTTCCCGATGGTCAAGTCGATTTCGATCCGCGTATGCCGAATCGGTCGCCATCCGGGAATCAAACCGGTCGGCTTCATTCCTGGCTCCGCAGCAGCTCCTGTCATCGTCGCCCAACCGTTTCCTTCCGTCCAACCTCCCAACCAAATGGCGAATCTCCCGCCTTACCCCGGATTTGTCCCTCAGAAGTAGAATATTTGTATGGTACATTTAAATGCTGATTTTTCCGGTGAAAAGAAAATAACTGATCAATTTGAGATTCTAGAATCAATTACGAACAATATATACTTGATAAAGCGTTCACCAATGATTTTTTTTTGTTTTTTCTTCCTATTTTTATTGTTCACTCTTATTCCAAGAAAGATACATATCATACAACCAAATGAAAAAATATATAATTCTTTTGGTCTAGACAACTTTTCAAAAATCCACTTTGGAAACAAAAATACTTTTTTTCCTCTAGATTTCCTACCCATTTCTATAATTTCATTTAGTTTTAATAGCTGACTCACGGCTGCTTTGAGCCATCGAAAAAAGGGTCCTGACACGATAATGCACAAGATATAGTCTGTTCAGATTATGAATGTCAAGTCGTCGCTCAAGCTCCACCCCTAATGGTGCGATGAACCAATCAGAGAGCGAGCAATCCACAGAGTGTTTTTAAATGACGTCATTGCCCTTGACATTAAAAATCTGAACAGACTATAGCGCCCGGCTCGTGGAGAGGGCAGACAGGACACGCCCCCTTAGCGTCCCAAGCTAGCCGTGAATCATCTATATATTCGCCGCGAAAGTCAAACCGCCCATACGCCAAAACTCATTTTATTATCATTCATGAAAAAAATTATAAAAATCATATTATATACGATTTACAATTTAATATATACGATTTAATGATGTTAATACATTTCTCAAAAAAATGAATTTTTTTCAACTTTCTTTTTTTCGTCTTTAAGTTACCTAAAATGTCACCTTGTCATTTATTTTTACACAAGTTGTTGTTTTATTAGCCTAGAAATGTTGCTGCTAACTGAAAATAAAGCATGAAAATAACTTGTTGGCATCAAAAAAAAAACATTACCATGTAGGTAAAACGACGTCAACCTGCAAAGAAGAAGAGTTTCGAAAATAACTGATTAAGTTGGAAATGAGAACGGACATTCAAAGATTAGCTTTTTAAAAAAACATTTTTATTTTTTTCAAAAGAGCACAGTTTTGACAAGAAGGCAAGAGTAAATATATATATATATATATTAGGTAAAATACACGAAGTCATCAGAATCTCAATCTCAATCTGATTAAATACATAGAAAAATCTGCAAAACTAGCAACCTATTCAACAAGAAACAATAAAGAAACTAAACTTTCTATAAATTAAAAATTCGTGAGAATACGTAATGAAATACCCATCGATAGCAACATGAATCGGAAGAAATTTTCTTTTATACATCTGTAAATGGCAATCACGAGCTTTTTCTCATTGAATAAGAATATTTTAAAGGAAAAAGACACGAATTATATGGAAGAGGGCTCTTTAAAAAAATTATAAAACTTCGAGAAATTGAAGTATAAAAGCCCTTTGTTTTTGAGCTTTTTAAACTTTGCAGTTCAAGTAAGAGAAACGGCTATCGGATTAGGTGACAAAAATTTTAGCTTCTATAAAGTCTTTTCAACCGATTCTGATCACACCATCCAACGGCCGTTATAAAGTGACAATTTGAAGCCGTGTTCAAATTTTTTCCGGCGAGTTGTGTTCGTAAGAATTGATTACGCGAAATACGTAACATTGGAATTTCTGGAGCCGTGAAAATATCGGTCTTACAACGAGTTGGCGACCTTTACGCGCGAAATTCAAGGGCATTTTCAGTCAAAATAGTGAATTCGCGCATAAAAGTCACTATCTCGACACGTGCCGCCTATTTCGCACATTTCACGTTATCATTTCTGTACGAATAAAACGTCAATTTTGAAAACTCGAAACTTTTTTGAACACGGAGCAAGACAAAAATTGAAAATTGTGAGAAAATGCATGTACTTGGCACGGAAACGTGTACACGAAAACCTTCTTTTTTTCTGATTAATCGTCGCGAATATTGAGAACTTCGTCCTCCTGCTTCCGCTGCAACTGATATCGGAACAACTCGTCGGTTTTCCTGGCCCTCTCCTCGTCGGCCCTTTTGTCAGCCTCGCGTTCGGCGACTTCGCGTTGTCGCTGTTCCTCGGCCTTCTTCAGTCGCGCCTCCTCTTCCTTGCGTCGCTTCTCCTCGTCGCGTTTCACGCGCGACACAATAGCCGCAATTAACGCAGCTCCTTTACCGCTGCCGTCACCCGTTTGAACGATTTTTGAACTAAAATAAATTAATTTTTTTCTTGTTGCGGAAGACGTTTTTCAAAGTTTTTAAATATATGAAAAAGAAATTGCAGAAAAAAATGGTTCGTGAATGTTTTTTTCACATAATTTTTATTCAAACTGACAAGATTTCGAAATTTTTCAGGAACTATTATTCTAAAATTGCAAATACGGGGATTGAAAAAAATTCGAGTATGCGATAGTGCGCCTCGATGTGTTTACACCGTAAGCACCATAATTTACGAGAAGTCTTTACTTACGTATTAAAAAAACGTCGTGATTTTCAAACAAAAACGAAGTTTGAATTCGAAAAAATGTGCTTTTCGAAATTTTCAAGCACTTATATTTTCATTGACCAACTCCATATATTAAAATCATTCCGTAAACGGGAAAAGTGCTGCTCTCCATAAATTTTCCAAAATATCTTTTTTCGCGGAACTTCTGAAACCTTTTTCTCAAAATTCTCAATATAGTCCATTCCGCTTCAGTTTGTCAAGATTTGGTTCCCCTATTTCAGAATCTCTTTTTTTTTTCGAAACGCGCGGCCTACCTCTGTTTATGCGCCTTATATATGGTGGAAAATTTGAGGTTAATTTGAAGGCGCATTTGCGGAGACAGGCCGGGCGTATCTAACAAAAAGGTTTCGAAGCCCGAAGGAAAAAAAATCGCGCCAATCTGGCGCTAAGTGGGCTGTGTTTGAGCATCATAACCATCTAGATCATCAAACTTTGAAAAATAAAACAAGAAATACATCTTTTCATTTCTTTTGTTTGTTAAACTCACATCGAGACCCGGATTCAAAAGCTCCCGGACTTTTTCCGTGACCCAGTGGTTGAAGAAAGGATGGTATTTGTAAGTAGATCCATCGATCGCCACCAACATGTACGGCTTGGCGACGCGGTTCAGGACGCATGCGATTGCTAAAAGTTAATTTTTATGTACAGCGAACAAAATTATATTTCGAAGTTTATGCGTATTCTGATGAATGTAAAAATGGCGGAAAATTATATTACCTAAAAAAATCGTAAAACTCGCCCTTGTCGTAACACCAGAGTTAGTTGGCGATCTTAATAATCTTTCGAGGGCAAGGCTATTTGGTATGAAAATATCCATTAACTGAACTTGTGATAACAGGCCTCGAGAGAATTTTGAAATGGTAAGTAAAACCATATTCAAGTATAAAAAGTGGTGAATGAAATTACCAGGTTTTTGCTCAAACAGGGGCGTGGCGCAAATTTGCTCTTCGACATTAAAAAAATAAGTTTTTCATATACAGAAGCTTCTGTGAGAATCTTTCATATAGATTTTTTTGAGCATTTTTGAAAAACTATAACCTATGCTATATTAGGCCACTTGCCATTTTTTTTTTTGCGTACGACCTGTGTTTTCTTTTTTTTTCTTCTCAATCAAATCAGCTCAGACCTACAGGCACCCGCCCGGTTTGCACTGCGCAGTCTCCGCTGGCCATACTAACCATTTATAATAACTGTCCATATCTAATAAAATGAACACGGCTATTTTAGACGTTATTAGTTGAAAATTACAGGGAATATAATATTTTACTTACTTAAGACGGCGTTCTCAAATTAGACCATTTTTTAAGGCTTGCTGTCGTTTGCAAAAACTTTATTGTTAAAACTAAAGTTGTATAATTTAATGTCCTAATTGCGTTTTTCTTTAAATTTGTCTATTTTTTCGAACAATCGTTATTAACGAAGATATCGCCTAAAAACCGCGATCGGTGTATGCACAATTTAAACCTACAGTGTGCCAAACCGGACTGGCTGTACTGTGCAATACTACTTCGATCAACCAATTGTTGTCCTACTCACCAGCAGCAGCAAGATTGGCACTCCGCCTCGATACTGTGATACAAACTTCACGAAGAAGCAGCATATCACTGAAACTGAACTCCTCGATGCCCAACTCTCCCATGATCAAGCGAGTGTTCAAGTACGAACCGCAGTCATCGCTAAAAAATATTCTTATGTATTGTTCAAATAATTCTAGATCAATCGACTCAATAATCAAGTTATTTCGTACATAATGACTTTTCTGAATAAATTCTATTTAGAAAGCTTCTAGGAAAGTTTCAAAAAAGTTGAAAACTAGAAAAATACGTTTCCGTATTGAAAAAACACATTTCTTCCTTAAATATACTATTAAAATCAAATTTTTCGAAATGCTTCACTAAATATCTCCATATTTTTGAAATTTTCGGAATCGATAAATGAATTGTTTCACAGAAAATGGTATTCAAAACTCTAAAAACCAAACAATGGATTCAATATAACTGATCCCGAGCCAGCTTGTCACGGTTTTTCTTTTCTTCGGAGCTACATAACCCTTCCCTTCGTAGCGCGCGGCTTTTCTCTATTCATGCGCCTTTAATAACGCAAATCGTCGGTTATATTAAAGGCGCATGCAAGAGAGGACACGCAACCAGAAGACGAGAAAAACCGAGACAAGCCGGGGCGGAATTTGATATTCTTGTTCCTCGTTTTATCTTTCTCAAACGCATCAACCAAAACAATCAAAAACGGACTGCAAAATTTCGGAAATATATTTGGTGGGGAAAGTGTTGCGAGTGCTGAGCAGCTTCGATCCCTGTCCATTGAAAATGACCTCAAAAATCCTTGTTCGAATGATTTCAACAAAAGTAATTTTACCTTATTTTCACAAAGTCGCTCGAGGACCAATCTCACGAGTTCACCCATACACATTCCGGCAATCAATTTATCCAGTCTGTACGTTAGAAAAGACTAATTTGATGAAAACTTGAAGGAAAGCTCACGAATTGACCCCGGGATGATCTGATTTGGAATCGACAATTTTATCGTAGCGCGTGAAAATGTACTCGGCTTCGTTTCGGTCGCCAAAACCGCCCCACTCTGTGTCGATGATCATCTGAAGCCATAGATGAGGCGAAAAAATACTGTAAAAAAGAAGGTCTCAGAGCAAGGTTTGGTCAAACTTGGTATACGGTACTTTTCGCAGGATAAATGCGCCGTTACTCATACATTTGCTTTTTTTTCGAAAATGAAAATTATTCATCAAAATAGATGTTTTGATTTTATCAGCAAAGATTAAGAAAGGAATTCATGATTTTCAGGATTTATATGAGTGGAGGGATCATTTAAGGAGCTTGCCGATAACTTTTGCCCTATCTATTTCAGATAGTCTAGCTAAAGTTTTAAAAAAGGTTCCTAGAGGTGCGGCCTATTTCAGTATTACAGTTTCAAATTTTCTTTTTGCGCGAAAAAGGCTGGGCTGGTATCCAGCCTCTGTATGGACTCGGGTATATGATAATCGGGCCGCGAAAATCGAGCCTGCGAAGTCGAGCCGCCTTTTGTACGGGGCGAGACGAACAGAGAAAAAGAAACAGTGTAGAAATGAAAGCTCGATTTTTGCAGACTCGATTTTCGCGGCCCGATTATCATATACCCACGGACTCTCTTCAAACTTCTTCAGAACTTTTGAAAGATTAAAGATAAACAATACGAACTTTCAAAATATATAATCAAAGGACTTCAACTGTCACTATCCCTTTCTTTAAACAGTTCAAACACTTTTCCGTTCGAAATCCTCGGAATCTCCACCTCTTTATGCAGATATTCCTCGGTGGCGCTGGCCAAGCCGTGTTTGATGTTCTTCGAACTTTCCATATAAGACGCATTTGTACCAGTACCTGAAACAGAATAAGTATGATAAGCGAATAAAAATCCTACCAATGATAACGCCGAGATCGCACTTTCCACCGCCTTCATAAGCCGCGGCGACCATCGTACCCACCGTATCATTGATCAGCGCCACGATTGACACTTTCACACGCTGAAAATATTATTTGTTCTGAAATCTCTAATTTCGAAGCATTTCGCTTCAGAACGCACCCCGTCTCTTTCGATGGCATCCTCCAAAAGTTTCACGACATCTTTTCCGACGCATCCAGTCGCCGTCACTCCTTTGGTCCACCTAAAACACCAATATCAAGGAAAATTCAAGATTTTTATGCTTTACAGAATTTCTGAACTATCCTTTTGAAAATTTCTATTTTAGAAATCGTCTCGAATGCTTTTTCTTCACCAAAAACAAATATTCTTCAACTGTTTTTCCATCTCCAGACCTCAACAAGGTAGCCGATCGGAGTCCCGTCTGATCGCAGGGATAGGAAAATGTGAAGCCGACGGGCAAATTCTCGTCCTGGAGCTCCCGTTCAATGAGAAAATCGGCCAGAGCTTTGGCGATGTAGTCGAAGAGCTGGAAAATGATCATTTTCTCAGAAAATGCAATAATGTCGAAAAATTTATACGAGAACCATGAAATATGACAAAATTTCTCGCAAACTGCGTTCAAAAGCAATCTTCTTTGAAAAATTTCTTGATCAATATTACATATGGATCTTAAGATACGGATAAACTATGATCCAGAAATAATTATATCAGAAATTATCAAAAAAGAAAGATATCGAATTTAAACACGTGTATATCACTTCGTCAAATTGTTAGAAAAAGTTAAAGATCAGAGATTCCAAAAAGTTTTTGAAAATTTTTGTAAATTTACGAATAACTAGTGGCGTTGTTTTTTAGTTGTTTTTTTCCAAATGGGGAACATATATTTTATGCCGTGTTCAAAGTGATATCCGCCAAATGCCTGACTCTCCAAAATTCAATTATATTTTCACACTCTGACGGCTATTTTGAATTTTGTGGAAACACCTCAAACTTAATTGAATTGATGAAAAGAAGAAAATGAGGTATTTTTGTATTTCGCTCGGTTTCTTCGGACAAAAACAATTGAACTTTTGAAAACAAGGAAAAAAGGGCATGTCAAAAGAGGCACCTTAGTTCCGGAGCCATGCATGGCCGCGTTGGGCATTCTCGTGTTGAACTGTTTGGTTCGCATCGGCTCTCCTGGCTCGATCTCCATCAACATCACGCGAAGGTTCGTGCCGCCCAAATCCATGGCAATGTACTTTCCTCGTTCTGGAAACCAAAACATTACAAAGAACCGCTTTTTTTTTTTGAAAGCATCAACCTCTTGTTTGAAAAGAACTTTTTTCGATTACCTGTCCCGTTGGGAAGTTCTGGGACAAAGGAGGGCAACATGGCGATTGTCGATTTGGCTAGGCCTTTCTCTAATCCCCGATCCATGTTGTCCTAGAGAGAAAATCTTGAAATGCACTTTGAACTTCTTTTTTCTCACCGACATGTGAGACATCATCCTTCTCAGCGTTGTATTCGACAATTTGAACTCTGCCATCACCGATTCCAACTGAAAAATAGATAATATGTATAATTCAAGAAGACCGAAGAACATAACTTTTTGAGGATTTTTTTTTTACGAATTTTAGATTTTCCACTGGGAAATGAATCATTTTCCTAGTAGTTGAAGTTTTACTTCGTTTAAAAACTTTCTGAGACTTTTCAAAAAGCGAAGGCAAATTTCGAAAGAGGAACGATTATTTTCAGTCATTTTTTCTTTATAATCCAAGAAAACTGCACCTTCGAATACAGGCAAAAATTGTTGAACTCTTATAAAACTCGAAAAACCCGTAAAACTAACCGAAATAGATTCATCATTGAGTTGGTCGGCAAGCTTCTGCAAATCGGTCGATTTCTTCTTTGGCCGTTGAACCGAAGGACCATCTCGCCAATCTCTTCAAAATAAGGTTTAAGAATTGAAAAACTAAAATTAAATCAAAACCCAAAGTTTTTGAGTTTTAAAATATTCACCGTTAATGTAAAAAAATCAAATACACTACTTAATATTTTACTTTCACTACAAGATATTCAATCGAAGTTTTTTTAGAAATTTGAACTTCTTATAGTTCTGTGAGAAAGTCTAACTTTTGCTCAGTACATCAAAGAACCACGTTGAACCGGATAAAAAGCCTAATGATATTTATAAAAAAAGTAGCCCGAAGAGTTGAAAAAAAAGGCAAATTTAACCGATTCATGATATAATTTAATTTTTCTAGAAGGCTTGTAGTCGAGTTCTATGAAATACGAATTCTCACCGATATTTACATGCCAATTCCAATGTGGCGAACATTTTTCTTGTCAATCTATTGTAAAACTTTCTTCCTTCTTCCCGATTTTCTTTTAAAAGCGCCGAGTAAGTCTTTCCTTGTTCTTGCGAGGTGGAACTTCTAAAAAAGATCATTTAGAAATTTTGAAAGTAAAATGAAAATAAATAAAATGGAGAGGAACATCGAAAAAAGGCTGACGAAAGTGATTGAATGGATGGCGCCATGGTCATATACTGGTCAATAAAATAAATAACTGGCGATTATCACCTCGTTATCGAACACCTTATCAGTTTATAACTGGATAGACGAGGAATCGAGTTTTTAAAAGTTGCAAATTTCAATGAAGAACCATCGAATCAAATAACTTGCAAAGTGAAAAAAAAAACCAGAAAAATTCAGATTAAGTTAGAAAAAAAAAAGCAAACAAAAAAATTTCTTTCGAAAACCTTCAAGATTTAGAAGTTATCAACGTTTTGAAAAGAATTCACTCTCGAAAACGCTTTTTAACCTTTTACAACATTATAAATACAAAAGAAATTCGGAATTATTTTCAAAAAAAAAAATAGAAAAAAATTCTCAAAAAAATCTCTGAGGCTTCTTGAAAACTTATTTCTCTTCTAGAAGTACTACGAAACAGATGGATTAGCGTTGAGAATGCTTTAAAAAATCGAAAACCCGAAAAATCTATTAGAAAAAGAAAAAAAGAAGCGAAGTCTAGTTTTATGGAAATTTAGGTGTGTTGTGCATTCTCAAGCTATTAAAAAAATTTTTGAATCGAAAACGTTTGCACGCTTTACTTAACTCTAAAAATAACTGAGCAACTTCAAAAAACCATCAAAAAGCTGAAAAATAGAAGAGCGCCGCCGTAATCCTTTATCATTAAGGGCACGTGAATGAGCCGTGATTTTGTCAATATTTTTGAACAATTTCGTACTTTATCCGTAAATTTCTTTCTTTATTTTTGATGTATGTTTACCTGGAACCCCGGTATACTTATTTATATATCAAACTGTGGTTCGAAAGATACACACACAGCAGGTGACGTTTATTTACCTATTCAATTCGAACTTTTCAGCTGACCAGCATACCAACAACGAGTTTTATTGGGAGGATGGGATGGTTCGAAAAATGGTCAGATTGATTTTTCCAAGACAATAAGTTAAAATATATTATGAAGTCGGAAAATGAATTTTTCTCCAAATTTTTTTCAAGATTTCAAACTTCTGAACTTAATTATTTTTTTGAATTTTTTTGAATTTCGGGAATGACGAAATCATGGAAAAAGTCACCTAGAACTGCAAAAAGATCTTCAATTTTTTTGTAATTTACTGATACTATTTTTTTGAATATAAGTTCATTTTGCCGTAAACTTATCGTGCCAAAAAATTGCCCAATTTGAAAAGATTTTTGAAAATCTGAGCGTTTGATACTGACAGAAAGGTCTATTTTATGCAAAAAAAAAACTGATGCCGTCTTAAAAGTAGTTCCTCAAAATAAAAAGTAGCCGTCAGAGAGTGAAAAAGCAAGAAAAGTCGAATGAAGTTTCGAGCTTTTGGCAAGAGTTAAAGTTTCAAAAGAACTTCAAGATTTATTCCGCATCCTATATTCAAAGCACGCGGGAAAAGGTTCTTTCAAGAGTGCCTCCCACACGTACATTACACCGAACCGAACCACAACAACGAAAAGGAGAAGAAGAAGAAGAAGAATGTGTGTATTTGTGATCAATAAATATGTGGGGCCGTCCTATCGATCGATATTATCTTCATTGAGACATCATAAAATTCATTATCCACTGAGGCCGTATGCAATAAAGTGCAGAACTATTTTGCGCGATTTTCTATGATCTCGAAAATGACTTCAACTGGTCTTTTTACACTAAAATAAGTTCTCTAATGAGTGAATCTTCTTATGAGACCTTAATGCACCAAAAGAAGGTCAAAATTAAGAAATTAATAGCGATTTCCAGAAATTTTTACAGAAAAATGGTAGAAAATCATTTTCCAAACTATTGAAAACGGCCTCTGAATTGAGAAAAAATTTTTTGTATCAGATTTTTGAAAGAAAGACCCGTGATTTTTGAACTTTTATGAAATGAGTTTATACGAAAATCTCTTAAAATATTTTTAAACTCTTTTTTAATGCAAAGCGGTCGGAAAGCTTTTTCCTTCCGTCTTTCAAAGATTTTTGAGGGTTTCCGGCACCATCAATGAAACAAGAGATCAGAAAACTATGATAATATAAAAATAACTGTTTTTAAGGAAGAAGGAAAACCTAGCGAGTTTCCCGTAATATTGAAGGAGAAGCTGCGAAAATCTCTTAGATTCGAAATCTAAGTTTGCATCATTGAAAAGCATGAAGAAATGCTGGTGAGACTATGAAATCGATAAAACTCTTTTCTCGTTCAAAAAAATTGATATAAAATTTGAAAGTTATACAGGAAATATTGATCATCGAATTGATATTCATTAATCGAAAGTATGATTTCAATTTTTGAATTTTGTATATCTGAAGTTTCCTGAAGAGATGTTCATTTTGCTTTACATTAACTATAAGTTATATACAGACTTACTTTTTTTAAAGTTTTCACTAAGTAGAAAAAAAAATCAAACATTCATACTAAAAAAAATAAAAAAAATAAATAATTTCAGAAATAATTCGAAGAGGAATGAAAGAAACAAGTCTCTGGGTCAAGTTCAAAGCTTGGAACTCTTCGCGGCGGATGGCAAAAGGAGGGAGACAGCCGACGGGCTCCCGCGGGAGAAGAGACAACTCTGCCGCGGTTGTCCCTTCCCTTTCGCCTCGCATTCCGTTTTTCAGTGTAGAGCATTCGATGCAAAGGATGGATTCGTCGCCAACCGCCCCACGTGGCTCTCAACAACGTCATTCCCCCTTTGCAACCGAAAAAAAGTGTTCGCATTTTCGCGTTTCTCACGTTTGCCGCCGGCGGCGTCTTCTTCTTTTCTCCTTTTGACGAGAAAAAACTGAAAAGAAAACAAGTAATTTTTGAACGCCGTCTTCCGCGGAATTCGAAATAGCCATCAGACAGTAACAAGGATAACTAAAATTTTGATAGTCAGTTATAATTTTGAACTTCGCGGAAGTCACTTAGAAGACGTTGTCAAGCTTGAGATTTTTTAGAACAATTGAATACATATCCTTGGACATTTTTAAACAAAAATTGTTCAGATTTCAAGTGGTTTCCTAAAAAAATTCATGAACTATATAAAATGTCTTATTCATGAAGAATAACTTCGATTAGAATTACAAAAAAAAAACGCGAAATTTTTTCCAAGAAAAATTCAGAAACGTTTCTTTAAAAAAAACGAAAAAGCAAGCTTACTTGCATACCAATAGTATATATAGCCTGTTTTAACGAAACTAGTTTCATAAAAAAATTAATTTTGAAAAAAAGTTCCTCCATTTTTTTCCCTCAAAAATAATCAATCTTTTTTTGAGAAAAAAATCAAATAATTCAAGCTTCTAATATCATAAAAAAATATGAATGGAATTTTTACTTGTTATTTCACGTTTTTTTGACTTGGAAAAAAAGTCGATAAATTCATATATTTCTTAACATGGGCAAACTTTCAAATAATTTGAGTTATAAAAACCGAAACTACTTAAGCATTAAAAAGTCGTGAAAACGTCTATGAATTCAAGAAACAACGGCAAGAAATACCTCGGAAAAATGCTGAACCAAGTAATAACGAAAATACAAAGAGCGGATATCCAAACGGACCAGGGAAAAGAAGGAAAATAGCCGATTGGACGGTTGTTTGCGGCGGACGTTTCCTGCAGTCCTTTGTGTTAAGCGAACAACCCTTTGGTGTAAAAGTGGCGTCATCGTTTCCCAAGGACGATAATGATTCATTAAAGAACAAAGAAGAATGATCAGATTGATATGATCCAGTCGGGCGAAGTTCGGAAAGTATTCCAAGTAAAATTAGAGACTTTGCGACATATTTCAGAGCAAAGAGCATTCTAGAATTGAAAAGGTCTGTAATAAGTCAGTTACCGAAAGAGAGCCGTTTTAGAGAGCCGTTTTTCAAAATAGCTCTCCGAAAGTTTTTCAGAATGCTTGTTTTTCAAGAAAAAAAAGTCAAATTACGGCTGTTTCTACAGTTTCGAATTTGCTCATCGTTCCGATTCCGTTCTCTTCCAGGAACGATATCCGGTGATAAAAACGTACTCTACATGTCGATATAACTCTTCATAAAAAAGTTCAGATCAATAAAAACAAAGAAATCTCAATGAAAGAGTTTTATGACAGTTGGAGGCAAAAAAATATTTATATACCTGAGCAATCTGAGATTTTTTCAAAATCGTCAAGTAGAAGAACAAAAAAAATTGCTCAAGCCACAGAAATTCAAATTATAAATAATTTGAATTTCAAATTATAAATAGAGGTTCAAAGGAGCATATTAACAGAAAATTCTGGAAAGAAAAAAGTTTCGCCTAGGTCCACAGAACAAACCTATAAGTTGGCCAGACGACTGTCAAAATGTTCTTTTTTTGGCGGAAACGCCCACTCCTTTCCTTATCAAGTTGATAATTGGATAAGGTAGAGTAGTCGAATCGTGACTTAGTCAAAATAATCAACTTTTTTGCCTGAGAATAACCAAAAAATTGAGAAATTAAGGTTTTCTAGAACTAGTTTAAAAAAAAACTACGTTAGGGATTTCAAAGGTCTTGAACTTATTTTTTCTTTCAAACTCAAGTTCAGAACTATGGTACGACGAAATTGGACTTCATCAGAACTACGGTACGACGAAATTGGACTTCATCCGTTTCAATATATTAAAATATTGCAATGTCGATTTTTTTTTTCGAATTTTTTTCACATTTTTCATAAATCTCATTGAGAACAGCATTCGAAAGCGTTTGAAAGTACAGGCTCCTTCAGTTCCTCGAAATAATATCAAAAAACATATAAAAAACGTATCTCTTTTAAAATTAAACTATTATGTGACAAACACAAACTGGAGTGAATAAAAATTAAGAAAAAGGTGGTTTTTTTTGTTAC